GGCGAAAACAAATCGGGTGGTATTTACAAAAAAGCCGGGTTCTGTTTTCTTTTTTTTGAGGTGGGAGAGCGCGAACACCCCGAAATTTTCGTGGGGTAAGCCGGAATATAATCTTTTTGAAAATTTTCAGTTTAAAAAAAAATGCCTTACTTCGTCCTTTTTTTGGGGTTATAATATTTCCCCCCCGGGGGGGGGGGGGGGGGGGGGGGGGGTGGAAAGACATAAAGACATATCTGTATGATCTTCAATGTTCCATAGTACGTGCAGAACATTGGTGTTTAGTTGGGGTATAAGCCGTGTTTGCATTCCCGGCTTCTGCAGCAACGCCCTGTAAGGGAGAACCTACGCACTCCGCACTCATCTTAATAGCATGAATACTAGTAGGCCAATTTATCACCTATACAGTTACTACTTAGTATCTAGAGACTATGTTAATTGCAATGCGCATATACTTGTATGTATGACGTAGTCCGACGCTAGTGGCATAAAGGGCTTAGCGTGGTGTTTTCGCATCCGACTACAACTTAGATAACGGCGACACGTCCGCTTTTCATCACATATGTTCAACATCTTGACATCACATGATGGCTACATATATATCGAGACATTCTCTTATTGTTGAAATGTAGCCTCCAGGCGACTACCAGGTATCTGGGATGCGCCATCGGCGCTAAAGTTCAGCCTGTGTATCCTCCACGAGGTCTCATCAGCGACCAAATCCGGAGTCTAGGACTCCCGATATTTGTCTCCTTCCAGAACGTTCATCTCATACGAAGGGCCCACAGGCCTCGCCTTCTCCGTGCCCACCCATGCCCCAACGGGGGTGCCCTTGCGCTCCTCCTTGCGCGGGAACAGGTTGGTGTTGAATGTCTGCAACCTGGTGCCCCCGGGACTCACCGACCGGGCCGGTCCCTGAATCATCGGGATAGAAGGTGGCAAAGTCAATTCTTCTGCCGAACTCTCTCGGGAATCTCCTCCGAGCGCGGAACGAATGTTCTTTTTGGACACGATGCGAGGAACGCTTCGCTCAGACTCGTTGCGCTTCACCTGTTGCGGTCGGGAGTTGTCGAAACGGCCCTTGGAGCTCTTCATTCGCTCCGGACTCTTTTGTGGAAGAGGCGGGAGAGGCGCGCCTGGCCAGGGAACAGGCATCGGAAGTGGTTCACCTGGGCTTCCGAAAGCTCTAGGCGGTGCGTTGCCGTGTCTTGATGCGATGCGAAGATTACCAGCATAAGGAGTTGGGTTGATTGGAACAGGGAGACGTGTAGGCGGATATGCAGGCCGGTTATGCTCTGCAGAACGAGCGCTGTTCCTCCGGACTGTATCAAGCTTTGTCAACAAGATCTCGCCCTCCCAGTCGTTGCCCTCGTAGCTTGGTGTACGTGCATCTGTGAAAGACTTCTTCTCCTGGATCGAGGACAACGATGTAATCTCCTTTTTACGTTGATCATCTCGGTGTAGCGGCTTGGGTACTGCGCTCAACTGATTCATGGGCGAATACACTGTCTGGTTGGCGCCATAACCCACATCCAGGGCTGCCAGGCTATCGGAAAGATCAAAGGGATTCGAACGGCGGATATAGCTGTATGTGCTCTGGTCGGAAGGACTGCTGTCCGCTTCTTGGTGGGGCCAAGGCGTGATGATGGTAGTCCTGTTCGACTCCAAGGACATGGTACTCTCGTCTCTCTCCATCTTGTGACCCCCAGTCTCGCCTTCTTCAGTCTCGCGTCCCTCAAGCTCGCGCCTCTCAGCCTCGCGCTTCTCATCTTCGAGTTTCTTAGCCCTACGTTTCTCAGATGGCAATAGAATACGGGTGCGTGGAGGTGAACCCTCGGCAAGATTGCGAAGCTCATACAACTTGTTCTTGGTTGACTCTTTTGCCTCTTCTTTTGGCGGCAATTTCATGGAAAAGCTTCGCGATAGCGAGCGACGGATGTTGTCGGAATAGCGCCTCATCGGGCTCTCGTCGCTGCCTTGTTCCTGGCGCTTATTTCCGTCACGACGTTCAAGAAAGTCAGCAGGTCGATGATGAGCTGTATTCTCAAGCGCTGCTGCAGCCTTCTTACGCTCTGCACGCACTAGCTGCTCGGCCAGCCATTCATCCATCTTGACTTTGTACTTTGGGCGCTCGAATAAGCCACCGTATTGAGGGTATACAGTGCGCAACTCCTTGTCTGTCTCGTCATAGTCTTCCTTAGTGAGTGCTGCAATACTTGCCTTGCGCCGATGGGAGGCTGACATGTACTCGCCGGTTTCTCCGGGCTTGGATATGACACGGTAGGGCGATGGCGAAAGCAAGCTTGCCGGGATGTGGACATTGCCTTTTGGAAAGGCGAGACCAGAAGGACACCGGGCTTCGACGAACATTGCGAGACGACCATAGTGGTGCTTGCCTTTGGTGCTGTATGAGGAACGCACTGCATTGACGATAGGCAGCATGACAGCCTCCCATGCAGTACAGACATTGCGAAGCTCGAAGTATTGGAAGCCCTGTGGATTGCGCTTCTTGCCAACCTTGAACACCTGCAACATCCAGGCGAACAGATGCTTTTCGTATGACTCGAGGTTCCAGTGGCTCTTGTCGATGACACACCAAACACTGCTGTCTTCTGTGTACTCACGGTGGTTCGGGTCGGAGCGGGGATCATAGCGAAGCAGACCTTCATCGTACTGTGTGTAAAACCACAACAAGTCCGTGCGCGAGACGCCTTTGTCACCTTGGTCCTTGGCTACTTTTGTCGGCTGCGACATCGCATTAGGATGCAAGTGGAGGACCGAATCGCGGAAGGCGGACCATGGCTTGAGGAACGCATCAGTGGCCAGGAACTGCTGTTCCAATTCGGCGAGGCCGGCGAGATCAAGCAGCGCGAGCGCCTCTTTGAGTCCTGCATAATTCTTAGTTCTGTCCCACAGCGACTTGACGTCTTGGACGAGCTTTGTCGTACTCAAGCTGCTGGGCGAGCGTGGCGGCATCTTGATCCTGCGGTTAGTGGGGTTAGTGGGGTCAGTGGGCACAAGATGGCACAAGCTGGTTGAGTGTTTGTCGGAGGTGAGGTGGTAGAGGAGGTTTTTGTTTGTTTAGTTCCTCAAATGAGCGGGGTCTACAGCTACTGGCCAGGCGTAGCACGCTATCCGCATGCAGCGTGCGGTGAATAGTGAAAGGTCTACATTTGGAACATCACTGTAACAACGCGGATTGATGCGCAAGTACTCTCTCACTGATTATGACTAGGTTCCTCATAGCTACATTACTTGGTTTTTTACTCAGATGCACATATGAGGGACTGATCGATGATACCTGGGTGCAGTCTTAGCAAGTGATGTACAATGCCAAGACTTTGGCCAGCACTTGAAGAGGAGAACTTGTTATTCCCTGACCCAGGTCTTTGCTGTTGCCTAAAATTCAATCTTCAGTCTCAGTTACCAAGCATGCAGCGCATGTTCGGAGCTGCTCGACACGCTTGAATGCAGGTATGCAGTTCCATTCCAAGGTTCGCTTTCGCCAGAAAGATACGGTGTACTGTTGTTGGTTGAGGCCCATTCAACGTGGGAGGGGCAGGTCACACAATCCCATCAAACAGTTCTGATCCCAATGAAAGATTTTTTAGAAGGTTTCAAGAGTCTCAAGTCCTTTGATCTAGGCTCTTAGTACGGCTGGTCATGGAACAGCGCAGAACACAGAGCTCCAGATATAATCATCTTTGAATTCTTACTTGAATCGGGTGAGCATTTCAATGGCCATAAACTGTGGATGATCATATCATGGATCTAGTCTCGGCAAGGGTACATTCGAAATCGTGCCTTATTCTACAATAAGGTTGATAATCTGCTGCTGTTCGTATAGCCTTCACGCGGCTGAGCAGTCAAACAAGAAGGCGGCAGGAGACTACGAGGGTCCGTGATCAGTTTCTCTTGACGAAGATTTCGAGGCTGGCGGGGACATGTTGATTGCGTTAGAGGGGAGAGAGGGATTACTGCCTGGTGTAGTTGGCAGGTACGTGCGGTGCTTAGGACTTGGTTTGATATGTCTCTATGTCAAGATCATCTTTGAAGAAAAACTAGGTGAATTTGCATTCCTATGTATCAGAGCCTCGCTCTGTATTACATGATTCAGATCAATTCGAATGTGAGACTCAGTGTTTCCGAAATTTCAAACTCTCGAAGAATCCCTAGTTACTTTCAAGCATGTCCACCACGTAAGCCAGTCTCCGCTTCTCACTCAACCTGGCAGATTGCCCGATCGAAGATTACTTGCTTGTTGACAACGATGACTTGGGTGTAATACTTCTCCTCATACGCATCAGGCAAATCACCCCTTGCCTTGTTGCAAGCCATGCCGCACCTGTCCTTTTGACCCATATGGACCACGATATTGCGAGGACATACATATGACTTGATGATACGCGGAATGAAATGATACTCCTGACTCCTATTCTGAGAAAGTGGTGCGTGGTCCATCGTAAGCAAGCTGGTGTCGCTGATGACGCGTGAAGAAACAGCGGTAGTAATCGTCTTGACTGCTTCCAGGTACTTCTTCGCACTGCGTTAACAAAATACGGGGCACAAATGACGATACACATACCTCACTCTTGATCCACTCAGTCAACAAATTAATCTGAAAGTACTCGGCCTCAGCCTCCAACCGGCGGTACAAGTCATAGTCAAAGCCCTTGGCCTGATCGTAGAACAGCGGATACGATTCGGGCCTGCGCATGAACCGGATCAGATGTTCGAAGAGCTCAGGATCGGCATCCATGAAGTAAGAGCCATCAGCCTGAGGTTCCCAGGTGAAGTTATCAGAGAGCTGGAGCGCGAACAGTCCTGATCCCGCCTCGAGAATGTCACGGGAAACCTTGAACTTGTGACCGCTGATGTCGAGCGTGAGGACTTTGGGGAATTGAGGTGTGGAAGCCGTGGAAGCCTTCAGGTATTCAAACAAATGAGCTGTCAGAAAGCTGCTGTCAATGCCGGGTTCTTCCAACTCGCTCTGCTGATCGGCAATGAAGTCCGGATCGCTGACGTTGGCGTCGCACATGGCTGCGGTTGAGTAGATGAAATGGAGCCAGCTTCGAAAAAATTTGCGCTTAGTGGTATGGGAAGCTGCCATGTGCTCTGATATCACGAGGAACATATATTAAGCGATGAAGTACTCCACGTGCTACCATTTCATCGTTTCAACGTTCACCGCGAGGAAGTGAACTCTACGCTAACTCATTTCAGCGAAAGTTTGTAGTGCTGCAATGTCTTCTCTCCACGCCGTGAGGTTTAAGTACCTAGGTAAGTATGTGCCCTAGTAATATTAAAGAGAAGAGTCATACTGTAGATGCTGGTTCGACAGTATGTGTAGTATATTGGCTTTCGCCATCGAGGATGAAAACTCCTCCTGCTCACCGTCTTACACCGTAATAAGCGAAGCATTACCACGCTCGAATTGATTAGGGTTAGGAACACAGCTTTACCTACTTCTATACGCAGCAATACAAGGTAGAAACTTAATACTTCGCCGACCCAACGAACCCACAGAACGACCCCAAAAGATTACGACAACGCAACAACCTCGCGATCGCAACAGGACGCATACCCGTGGAGTGTAGTAAGCAAAAGCAGCCAGCATAGTCCTCCACACCAAGCTTACGCAACATCCTTAGACACAGCTACAGCACAACCAGGGTGAAGCTGCCCGTCTTGCGATCGCGAAGTTGCAGCACCAAAACCAAACCCTCGGCACAATCGACCATCTCCCTTAAAACCATCGTATACTCGTGCGCCGCACTCCCATCCCACCTTATCTCATCGACCCACATACCACGCGTACCCCTCCCATCTTCCTGTCTCCCCCTTGTTTCTAAAAATATCCCCCCCTTCCCCCCCAATCTCCAATCTCCAATCTCCAAGCCTATCGTAACCATCACCTATAATATGACAAACCTTATACATTCGTACTTGTCATCTTTTTCGTATCTCGTGTTATCAGCTTTATCGGCACTTACACTTATACCGTATGTGCTTGCTTACCTCAGCTCGGACTTCCGGCATATACGACGGGAAGGGTTCCCCGCTGATAGGCTAGTACCGGTATGCGTAGGGTATGTAGAGTGTATAGGTGGGGGTGGTGGCGGTATAGGTATGCATTGTATCTGGGCTGATGGTGTGTGCCTTGTACGGGTTGAGATTTGGTTCGATTCGGTTCTGGGGGCCTGTTCGGCTTCGGTTGTGTGGTAGGGATGGGATGAGATGGGGGTATGCACACTGCGTTATTGTGCATGTGTAGATATGTTTTAGTGGGAAAGAGCACAGTTTCGTAGCACGACATAGCATGCCTGAGGCTGAGACGCATCTTAGGTTTACAGGAACAAGGTTAGGTAGGAAGCATCATAGCACATGCCTGGCTACCAGACATGATTGTACACGTAGTAGCACCGAATTCTTGATCGTCACAAACCAACACATTTTCTAGCATAAACTCCTACTCTCTATCCTATCTCTCCCTTATCATCTGTTATTCCTGCTGCATATGTCAACATCCTCATGCAATCAGTGCCATCTGTATCCGCCTATATCCGTCTACACACAACATCAAACTACACCATTTCATCAAGCGATCGAAAATTACCTAAGATTCACCTTAAATACTAGTCCCAAGTCTGGCTACCATATCGTCGCATTTATCTGCCGTATCCCTCACTTCTCTCCCTTTTTCCATGGTTTCCTCCTATGCCGGAAAGTGAAATCGTTTCATAAATCATGATTTCGGACTCTCCACTAAGCATTATATCGCATATGCATTTGCGGGCTATGGTGGAGATGATGGTATAGTACAGTGTTATAGCATAGTTCTAGAGATGAAAACTAGAAGAACGGGCTGGTAGTCAAGAAGGAGAGGAGAAGATTAGATAGTGTAGGTGGGTAGACGAGTAGAAAGGGGGTATGTGAGGTGATTTTACTAGAACAGGAGAAAGGAATAGTGTGTGCTGGGTAAGCGGAGATGGGGGGAGGAGGCGGGATACTCAAATGTGTTTGTGATGGCATCTGGGGAAGAGGGCGGTAGAGTATGGAAGTATTGAGCTTTCAAGTGAGATATCTTTATCGTTGCCGTCAGTCTATACTCTATAGTCTACCACTCCTCTCTCTTTCCCTACTCTACGCTCTTATGTCTTCAACGCCTTGCATCGTATAACTCCCACACTCAATCTATACAGTCTCTGCCCAACTGACTCAAACTCAGCATCACCCCAAACTCCGATCCAACTCCAGCCATCGCCGATGAAACAACTTCCTTGTCCCAATCTGACATCCCTCTCTCCCAGTGCCATGGCCCCGAAAACCTTCATCCCCACCTCATGAATCACCCTAAGTCTCACTTCTATCGCAAACTTTCCCTCGATCGCCTGCACCCTCACAGCAGCGACACATCTGCATCCGCCGTATCCCGCTCTTCACCGCCCCCATCACAAACGCGGTGCCCATCTCCGACCAGGCACTACATGCATAGGCCTGAGCACAAAACTGTCATCACCACTGTCTCATCGCCCTCGCTTCCAGAAACACTAGTTGGCACGACGGTGCGTACGTACGTACGTACGTTTTCGTCATCAGCACCCGGACACCGCCAGTATAAAAAACAACAACAGTGCAGCGAGTGACATATCATGTCATCTCCAAACCTGGCTTTTGCTACATTGAGTTTCCATTGCCGAAACGCACAAACACAGACGCACGCACGTACGTCGCGCGCGCAGAAAAACCCAGCCCACCGCATTTTCGGCCCGGTTGCCAACGGCGAGCGAGCGAAGAAAAAAATACGGCAACGGCCCGTTTGGCTTGGGGGGGGGAACAACAGAAAAGCAGCGGCGGAGGACGGAAAACCCTCGGGATCGGAAATAATGTTTCGTGATTGATTTCTTGATTGGATGGGGTTTTTGCGCGGCAGACGGAAGTTTCCTTGTCGTCGCTGTCGGCGGAGGTGGAGAACGAGGTTGAGTAGGAAGTTTGCTTGCGCACGCGTTTACGACTACCCTTTCTGGGGTCAAACGTCCGCTTACCATCATCACGGTTCGGTCCGCACATAACGTCGGTGTGTCGGTTAGGGTGGACATTTGCTCGGAGGCTGTCGTACTCTATGCTGTTTTTGATCGTTTGCTCTGATGGTTTGGTGGTGAGTTGGCTTCCGATGATTGTGAAACGTGCTGACGGCGGAAGGAGGTCGGTATGTCGGTCGGTCGGTCGGATCGGATATGGGACTGATGCATTCAGATGGTAAACGTTGTATGCAGAGGAAAGCGAAATTTGGCCTTTCGTATTGTGTGACAAAGTGTAGTCCCGATGTTTGACTAGTCTCGCTCATTGGAACCCGTGCGGTTGATGCATCAGCGACCCGTCCATGCTCATGCTTGACTGGAGAGATGGCGATATGGGCGTCTCTCGTGGGCCAGACGGGTACGTTGATGGCGCAGACATGGTTCGACCGTGCCATTCCTCATACTCCTCCTCTGGCGATGAAAGATCAATCAATTTCTGTGGTGATCCGGCGGCAAACCCAAGCGTAGTCAATTTTCCTTGCAATATGTTGATGACAGAGGGGTTTCCTCCGCGGAAATTACCAAGCACTTGCGCGAGCGAATGGATGAGGTCTCTAGGGCCGACGTCGAAGCGCGATTCGTGGTTCAGGGACGGCATTATCATCATGACGTCGGCGAGCGAGTTGGCCACGTCAAATATCTTCGATTCCTAGATATCGTTAGTCAATTAGTCAAAGTCGGTGAAATTATGTCCTACCATGCCAGGTCCATGCGCTTCAACACTCTGCCGTGAGAGACTGCTCAGATTCGAGAGCACGTTCTGCGCCACCTTGGCCGGAAAGCGAAACGAAAACTCCTCATCCTGACTGGCCCGGCTACTCAAATTCGTCACGTTGAGCGCATGTTGCCAAAGGAAAATACGCATCCATTGCTGCGTCATAGTAATGTCCGCGCGCTGTATTTCATTCTCCAGGCTCCGGGGGTCTTCATCGCAGCTAAGTTGCTGCTGGGCTAGTGCGAGCGCCTGGCGCGCACTTGCAGGTTCGGCGGTGATGGTGACATCCAAGATGTTGAAAAGACGGCAGAGCTGGACGAATGCAGGTGTAACGGATCCATCTTGTAAATCCTCGAGTCGCGGAAGATCCGGAGTTCGTTTCAGTGTTGTCGGCACATCATGCTGCAAGGAATGTGCTCTCTCAGTGATGAACAGAAGCCAGTAAACGCGTAAAGCATATTGTGTCTGCTCAGCGGCCAAGGTTTGGTAGTGCGTGGTCTTGTGCAAACCCAAGATGTGTGCTTTGAAGATTGCTTCTCCCAACAAGACGGTGGAGGCATTCATACGTCCGACATTTGCGGAGTAAACATGCAGAAAAAAGCTTCCAAGTAAAGAGTAGATGGTGACGTTCTCCAAATGGTCAGATTCGTTCCTCGCTTTCTTGGCTTCAAATTCGAAAACGGCACTCGGAATGCGATAGTGGCCTTCAACTGGGCTGCCGGGCTCGATACCGATGGAAAACTGGCTCACAATAGCCGCACAAATGGCATTTGCCAATGCGTAGGCCTCGAAATCATTGGGATGCGTCAGGAGTCGTCCGGTGAGCGCATCGGTGTCGACGACTGGCCATATGCCATATCCACGCTTCTGGTAATGCTCCAGGTATTGCGACAAGCATGCTGTGGAAATTCTCTGGGGTTCCTGGTGGTGAGAAACGGAGACTGGTGGGCTCTTGATATCCGGCCAGGCCCGGGATTCGGCATCATGGTCGCTTAGAAGAGGAATGGGATCCAGGTAGGGCAAGTCTGCAGGGACCGGACTTCCGGTATCGTAGCTAGTTTCGCTATTGCTTCTAGAGTTCGCACGGCTGCACTTGCTGCGTTCTTGCAGCCTCCTAATGGCAGCTTCGGTGGTTCGACGTGGGCCTTTGGGCCCGCTCTTTCCGTGAGTCTTGAGATAAGTGCAGTCCCAGCTGAATTGTGAGGTGCAAAGTTAGTGGGTTTCTCGGACGAAAGCTAGTACAGAGATTCTTTACCTCGCAGCCTCGCATCTCGAACAGGGGTCATTGCCGTCGCATCGGACTTTTCCTGTAGAGAAAAAGTACGTTAGCTGCATGACACATGGTGTTGTGACGATATCAAGACATACTGATAGAACACGGATCACACGCTCGTCGCGTTCCTTTCCGCGGAGCCATGGCCATCTCAGGGCCAAGGGATTAGTTTGTTGGGGAGGATCAAGTTGTTGGACCGGAGTTTTTCATGCCGTCATCGTACACTGGTGGCGTAAAGCAGGCGCGGTGGCGATGGGAAAGTGAGTTTATGCTGACACAATTTGGGAAGTTTGTCGGAAGGTGAAGAAGCAGTGAATCAATGGCTGCAGAATGCAGTCGTGGTAGAGAGTAATGCGGCTGATGCTAGGAACTAAAGGTGGAGACGGGGCTGCAGCTCGGGCGATCCTTGCACGTCGAGTGCATGCAGCGTACCAATGAGAAAGTGCCGCGATTAATGGGCGTCAAATAGGGCCGAAGACTGCTCTTCCAGAAGAACGCTAGAAGGTCCATGGAAGAAATTTGCTCCCGGTTGGATCCGCCAGTGTCGCAGCGGTGCGATAGGCGAAGCGTTATATCATTCGATTACTGCCATTCTAGAAGGCGGCCGGGGCAGCGTCATCATCATCCAGGGTTCAAGAAAAGGCCCATTTGTTCCATCTGCACAAGCCAGAAGATTTGTCCGGAGCGTGCTGCCACTGCCAGTAGACGCATGGACGCCGCCATTACAAGAAAATCTGGGGTCGGCGTATATACTGTTGTAGGACCAACACACGGCTTCCTCCGACGATGCGCAAAGTCTTTAATCGCTCAGCCCTCTTTTGACAAGTCGCCGATCCATGCACACTTTCGAGCCTCACCCCATCGCGGCCATGCGCGGTGGCAGTGGTGCTGGTGGAGCCAAGTTCTTGTGACGCTGCCCGAGGAACGAAACCTACCCGTGACGTAACGAGTAGTGATCCGCTAGCGTCCCCGCTCCCGAGAGGGAGAGCCGTTGAACTCCAACACCAAAGTCGGCCCTTATCATGGTGCTGGATAATCACAAAGGCCCAGGGTTCGCACTTGTCGCGCCTCGAGCTCGCAAGCTTATTCTTGACTCCTGGCCATGACACGTTTTGTCCCTGGATATCGCCACCCTCTCCGTATTGGTCATGACGATGATGACGGCCGTTCCGCCGACCTGGTCGCCATTCTCTCTCACCACTCGTCCTCTGTCCATGTTCGTGTCTTACGCCGAGGGTTAGCGGCACACGTGCGACAAATGCCATGTCCACCATGGTGCATGCGCCAACACCACCGCACGCCCAAGTATCGGGGAAAAGCCTAAGAGCCTCACCCGGATGAACGCTTCCACAAGCATGAACACTTCCGAACTTGGCCCACTTCCAGAATATCATATCATCTGCAGCCAGACCACATGGCCTGGACCCTTCACTTCACCGCCCTAGTCGTCCACTTGTGTTGAGCCTTGGCTCCAAATCGACTCGCTTACGGCTGCGCTTACGCTTGTCAAACTAATTCCTAGTGCCGGGAGTGATGTACATGCTATGAGGACACCAAGGCACTATGGAAGTCATGCACACTAGTCGGAGCCTGGCGGAGTAGCCTGCCCTGGTTTGGCAAAAGTACACGCTTGGCATGTCTGCGTACAACGCGCGTTCCGGTATAATACACGAATGACGTACCTTGACAAGATCGACTACGCACAACGACAACGCCGATCTGGAGCTGGGTACCCAATATCATGGCCCAACGTGTGTCTCAACGTTTTCAATACACCGTTTGTAAGCAAAAGAAATTCTAGAATCGCATATCTTACCCTGCTTGGTCACTGCTCACGCTCCAGGTTGAGCGAGACCTAATCAAAAACCAGGAACTTTCCGCTTACAGCCCCGAGTCCAGACATGTTCCACACTAGTCATTGAGTTTCACCTCGGTGGCGGAAAACATCAGGATCAGGTCAAGTGGTATTCGCTACATGTTATGCTCGGCTAGTGCCATGTAACTTCGCTCACGAGTCGTATTCCATGTGCACTCATACCGGAGGAGCCTCCATCGCATCTTGATCTACCCTAAAAAGGCCGAAATGAGCCTTTTGCACCAGCCACAATATACCATTTCTGGCGGTTTGCCACACAAGCAAACGCTTTCCTCGTCTATCAGTGTGTGCGTGCTCAATGGTTGGATTGGCTTGTCTTCGGGTCCATTTAACCATGCGAGGATGTAATCAAAGTATGGTTGCAATGATGGTGCCATTTGTATATGCGCTTTGACTCGATAATCGTTTTCTCTAACCCACTCGTCCAGATGGCATCGGAGACAAGTCCAGCGGTCGTAGAGGCGCTTCTTAAATGAGCACCCGCAGACTTCTTTGTGGCTGATTTCTGTTTTCCAACAGCCGTGACAGCAGAAGCGCTTCCGAGATTCTGAGGCTCGAAGAATGGGATCTTCAATGATGTGATTTATGATGTCTCTTGGCGTGTCTATGTCAAATACTCCAGTCCGAAAGACACTACTGAGTCTAGCTTCCATAAAGCTCTCGATGCTAGGGGGGTATCAGGTGAGGAAGAATAATTCATTTTCCAAAGCAAGTGGAATGCTTAAGTGAGCCGCCTCGGGCTGACCATATCCCAGGTCGTTGTGGATGATGCTCTCATCCCAGTCAAAGTAGCCAAAGGCATTCGAAGTGCGCCCTCCTGGGTCTGTTCGGCACACACTGCGTAGTTCAGAATCTAGTAGGACATAGCAACAGCGCAACAAGCCTGGGTAGATGTCAGAATCCCAAGTGTTCTGACGATAGACAAGATGAGCGCGGCATTCATCGCACGTCATGGCCCCACATGTATCGCAGGGGCGCTCTTTGTATTCTAGATTATCTGCTTGGCATCTGGGCGTAGTATGGAGAGGTCGCCAGTTATCTGGTGGCGGCTTGTGAAAAATGCCACGAATGCGCATCCCAACGCCGTCGCACCTCGTGCGCTTCAGCAAAACTTCTTTGACTTTGCTTCTTTCATCGAGCATCTCTAATCCAATCGTGCGGCACACAAGACCTAGACGAACAAGGGTGGTAGTTGACGTGTAACAAGACAGAGAATCGAGGATAGGCGGTTGGCTCAGAGCCTGTACGATGCGATTAGTATTGTCCGACATGGTGGCTTAACGGACACAATCCAGTGGAAGAGAGAGCGCCTCTTATGTTATCATGTTGCTTGTAAGCTGTGTGAGAATGACACCGTAGAATATGAACAAACCGACTAGCACGCCACGTGGGCAGGGTGTATTGTTTGCTAGTATCAAAGGACGGCGGTAGGAAACCACATGAGGTCCAACACATGAGATTCAAGTCAGGTGGCCGTTTGCAGTGCCTCATCTTGATGCTGTCAGGTTACGCTGTCGGTATCTGGGACAAGCTATGTACATCAACAACAGGTAAGAGGAGTCATGACGCTGGAGTGAGAACGAAAACATTATGGATTATACACAGTGATGTTACAGGGAGGGGTATATGGAACTATTTCTTGAAAAGGTAGCAGAGAAAGGAAATCCCAAGACCCAAGAAAAGAGTGGAGTATGCGGTTGTTGGCTGCTTGGTTGACCGTGCTGGAGGTTTTGACAAGTGCTAACCTACTCCGGCATCTCGAGAACATCCGTGGATGTTTAGTTTGTGTGAAGAACCGCGTGAGTGTTATGGTCAATATCGGGACGCAATATTTCTCCCCAACACCACAAGCAGGTTTCGCGTCCAGACTGCTGTCCACAGCTGCAGTGTTTCGTGTGGTTGGGAAAGGCTGTGGAAAGGGTGGCCTCTTCTGCTTCGTAACATCGTAAACATAGCCATCGATCGAGAAAGCGACTTCTTAGACTGCATTGACACGTATACATTTGGCATCCTTCCCTACGTTTCTCAACATCAGAAGGGATACAAGTATCGCAGAACCAGCGCTTTCTTCGTTCGGTAACTTTGTGCAAGGATTTCAGAACGGGTGATGGGGCAGCCACACTTGAAGATCCTGGACCAGCCAAATTATGTTGCCCAAGATCCACGTCTAGAAGGCGTTCAACACACTCTGGTGGACCATAACTGTCTTCGTCGCATGGAATGTCGATGAACCCTTGATCATGATGTGGGGCGACTAGTCCAGCTGTCGGTTTCTGCCAATAGGGTTCCGACTGATCGACTGCAAGGTGGTGCGGACTTAGGATGGGTACTTCCGAAGAAGACAACATAACAAAGCCGCTGAAGTTGGGCAACTCGTCGTCCTCGCATGGCTTTTCGAAAATACTTTGGTAAACACAGTGGATGCGGCATTCGTCGCATGTCGTGACTTTGCATTTGACGCAAGGCTTCGATTCAACGCCATTTTGTGTAGCACCGCAAGTGACATGCTCGGTGCAGTTATACGCGTCAAAGAAACACGACTTTTTGTGGTACTTCTTGCGGATTTTCACACCCTTTCCGGAACAACTCAGCCTACCTAGAAGATTCTCCAAGCTGCCTGACTGCGGAACAATCGCTCCATGTATAGACTTTGATGACAAAAGTAGGGCCAGTAGGTCGTCCGAGGAAAGGTTCGACAAGATGTTCTCCAGTAAACCATACTCTTGGAAAACCTCGAGGAGAGGACATCGTGGGCTCTGCGCCACCAGGTTACCTTTTCGATACTTCTTACGCATCTCCACCAGCCCCCCTCGCGACCTCCTGCGCTTGGGTACTTTCGGGTACGTGGTCTTGGGGTAGTCCCCATCGTGAGTGTTTTTGAGTTGGTGTGAGTTAGCGGTCAAGGTATGACACGCTGAAGGAGGAGCCATAGGGACCGTGAAACTCCTGGATAGTGATGAGCAGGGGTATCCGCGGCTGTATAACAAAAGGTAAGGCCATCATAGGCCAAGCGTGACACAACAACAATATCTGGAGTCGTTGTCATGACGGGACGCATGCTGACGTGACGTACTTGGCTTTCACGCCGAAACGTTGATGTAGCTTTCTGCACTCTGACAGGCGCCTAGCAGTCCGCTTCGAATTTTGAATCCATTGTGGCGTTTTTGATAATTTGGGGTAATGGCCGGTAGTTCCAAAGTGGAGGTGCGGTACCAGACACCAGTCTGGTGGTAGCGAGTTGTTGCAGGGTAAAGGTGGCGTGCAAAGGGCAACAGAATCCTGTTAAAGTGGAAAATGTGGTTATTTGGGTTTGTGGGGATCTGCAAAATTTCGTGAATCATAAGACCAGAAATTGCGCCGGAGAGATGCGGAACTCAAATCCGATGACGGCCGATCGCCAGAAGCCGCGCTTACATAACGGTGCCTCGGTATCTGTGCCTGCCGTCCCTTCATCCGACCTCCTGTATCCGCACTGCATGTAAGAGACGTGTAGAGAAAGGAGGATCAACCTGGACAATTGACTGCCTATCGCGCAACCGAGCACCGGGTTATTGTCAAAAAAGATATCCCGCACACTGGGTCCTGATTCAAGGCTACCGTAAACACAGACTCAACAACACACAACAGCATGACCCGGACACTACCAGAACTTTTGAACATTTCTCTTTCGCCCCAGCACCAAGACTACACATTTTCTGATTGCATATTCAGAATACAGTTCCCATCCCAGATCCTCCATCACCACATCCCTCCCCCCTTCCATCCTGTTACCCCTCTACTTCCCATCCGCGATATCATAACAACACCCAACATCCTGCACATTATAAAAGGGACAATCCCTCTGCACATAGAAACCGCCCTTCTTTACGCACGTGGGTTGCGTCGTGCAAATGCCTGATGGCGTAGAGCGGCCACAGGGTGCTGGGTAAGGGTCTTTTGGCGCGGCAAGGGCCAGGGTGAGGGAATTCAAGGCCGCTGTGGTGAGGATGGTGAGATGCATGTTCGGTCGGTCGGATTGATTGCTGGAGTTTATTGGCAGGGTTGATTGGTATTGGAGTGCAGCTTGCGAGGTACTTAGGTAGAGTGTAGGGTATGATGGAAAGTTGGTATCCAAATATCGCGATGCTAGGGATGCTGTGGTTATGGTGCACTGGAAGGACCAGAGCGAGAAGTCTGCGATCTATGTACCTGCGACTTCGTAACCAAAACGCCGCTGACATCGTTGTTGCAAGAATCTCTATCTTCAGACTGCTTCCATCGCATGCCAAAGATAGCTTGATGCGCACACCTACCAATCTGCGCTATTAGACCAGCACCACCAGCTGGCACACTCACTTCTAGGCATTGGCTGAAGCGATGTGCTTCGGAGCACATACAGTCACCATTGTTTGGCTGCTGCGGAAGCCTTCATATGGCTATGTTCTGCTGCATTGCTTAGCGAGCTGGCTAATCTATCTTTCCCCGGATCTCTCGTATCGGATATGCGATATGATGGGGCGATACGCGGGGAGTGGGAATTTTGCCATATTAACGAGCTTGTTGAGAAGGTATATGTACCAATCAACGCAGGGGCAAAGTGTGTTCACTTTTTGTCTCAACAGGTTATGAGCCCGGGTCGCTTTCAGCGCATCAGCATGTTCGCGAAGGAACTGCTGGTTGGGTGAGTGACCAGAGCCGAGTAAGGGTCAGAGCATGAGGCCAGCGCCGAGTAGGGCCAGAGCCGGAGTCAGCACCGTGAAGGGCCTGCGTTGCAAACCACTCGCATTACTTTGTCTCCCTGCCTTAATTGCGGGGGTGTGTTGAGAAGGTATATGTACCAATCAACGCAGGGGCAAAGTGTGTTCACTTTTTGTCTCAACAGAGCTCGTATTTATTCTTGGACAAGTAAAGTTCTGAGAGGTATGACGTTTGTTCTTATCAGCTTGTGACTACTGGCGCATCTAGCAGCGCTCTTCATTTCTCATGTTGGGTATTCCAGTGGACACAAGACGGCCTTGCCCGCCGCGCCCTTCGTAAAAGTACAAAAACTGCCAAGCATTGGGAAGGCGATCCAAGAGATCGTGTAGCCTCTCATACAGACATGACCAGGCCAAATGCCGAGTCCAAATGTCCAAACTTCCAGTCTTTTAAGTCGCCATGATCATCTACAGATCGCGCAACAATTAGCGCAGACAGGGCCTCGTCTTCACCCTCTCTAGATAGACATCAATCTCCTTCAACTGCTTCTTGGCTAGTTCTGCGCCCTCTCCCACCGACTTCTTTAGCCTCTCTTGTTCTTGACTGAGCGCACACACGTTCCTCTTTTTCTCTTCCTTGAGCTTGTGTAAGGTTGACTGCGCCTTGGCTAGATCCTTCTTGAGACCCTTCGCACCCGGCTGGTCGCATTCGCGTCCAATGTGAACCTGAATGTCCACGATTTTGTTCTCGGTGGCTGAGACGTACTCACTACACAGTATGTAGAGGGCGATGCGGTCGATTTGATCTTGGGTGAGTGGGGATTTGCGCAGCGGGGGACGTAGCTCAGAGGAGTTGGAGGAGTCTGATGACACGGGTGGGGATCCCAGACCGACGGTGCTGGCTGTAGGACTCTCGTTGTCGGTCATAGGAGTATCGGCATTGGCTGTAGGAATCTCATCGTCGGGGTCATTCCAGATGTCCATCGTCGTTGCAGTGCAGAGTTTTGTCTTGTACGGGTGTGAGGAGCTTGGTTATAACACGCCTTTTTTGAACGTAGTATCTGCGCGAAACACTCTTCGGTTTGGCGGGGGCTGTGAATGAATGCGCGCAAATTGCGGTGACGAGTCGCATTTCCGTTTACGCTTGCACCGAAAGTGTGAAAGGTATGATTAAGGGTCTTCACCTTTCACCGCCCCAGGCCCGCGCCTTGTGTGTCTGCATTCTATTCACTTGTGGTTTTATACTCTTGAGGCCTTCTAGCTGCTAAAACGCGCTAGGGAGCAACGTTATAGTTAACACGCCTCTAAACTCATGCATTTTGTGGACATTATGATTTTGATTGTTAGTACTCTGCATAGATGTACTTGCGCCAATGATTGCTAGACGGTGTTTTCTGGAGACCTGAGACAGAAAATAGACTGTATTTCAGAAAATACGGAATCTTGACTGTGGAGCGAACTCAATACTAAGCATAAGTCGCCAATGAGAAATAGTAAGCATTACTGAGGGCGGACATGACTAAGATCGGCGGTCCAGAGCTATAATTTGTCTCGCACACGGAGAGAGAGAAAAAGAACCCTCCAGAAACTATGAAAGTGTAGAAGTTAGCAATTGATGGGTAGGAAGACGTCGATGACGCTGACGCGATGAACCACCGGTGACGACATGTGGGGTGACGTCTTGGCGCGTCTCGAACGCGACTGCCGTACCTTTTGTACACGCTTCATCATCTCCTTGACCCTTAATAAGACCACTTACACACTCCATTGTCACTTCCCTCTCAGAGGACATACTTGAGAATGGCTTCCAACTCCAATGCCATGGACGTAGATGTCTCGCATGCTCCGATCGCGCCTTCTTAATCCCATCCTAACTTAACTTCCCCAAACCGACCATATTATCCTCGACGTTAACGGCCGCAAATTTCGAGCGCAAAAATCGATTCTCTTACTCGGCCGATTCTTCGAGCAACTTTTCAATAGAAAATAGTCCGTTGACTTGCTTCCCGACGGAGCGCTGCCCATCGATGCGGATTCCGACATATGGCTGACGCTGTTCGCTCATATCAAGCGACCTAGTGTCTGTTCATTGCCGTGGTCACGAGAGAAGGGTTTTGGCTACGTCGGATACAATAAGCTCATGGCTCACGCTGACTTCTTTGGTTTGGATGATGTGAAAGATTGGATAAAGCAGAAGAAGTTTCTTGAGGCTGTGAAGACAGGGTACAAGGTGGAAATTCACCCTGGACAGTTCAACGAGTGCAACAAAGCGAATCGCAATCACAAATGGCTCAGTGTAGGGCCCCTGTTATTGCCGGAACGGGGGAACACATATGAGGGGGACATAAATGCGTTCCTAGACTCTATTCAGCCTGGCTGGGAAGAGCACACACCCTGTGAGGATATCGAGTTAATCTCATGTTTTGACGCAGAGATTCCTAGTCGGGGCGATTTCCAGTTTTATGGGAAAAATCCATATCATAACCACCCAAGAGAATGCCGAGAGCTGGGAGGGGATACATGTGTAGCCCCGGTGGACGACGTGCACGGCGAGGAAATATGGAAATATGAAACCTTGGATACTAGCATCGTCACTGTGATGAAGTACATTGACTATATACCGGAGCGGTACGAGAAACGCTACGTGGACGCCAAAGACGAAGAAAGAGAGAAAGAAGGACAAGAATAAGAACAACAAGCATAGTTTACAAATATGTAGAATTTGTAAAATGCAACAACGAATCATTGAGACATGAGCATGCGACGCTGCAGCTCGAAAATCTGTTCGGTTTGTGTGGAAGAGGATCCAGCAACTATCATACACCCCATCGGCACATCCCATGTACAATTAACTCAATCGAACTCTTCCGCCGTCCCTAGCTCCTCCTCTCCCCATTTCTCTGAAATGATCAAATCCCACATCTCATCCAACACCTCCCCTATCCCCACAAGCTCCCTTCCAATCTCTGCATTCGCCCTTTCAGCCTCGTTCGTCAGCGCTCTATTCGGCTTTTCAGCCTGCATCTCCACAACGCTTGTAGTCGTGTCGACTAAGTGTTTCAGTCTCGCCTTTGCATATCCCAGTAGGGGTGTTAAGCGCTCGTGACCGATCTTCCTGTTGTCATGGGCGGGTAATGAGTCTATAGCAGGTTGGGCGGCGGAGAGGTGGGAGGAGAAGAATATGACTTGGTTCTGGTAGTTTAGGATATGAGTGGTGAGGGTAGGGAGGATAGGGTTGAGGGGGTGCGTGTAGGATATCGAGTTTGGAGGTAGGGGCAGTGATGTGTATTTCAACGGCATTTTGGAGGGGTTTTGTTGGGATAGAGGGATGTGGAGATTGAAGTTGTCGTGACGTTGATCGGCATGTTTCTAATAGAGGATAAGGTTTGCTTGAGAGAACTGACAATTGTTTCTAGTGCCTGCTTGGTGATAGTAGCAAATGGAGTTGTGAGTTCTGTGGTTTTACAAGCATGACTGGTCCCTCCTGGAATTAGATGTTGGTGGGAAAGAGTGCATGTATCGTGATGGAGTGTCCTGCGTAGCCGGTGTTGATGTACGATTATACTGTGACATAATTCAAACGTACTTGTGCGATATGCCGACCAAGAAAGCGCTCGATTTTATCTTGCTTTACAACCCAACGAATGTGAAGTTTTACTCCCACCTTCGAGCCAACCTAGGTACCGTCTCCATACCTGCTTGACAGCCATATTTGGTTGGTCAACAACGGAAGCGAACCTGATTGTGCTTGCGTTTCACTCGTGTCCTCTGTACCATGACATGGATATGAGGAGGATCGAGTAATGTCAGAGTCTGGGTCGCCTACGCTCGGTTGCATCGGTCGGTACCCGTCGGCTTCGGTGGCCCGTGCTCTCTCAGTCATCCATCAGAGGACATGCAATCTCCGTCATCTTCACCAAGCCGACAAGATACACACACAGGATTCAAAGAGCATGGAACTCAGGAAGCGACTGAAAGCAATTCTCTCGACTCGATGAACACATCAAGAACAGCTTCCCGGGTCAACAAGTCTCCACCCGCCTACGCCACCGGAAGGCGTCTAGAAGCAGACAAGCTGCAAGGCGCAACGATCCTACTGCACCTCGCTGCTCGCCTTGCACATATTCGGACACCACGGTTCCCATCGTTATCAGGCGCATGAGCACATTAGGCACGATGCCACGCCACCGGCTAGCTCGCACTCATCACCACCTGGGCAACGCCAAAATAGTAGGCTGATAAAAGCTTCCCTAGGCCTAGCAAAGCAGGTCTCGGCGGCAATCGGTTCGCGGATATCGGCGATGGAGGAGCAGATAGTATTAGTCGTGCAACTGACCCGAGGCAGACCGAGGCAGCCGGTATAGAATCCGCACTATCACCGTCCTCATTCTCGCAGTCAGCATCTGGACGAGACAGCGACGCCGCATTGCGCGATAAATGTGGAAAACGCGATTGTAGAGTTGTGTTGGACATTTGCGACCTGCCTGTTGCGGACAATCGCCCCGCTCGGCGCCAAGTAAGCCCACATTGCGGAGCCAGGGACGCGGGATAGGTCGACAGGCTCGCGATAGGACAAGGCGAAAACATGCTTTCTGATAATCCACCTCGCCCGAGCTTGTTTGTCTGCCCGCAGCCCTAGCCTACAACTGGAAGGAGATATCGTGAATGTCGCCCCGCTTCCGACGCCTTTGGCTTAGCATGGACCGCTGTACAGGGAGAATGATGGCATCGCCGTTGCCTCTAGCCAACTAGAATGAATGTCACTCCCAGGTACCGGTCCCAGTACAACGTGGACCCCGCTGGTAAAATGCTTCCTCGCTAGGCCCTGCATACTACGCAGCTCATTATACAAATAAGCTGGTTGCCCTGCTTGAGCTTCGTCCGACCATCGACCTTGTCCAATTGAGCTTTCACGAAGCTGGTCGCATACAATGGCTCGTTACCTCAGTGTTGCCGCGGCTTTGGCTGCCACAGGCGCCTGTGCCTTCACACCCGAGTATGTATACCTTCACATCTTTGGTTGCAAATCCATACTAATAATTCCACAGGCTGCTCCTGAGCACCGTCCGCCGCAGTGCTGCTGATCCCAGCCCTGATGGCTCGGTTGCCTTGTTCCCGTACACCCAGTACTCCTTCGAGGAGCACGCGAACTCGGCTGGCATGAACCTCATCGATCTCACCACTGGCGAGATCACTAATTCAGGTCTCAATGCCAGCGAGATCAACGAGGTCGCCTGGATTCCCGGTAGCAAGACGGGCATCATCTACATTAATGGCACCAACGAGGAGACTCCCGGCGGTGTTACCCTGTGGATTGGCGACATCAAGAGCCCCAACATGAGCACCATGGTTGCTTCTCTTGATGCGCCCTACAATGGACTCAAGGTTTCCAAGACTCCTACCGGAGACATGCACTTCTTGGTCAACTGCATGGCCTACCCCAACGGCACTGCAGTCAACCCGGAGACTGAAGTCACCCCTCACTCAACCGCACGCTACTACTCAGATATCTACGTGCGTCACTGGGACACTTGGCTGACGAAGAACCGCTACAACGTCTTCGCTGGAACTCTCTCGGCGAACAGCAGCTATGCGCTTTCTGGCGCTGGTATGCGTAACCTACAGCACGGAATCAACTTCACCGCTACTCAGCCTGAGACCCCCATTCAGCCATTCGGCGACATGAGCGACTACGACCTCAGCCCTGACGGCTCCATGTACGCTTTCGTCAGCAAGGCTCCCGAGCTGAACAAGGCCAACTACACAGCCTCATACGCCTACCTCGGTGCTTTTGCTTCTTCCGAGCCACCGGTCGCTTTCAACGGCCCCGACTCCGAGGCGTACAAGGCTGGCCACAAGGGCGCATCCAGCTTGCCCTCTTTCTCCAGCAACAGCTGTAAGTTCGCGTACGTCCAGCAAGATGAAGACTACTACGAGTCAGACCGATTCCAGCTCTACACTGTTGACGTGGCTGTCGAGGGTACTGGTGTTGCTGTCAGCAACTGGAAGGCACTCAGCACTGGTTTCGACCGCTGGGTTCAAGGACCCCTTACTTGGGCCGCTGACGACTCTTCCATTTACGTCACCGCCGATGACTACGCCCGCGTCAAGATCTTCAACTTCCCCGTGGATGCCGATGAGAGCTTCGTCCCCGAGCCTATGACTTCCAACACGTCCGTTTCGACCTTCGCGCTCCTCCCTGACGGCTCCCTGTTTGTTGCCGCTACCGCCATCTGGACCCCCAGTGAGTGGTACATCCTCAAGGATGGCGTCAAGAACACCCTCTTCGACGCGTCTCAGGTCGACCCCAATCTCGCTGGTCTCGGCTCGCACACTGTCTCTGAGATCTTCTTTAACGGCTCCAACCCCGAGCTCAAGCAGCAGCTTCAGGCCTACGTTGTCAAGCCCAGCTACTACCAGGAAAACGTGACCTACCCGCTCGCTTTCTACATCCACGGCGGTCCCCAGGGTAACTGGGGTAACAGCTGGTCCAACCGCTGGAACCCTCAGGTCTGGGCTGACCAGGGTTACATTATCGTAGCTCCCAACCCAACCGGCTCCACTAGCTTCGGACAGTTCCTCACCGACTCTATCCAGGGCCAATGGGGCAGCTGGCCATACCAAGACCTGGTCAACGCCTGGAACTACGTCAACACCAGCATGCCCTGGATCGACACCAAGAACGGTATTGCCGCCGGTGCTTCCTACGGTGGTTACATGACCAACTGGATTCAAGCTAACGACCTCGGCAACGAGTTCAAGTGCCTCGTCACCCACGACGGTATCTCCAACACCGAAGGCGCCTGGGCTTCCGAGGAACTCTGGTTCATCCGCCACGACTACGACGGCAACATTTGGGACTCACCCGCCTACCGCGAGTGGAACCCCCAGAACCACATTGCCAACTTCTCTACCCCCCAGTTCGTCATCCACAACACCAAGGACTACCGTCTCCCCGAGAGCGACGGTCTCAGTCTGTTCAACATCCTCCAGGCACGTGGCATCCCCAGCAGGTTCCTCAACTTCCCCGACGAGAACCACTGGGTGCTCAAGCAGGAGAACAGCTTGGTTTGGCACACGGAGATTTTCAACTGGATCAACCACTGGTCCAAGGGTGAGCCGTTGAGCGATACCCCTATTGGTAACTAAAGCGCTTCTATGAATGCGTTTAGTTATCCAATGTTGGCTGCGGAAAGGCAGGCCATGTAGATAATTATGAAACTTATCTAATTGTTGAGAATACAGTCCGTAAGTGACTTGGTGGTATCAAGCGGAGGAGTAGTCACATGATTGGTGACACGTGCAGGTGGGTCCTAGCGGGGAGCTTGGACGCAGCTGCACGCAACAGGAGTAGTCACATGATTGGTGACACGTGCAGGTGGGTCCTAGCGGGGAGCTTGGACGCAGCTGCACGCAACACGGATCTACGAACGTGTGAATAGCTCCTTAGTCAATACAATACGAGTCGTACCACCACTACCGTTGTGCCTTAGAGAGCGCTCTATTAGGTAGTCATACTACTACTAATAGTGCCAGCTTTTCAATAGGTTATGAGCCCGGTTGCTCGGTGCTCTACGGTTCGGCGACCCACCAGATCAAGGTGATCTGAAGCCACGAAAGTCGAGACGAGCTTCTCGCACACGGAAGACGAGACGAGCTTCTCGCACACGGAAGACGAGACGAGCTTCTCGCATACGAAAGACGAGACGGGCTTCTCGCACACGGAAGACGAGACGAGCTTCTCGCATACGAAAGACGAGACGGGCTTCTCGCACACGGAAGACGAGACGAGCTTCTCACACACCGAAAACGAGCATACGGTTCCAGCTAGAGAAAGCTGAAGGGCGCAGACGCCAAAACGTTTACAAACCCACTAAACACCCCCTACACCTCGAAACCACACACAACTACGGCATTTGACGCGTCACAGACAGTCAAAAGCACAACCGCGAAGATGGGCAGCGACGACAGATACGATAAGGAGCCTAAGATCCCAAAGCTGACGAAGGAGAATCACGAGAAATGGTTCCGCAATAACAAACTGAAGCTGAAGGGAAAGGGAATCTTCTACACTATCGAAGTCACGAAGCACGCGTACGCCTGGATTGCACGACATGGAGCTGGCACCTCCACATCAACTGCCAACACCTCTCAAGACCCGGCCGGCACTGTCAACCCTACAGAACAAGCAAGCGTCCTAGGCCTGACAAGCGACTTCGAACGACTGGGAGGTACATGGAACGCTGAAAAGGCAAAGGAATACGACAAGGATGAGGCTAAGGCACTGTTCTACATCACAAACAGTCTCCTTGATGATGACGACGCTCTCGCAGACGAGTACGAGACTGCATCTGCCCTCTGGACCGCACTGAAGGTCAAGTACTCAAAGACTGATCAGTTGACAGCCAACAACATCATGACCAAGCTTCAGAACTTCACCTGGAAAGACGAGAAGGATGTCGACTACACGTGGGCAAAGCTAAAAGAATACCGCCGCAAGATTATTGCAGCTAAGCCTGCTGCCAAGGGACTCTACAATGATGAGGCACTTCTCCAGATCATGCTACGCGCTCTTCCAGAAAGCTACGGATCAGTAATCGACTATCTCGATGTCCAGACCTCTCTCACGGTTGACGAAAAGATTGCTGCACTCCGCACGAAGGAGCTGCGACTGAACGACACGGCTGAGCATGCAAATGTAGCATTCCCGAAGTACCGTCACCCGAATGACCATAGAAGCTCGGACTCCTCGATGCGCGACCGCCCCCGTTCTACATCGCCTGAATTAGGCCCATCCACAGGATGCCTCCATTGTAAGGGAGAACACTGGGCCCGAGACTGCAAATACAAGGGTGAAATTCAGGAATTCGGAAGAAAACTTCGAGAGAAAGACGAAAGAGCTGAGAGACGCGCAGCCAAGTCGAAGAGACCTTCTAGAAATGAGAACAAGAAGCGATCTGACAAACCTGTCAAGCCTACAGTCAAGACAACCTCGAGGCGCAAGCATGGGTACGCAGCCAAGAATCAGGATTCTGACTCTGGAACGGACAATGGCTCCTCAGGCACGGACAGCGAGACCAGCCACGAGTCTACATCCGTGGAAACAGAATGTACGCAACACTGCCATATCTCTGCGGAACAAGCTAGTAAAAGCACACCGGCGAACTGGATTGCTGATACTGGTGCTTCATCACACATGACTGACAAGAGAAACCTGTTTAGAGGACCGCTAAAGCGCACGCCGCTCACCACTATCCAGGTTGGGGGAGGATTTCTTCATTCTACCCAACGTGGTACTGTTATGATGAAGGCACTGGATGGGACAACAGGATTACTCCGAAAGGTTCTCTACGTACCTAAGCTCGGCGTGAATCTAATCGCAGCAAGACGGTTGTGTAGGGAGGGACTTCAAGGCATTTTTGATGACAAGAACATGTATTTTAAGGACAAATCAAGAATCGCAGTACAAGCAGCACAGAAGGACGGTCTGTACATCGTAAGCCACATTGCAAGCAAGTACTCAGGAAAGGCGTTTATTGCAGGCAAGACTCGGACCGACAGCAACGATCAAAGCACTGCGGAGGAAAGTCAGGAGACACAACCCGAGACACAATCCGACCAGGACCCAGACGAATCCGAAGAAGACAAGTCCACGAAGAAAGATCGCCGGAACTACAGGCTAATGCACAGACGGTTTGCTCACTACGGCCCAGCAATGCTACGAAACCTGTATAAGGTAACGACAATTGAAAAGATTAAAGTACCCCCAGCCCACAGGCGCTTCTGTGACCCATGCCTTAAAGGCAAGATGAGGAATAAGATGAACAAAATCCTAGCAGAACACAAAAAGGAGGTACTAGCACTAGTATCTCTTGACTTAGCTGGACCGTTCCCTACATCACTCCGCGGAAATAACTACCTTATGCAAATAATCTGCAACCACTCCCGAAAGAACTGGTCGATACCACTGAAAACCAAGGACCAGGCTATCCTAGAGCTACGCAGATGGAAGGCAAAGGTAGAGCTCCAGACTGGGAAGAAGGTGAAGGCCTGCAGATCAGACAATGCGCCAGAACTAAAGCTTGTGATAAACCAGTGGGAAACTGAAGACGGGGTTCAGGCCGACTACACCGTAATTGCGAGCTCGAATCAAAATGGACCAGTGGAGCGAAGCATCCAGACTGCCGAACACGCAATGAGGGCAATGCTCGATGATGCACAACTTCCTATTGAGTTCTGGGACGAGGCCGCTGAGGCTGACGCCTACATCCGCAATAGACTGCCAACAGGACCGCTGGTCGAGGGAAAACCCACGTCTCCAGAGCAGGTATTCTCAGGGAAACGCCCAGGCGTAGACCACGTACGAGTCTGGGGGAGCAAGTGTTACACCTATCTCAATCCAAAGACGCTGCCAGCGAAAGGGAGATTAGACAAGTTAGTGCACCGTGGTCGAGCAGGCGTCTTTATGGGATATTCTGAAACTACAGACAAGCAGTTCAAAGTCTACTCTCCTGACCTTGGATATACGCATAGAGTTAGCGTCATCCAAACTAATGAGAAGGTGCCAGGGGGAAAGATAGACCTGAACTTGAGAGTCAAATCAGGTCCAATGGGCACATCTAATGAGCTCATCCCACGGAAAGCCAGAGGAAGACCAAAGAAGAACCTAAATCAACTAACTAAACCCGACGCCCTGGATGTTGATATTGAACTGCCGCCATCATCGCCGCCATTGCCGCCGCCATCATCGCCGCCACCATCGCCGCCATCACCGCCGCCACCATCGCCGCCTACGCCAGCACCTGCGCACCCATCACCTACCATCACTCCACCCGCGCCAACAGTAGAGGATGAGAGCGAAGAAATGGAGGTAGACGAAGTTACCAACCCAGTAGCAGCCGAACCATCAGCTAGGTATCACTTCAGGACTCGGACCCAAAAGAGAAAGCGAGATACATTTGACGACATGGAGGATGAACATCGCCAAGCCAAAATTGTCAAAGCTATGCTAGCTGTCCTACGAGAGAGCCGAGCTGACGAAGACCCCACAACTGAAATACCGACATCTACGCACCACCATGAAGAGTCTGCACACGAGACGATTGTTAAAGCCTTCTATACGGTGATTGTAAGTGGAAACCTCGATGTCACGGGACGAGCAGAACTTAGCGGCAAAGCTTTCGCAGCAACAGAAGTTAAAGGCATTAGAATCCCTCAGACCTATAAACAAGCTATAAGCGACCCAGAGAACGCACTGAAGTGGAAAGAGGCAATTGAGGAAGAGATCAGGACTCTTGTGGGGAACGGAACTTGGGAAGAGCTTATTCCACCCCAGGGTGCAAACCTCGTCACCACAAAATGGGTGTTTACTGTCAAGCTTAAAGTTGATGGTACGATTGAGAGGTTCAAGGCCAGACTTGTTGCTCGAGGGTTCAGTCAACAACACGGGATTGACTACACCGAGACTTTCGCCCCGACAGTACGAATGGACACCTTAAGGTTATTCCTTGCTACTGTTGCCAAACAGGGCATGGAATGCTGGCAGTGGGACATCAAGAACGCATTCACTGAGTCATACTTAAAAGAAGACATCTACCTCACAACACCAGCTGGGGTAAAAGTTAAGAAAGGCAACGTTCTGAAGGTTTTGAGGAGTCTTTACGGACTTAAGCAAGCTGGACGAGATTGGAACCTGCTACTTAAGGGGTTCTTAACTGAGATCGGTTTTACACAGAGCCTTGCAGACCCCTGCCTATTCACGCATAAAGGCAGAGGTATTTCACTACTGGTTTATGTTGACGACATTGCTGCTGCCGCGAAACTCACTTCAGACCTAGCCTGGTTCGACGAAATGCTGTTGCGGAGTCTGAACTGCAAGAACCTGGGGGAGATTCGAAAGATCCTTGGAGTTAGAGTCACCCGCGATAGAGCTAACAAAGCTATTTACCTCGATCAACAGCAGTACCTAGAGACAGTCCTAGATAAGTATGGTATCACCTCAGCAAAGTACAAGTCAAAGAAGATCCCTGCTGCAGACTACGAACACCTAAAGCCTGCTACTCCTGAAGACGCCAGAATCGACTCCACACAATATTCACAGATTATTGGAAGCTTAATGTACGCAATGGTATTCACGAGACCAGACATTGCCTTTGTACTTGGACGACTAGCCCAGTACATGAGAGACCCTGTAGAGATGCACGGGACTGCGTTAAAGAATCTAATGAGATATCTACGGTCAACAGTAAAGCAGAAGATTCGCTTCGGTCCAGGAGGAGATCACCAAAACGAGTTTGGGATCTACACCGACGCTGACTGGGCAAGCGATAAGACAGACCGGAAGAGCATGTCTGGGGGAGTCGGAATGTTCTATGGAGGACCATTCTCTTGGGCAGCAAAGAAGCAGAAGTCAGTGGCAACCTCAAGTGCTGAGTCTGAGTACATCTCACAAGCCATGTACGCCAAGCAGGGACAGTGGGCAGCTCAAGTACTCAGAGATCTCGGCCTGCACCAATACGTCAATGAGAACGGTATCACAGTCCAGATGTACGGTGACAATCAGGGAGCGATTGCACTGGTGAAGAATCCGCATCTGCACGAACGTTCTAAGCACATTGACATCTGCTACCACTTCATTAGAGACCTAGCTGAGCAGAAGAAGCTCCAGATTTCTTATATTCCGACTGACGAGATGGTTGCCGACGGAATGACTAAGCCACTGCAGAGAGTTGCTTTCGAAAGGTTTAAGAAGATGCTGGGAGTTATTGATGAAGGGCACTAGAACAAGTCACGTAAGGCCTGTGGGGGAGTGTTGAGAATACAGTCCGTAAGTGACTTGGTGGTATCAAGCGGAGGAGTAGTCACATGATTGGTGACACGTGCAGGTGGGTCCTAGCGGGGAGCTTGGACGCAGCTGCACGCAACACGGATCTACGAACGTGTGAATAGCTCCTTAGTCAATACAATACGAGTCGTACCACCACTACCGTTGTGCCTTAGAGAGCGCTCTATTAGGTAGTCATACTACTACTAATAGTGCCAGCTTTTCAATACTAATGATAATTGTTTATTGACAGTGTTTTCGTTCTGCTTGTGACGATGAATTCGTATGTGTGAGCTGACCAACATTTCATAATCTCTGCTGCGAGGAACTGAGGTTCATGGTGGTCTTAATACTGTGGGTAACGCACGGATCTCAAAGATAAGGAGATTTTAGGAGACGGATGGGAGTAGGCGTTCATGGTGGAGATTCATGGTCATGTTGTTTTGAATGCGCTAGGTTGGGCATTTGTATCACTGCGGCTAATATATCTATTAGTGTCGAGGTGATAGCGCAGTCATGTATTAAGTTTGCGATGTAGTGCTACCGTAACTCTGTTTCCTCACTACATGTAATGTATTAGTGAAACCCTATTTTGTTAACTGGTGCTCATCTCAGAGGTATAGTATAAGGAAGGGTAAAGAATAGCCACTGCGCGAATATAGGCGACTACGTGGCTCGGTCCTAGAGCGGTACTGTGGTGTGTTGGGGTCGTAATGCTATGTGATAGTAAATTTTATCTTTATGTTTTCTTTGACTACACGGCTCTACATGGTGTTTTTGTGATTTATTAGGTATACATAGCTCAATCGAGCTGAAGTAGGTGGTATAAGGTTATGGAATGGCTACTATTGTTTTAATCTGTTACCGAAATGCGGTTCTACTTCTCGTCGAGGGGAGAGATGCGGCAGAGAATGCGTTGAATAGCTGGCCAAATTCAATGTATATGGGTGACAGAAGAGTGGTGGGAAGGACATTGGTGATTCTGGAACGTATAGTGAGTGCAGGAACAGAGTAGTTTTGGTGGGTATATGTGTTCATGTTTTACCCCTACAGCCGCTTATCCTAGAGCCATTGTGCTCTGAATCCAGGGAGTAAACCTATGGAAGATATATGCAAACGCCGAAATCAGACCTTTTCCGCCAGAAAGACACATACCAGTGCCGTGAATGAAACCAATGAACTAGAAAACAATAAACTAGAAAATCAAAAGTACCACCCCCCTTCAAGACGGGGCCCCAACTACCTCTGCTTCATCGTCTGATTCTGACGTCTCAAGCAACTGGCGAGCTCGAGCCATCTTAGCTCTGTCTTCACGGCGTTGGGCTTTGAGTGTCGTTTCTCGTTTCTCAGCGTCTTCAGCCCGTGTTTTCCACCTCTTACTGCTCTCTGAGCTTTCTAGATAACGCGCACGAACCTGGTGGATATCCTTGACAGCTTTACTATACGCTATCGAGAGCTGGTCGTGGTTCCGCTTGAGTCCGTTGTATGCGTTGTGGACGAGATCACTACGCTGTCTCATCGCATCCAGCTCGTTCCTGAGCCTGGTAACTTCTTTTTCGTGCTGTGATGCCAATGCTTGGAGGCCTGCTTCATGATCATGGGTTACGGGCGGTTCTTCGGGGGTCGAGGGCGAGACAGGGACGGATTGCGGATTTTGCTAAAAGATATCGGTCAGCTGAGTGGTATGTGAAGGTCGGGCTGCACTTACAATGGTACTGGAACCACCATAGTCTCGGCGTTTGATTCGAGCTTTGGTGTGTTAGACTAAAGGATATTGAAGTAAGAGTTTGTGGGGGCTTACGTTGAACTGGATCCTCATCTTCTTCGAGCTTTGATGCTACTGCTTGAGGCTTAGAAGTAGAATCCTCGGCAAAATACTCGTGAAGCACTAAATATGGTTAGTTTCATTTACTTGCAAGATATGAAGATTAATGTTCTTACTAGACTTTGGGTTTGCCGCTTTAGCTGATGTTTTCGGCTTACTCAAGCCTGTATCGGGTCTGCGACCCTTGTTGGCGATCCATGAAAATGCTTTTGTGAGATCTGTCCAGAAACTCTTGTAGTGCGTGATAGTATCGAGATAGTTTGCACTAAGGAAGTTGAATAAGAGAAACGGCCGTAGCATGAGGCGAACTGACTGCTGACCTAAGTCGTTGTCGCCGAGGTAGCAAAACGGGGTCTGGAAGTTGATCTCCTTGCATCTACAGACGTCAAGACGTTCAGCTTTGCCTTGCTCATCCATATACATGAAACCAATTTGGTTCGCGTTTACCCCATACACAAAAGCATAGACAATAGTTTCGGATGCGTTTGATTCATGAACGTACGAACCAACGATGAGCATCATCTCTGACGCCTCGGCTGGAATGATGTGCTTCCTATTGGGAATCTGTGCGTCTCCAAACGGACCGGCGAACCTAATGTCGTGACTTGCAGTCACCTCATGATAGTCCGGTATCTCAGCTTGGGCGCGCTTCACAAGGATGTCTAGCGACCAAGTCGTGGGCATTCCGCTGTCTCCTTCTTCTGAGAAACCATGAAACTCTGGAGGAAATGCGGCGTTCATGTTGAGGTAGAGGAGCGAAGTGGATCTTGATACTGTCAGAGGTTATTAGCAGTGTTCTGGTTGCTCTCTGCTCCGTCGACCAGGCTCGTAGTGTGCTAACCTAGGGTATGTCTGGAATTAAGTAGTGCAGTTGGGCTTCTATGCGCTACTCAAGTTAGCAAAGTTCAGATCTCAGTGCAGTGCTGCGAGAGTGGTGCCTGCGAGAAGAGACTCTTACTATCTTGTTCCGGTGATCGAGTGACGAGACGCTTCCTGAGTTAGAGTGGCTTTGTGGATATAGAACAGATCTGGTTGGGTGGCAGATGGTTGGTTGTAAAGGGTAGGAGGAGGTTGTCGCCTTATCTAGTCATAAGTGTGGTGGTTATACGTGTGATGGGTAAAGGTATATCCCAGTGAGTGGCTTCGCACAAAGCAACGAACTCACAGGTGAGAGACACGTACGATGGTGTACATGCACTCTAGAACTGTCAATTGTCTTCGCTACGGAGCATCAAAGGATGAGATTCTTGTTTCGTTAACTATTCGATTCCTCTAGCAATGCGCTCACATTATGATGGTGTGTATAAATGATGTCGATGCTTAGCAGCAGATTTTCACAACGCAGTCTTGTTGTAACAACAATGCGCTCACATTATAACTTACCACGCCCATCTTGACTGCCACATTGCGTGCATCCCATCAAACTTGAATAAGAGGTACTAGCCTGTAGCTATCGTCTTTATCAGAACTATGGTAGCTATCGACAACGAGAGGGTTGTAATGGCGTGCAGACGAAACTGTGGTTGGGTCCACGAGATCTTGAAGAGACCCTGTGGCGCTCTTTCCCCGGAGGTTCGGCGCTAGCGCACCAGTCTCACCAGCCTCACCGGGCTCATCTCGTACTCCATCAGCACCATCGTAAGTATTCAGCCTACCAAGTATTCCATCTCCGCTTGCACGTCTATAAAGACCGAGATGCACGCTACATCGGCTGCCATTAGCATGGACTGATTCGCTCGACGCTGATTCTGCGCTTATTCCCCGCATTATTCCCCCACGTTTGCCTTGCTAACCTGGGGCTAGGCTATACACGCTTGACAAACTTGGCAATAGCTTGAATACATGCCCAGCTTTTAGCCTGAAGTACGGCTGTTCGACTTCATCATGTGTTGCCTGGACGGAAATATCACGACAATTCTTGCGCGGAAAAATCTCAATGACGTCTTGACCGTCGCCTCGGACAAGGTATGGTTAGTTGTCTGGGTATAAAGCTGATAGCATCAGCTACTACCTAGGTACTACTGGGTCTATTCCGACACGTCGGTGTTGGACTGCACACGCCTCCCCGCAATCAGTTATGCGGTTGTACCTTGTACCCTTTTTCTGCGCCATTGGTTGCGTCATTGCCGAAAATGGGTCCCAAGGCTGGCTGCGATACGCTCCTATCCCAGACGGGCCATGTGCTCAATCCGTCCCTTCAACACTCATCGTCCTGAACAGCACCACATTCAGTCCTGTGTATACAGCTGGAAAGGAGCTCCAAAAGGGCATCTTGGGCATCACCGGTACCCAGCTCAACCTGAGCACTACACCATCAGACAGTGATGCAGCCATCATTGTTGGCATCGAAGATGCGTACTTCAATGAATATGGCAATCTTAATGAAAACGAATACATGGAAATGGACGGATTTTTCCTTAGCATGAGTCCAGAGAAGGTCATCATTGTAGGGCAGAATGAGCGCGGTGCCCTGTATGGTGCTTTTGAATACCTCTCCCAACTCGCGCAAAACAACGTCACGTACGGTTCCAAGGTCTACAATCCGCAGGTGCCTATCCGATGGACAAATGAGTGGGACAACATGGATGGAAGTATCGAACACGAGTTTGCTGGCCCTTCAATATTCTTCCGCGATGGCTATGTGATCGACAACACTACCCGCATCGCCGAGTACGCGCGTTTGCTTGCTTCCGTCGGTGTCAATGGCGTAATAATCAACAATGTCAACGCAAACGCTACTTTGCTCAGCGACCGAAATGTCAAGGGTCTTGGCAGAGTGGCTGATGCTATGAGGCCGTATGGAGTCCAGATTGGAATTTCGCTCAACTTTGCGTCCCCAAACCAGTCGCTGGGCACTTTCGATCCGTTGGACCCCAAAGTGGATGCATGGTGGGCGAACATTACCGAACAAATATACTCCAACGTCCCAGATTTTGCCGGTTATCTCGTCAAGGCCAACAGTGAGGGCCAGCCTGGACCGTTGACGTACAACCGGACGCTCGCAGATGGTGCCAACATGTTTGCAAGGGCTCTGGAGCCTCACGGCGGTGTGGTCATGTTCCGCGCTTTTGTGTACGACAACCATATCAACGAATCAAACTGGCGCGATGATCGTGCAAACGCGCAAGTCCAGTTCTTCCAGGACCTCGACGGCAAATTCAACGAGAACGTTGTGGTTCAGATCAAGTTTGGCCCAATCGACTTTCAGGTCCGTGAGCCAGCTTCGCCGTTATTTGGGTCTCTCCGTTATACGAGTACGGCTTTCGAGGTTCAAATCAGCCCAGAGTATCTTGGCCAAAATTGCCATTTGATGTACCTCGCACCACAGTGGAAAGAGATTCTTGAGTTTGATATGCGGTCAGACAATCGTTCGTCCAAGGTGAAGGACATCATTACCGGCAAGCGGTTCAAGCGACCTCTGGGCGGGTATGCCGGTGTATCAAATGTTGGATCCGATACGAATTGGTTGGGCAGCCATCTTGCAATGTCCAATCTCTATGCTTTTGGAAGATTAGCCTGGGATGCATCGGTCGACTCTGAGACGATCTTGCAAGATTGGATCCGTCTCACGTTTGGCTTTGATGAGCATGTCATGGATACCGTTACTGATATGTCAATGAAGTCTTGGCCCGCATATGAAAACTATAGCGGTAATCTCGGCATTCAAACCTTGACCGACATCCTCTACACGCATTTCGGACCGAATCCAGCTTCTCAGGACAATAATGGTTGGGGACAGTGGACACGCGCCGATGCTTTCAGCATCGGAATGGACCGCACGGTGAAGAATGGAACTGGCAACGCTGGTCTATACCCACCCGAGGTCGCTAAGATATATGACAACATCGACCAGACTCCCGATAACCTGTTGCTGTGGTTCCATCACGTACCTTATACCCAGAAACTCAAGTCTGGTAAGACTGTCATCCAGCACTTCTACGATGCTCACTACGAGGGAGCTGCTACTGCTCAGGAGTTTGTGAAGCAATGGGAGTTTCTGCGGGGTAAGATCGACGACGAGCGCTTCGACCATGTCTTGTACAGACAGATCTACCAAGCTGGCCATTCGCTCGTTTGGCGCGACGCCATCAACGAATTCTACCATAACCTCTCAGGGATCCCAGACGAGACCAAACGTGTTGGTAATCACCCGTATCGTATCGAGGCTGAGAGCATGACGCTAAATGGCTACAAGCCTGTTGCCTTAAAACCCTTCGAAACGGCTTCTGGATACAAAGCGATCGTGACCATAACGAACAATACTATGGGTATTGCATCTACCAAGGTCGCATTCGCCAGTGGAACGTACGACATAGCAGTCAACTATTTTGATTTTATCGGTGGGAAGGCCAGGTACAGACTCGAGCTTGGCAATCGGACAGTAGGTAGTTGGATTGGCGATACGGAGGACAAGCTGGGTCACACACCGTCGATATATCTCGATGGCCATTCCGCGACACGTATCACGTTCCAGGGTGTTGAAGTTGAGCAAGGAGAGGAGGTGCGAATCATGGGTCAGGCGGATGGCATGGAGCCGGCGCCCATTGACTATTTGTCCTTTTTGCCTCCAGGAATCGTCGATTAAGTTTGTAGATTAGATCGTTTCGCAAATGTCCGCGACGACGTGTAGACACGAAAATCCCAAGATTAATACCACACGCTGTTCCGATTGGAAACACAGGGACATTAAACTGCTGCACTGCCCAGTCGGCTTCATTTCCACAACCGGGATCCCCCGGCACGCCTCCCGTCCGCCTAACCCACATCAGCCGTGTCTCCCCTTTTGCGCAGCCAGGCAGGTCACCGCAGTCGCAACCGTTGGTGGCTCGAGACGGGGAATCTCTCGAGACCCGTTGTTGTTGCTTTGGCGAGATTCTGGAATTATAGGAAAAAGCAAAGTTGTAGATTACTCACAATTGACGCGCATCGCAGCGTACAAACGTCCGTAATCCTTATGGTGTCTTCGCGCCGAACTTCCCCTCGCATCTTTCGTCCTGTGCCACCGAACGTCCGGCGAGCACGCAAAAGCCTGAGATCCGTGCCGTACGCCGGCACGTTGTAATGTGGCCAGCGTCAGCCTCGACCATCCCATCAGACTCTTCAAAAATCGGCGACAGACGTAGCTGCCTTTGAACAACACACCCGCCACGACACCCCAGCGGTGTCTAGGTACCTTCTCGTGTCCTCGATACGTCCCGGTTGCCACCGCCGCGCACGCATAACCTCATGTCGCGTCCCAGCACGGTCGCTGCCCGATGCGCCGCGCTAGGGACTTCGATTGCTCAGGTTAGAGCTGCTTCAAATGTTCAACTTTGCACCCACAGCGCTAATGCCAAAAACAGGTCATCCCGGACATCAGCAGTTTTGCGCGAAAAGTCCGCCATGCGCGGCACGATTTGAACACCATCAACACTCACCTAATTGTTATCAAGACAGCTCTTGGTATTGCACAGGACGACTTTTCAGCGACATGGGGCGAGTTGCCCCCGTCTCTTGTTGATGCTGTATCACGAGTGCTCGATTCTTGTGATGACACGAGCGAGCGCTTGCATAAAGCGTTCGTCAAGCTCTCCTGTAGCGGCCAGCCAAAGGATGATTGGAGGGCGCTCAAGGACGGGCCGTTGGTGAACTTACGCCATGACCTCGATGCCTCAAAGGTCGTTCTGGAGTTGGCGCTAGACTACATCACGCTGTAAGTATTGAATCAGGAGACGGATGACCAAAATTACTCACCGCTCTTAGATTTGGCCAGCAAGACACAATGGACTCTTTGGTGCAGAACTATGTTAGCGGTTCTGTCACGCAAAGTGATGACCTGCTGAAAAGGACTGACACGGATGAAATATATGTCAACCAAACAGCGCGAGATAGGCTATCTTCGCTATTACAGGCAGTGCGTCTACTGCGATCATGCATAACAGCTATATCAAGAGAAGGTGTTCCGTCAGGATCGCAACGAGAAAGGAGGACCATTATCCCGCGGCCAGACTCATTGGAACCTGCACTTGGTGAGACGCCGCGGAGTGGAAGGAAAAGTCCTAATGAAAAGGCGCCGTCAACTAAAGAGGAGGGAATTGGCACATGGCTGGCGAATATTCCCTCGTTTACAGATGCGCAGCCGTTATCCTATTCTTCCATGGAGCGGACAACTGTTACAAGACTGGAGATACCGCCATCGCGGAACGAAATGACGCCGTCACGTGGCACGTTCTACACAGACGACGGTCTATCACCCAATGCAACTCTTGTAGCGCCAGAGTCACGATTGAAGAAGTCTTACAGCTGGTGTACTGACTTGTCAGGAAAAGCAAGCACTCGGTTACAGCTAGCATCAAAACATGCGTCGAGACACGCATCTAGGTACACATCAACGTTTTCTGGCTCAGACGTCTCCATCTTCCACAAGAAGATCACATCCGACAAGATAGCCGTCACAAAAGCCAAGAGAAAAGAGCTAGGACCAGGCCAGAGAGCAGCACTCGACAGGATCCTAACAAACATCCCATCAGAAGCAACAGCAGCCGAAGTAGAAAGAGTTATCTGGGAAGGCGCAAGTCCAATGGCATCGCACCCAGAATTTGGCTACTTCTTCATCCGAGCAGCATACGAGATGTCACCGGATATCCTAACTCTCCTCATAGAGTTCGGGGCCGACATTACCCGCACAAACTCCCCTTCTGCAGTGTACTACTCCGCCATGCATGCCGCAACTCTAGGACGGCAACTCGAAACCGTCAGGTATCTTGCGTCGCTAGGTCATTCAATCGACTGCCCGGATCACAACGGAGAGACACCACTTCACCTCGCCGTGCAGACTCCCGGCGCGTCTCCCATCGCAAAGTACCTGGTGGAAGCGGGAGCAGACATCGACTACGAAGCGAAGAATGGGTTAACACCCATACATTCGACACTAAAAGCCATGAAATTGGAGGGCAGAGAGCGGAGTAGCTTGATCGAGCTGCTGCTTGCCCATGGTGCGGAGGGAGCGGCGGAGGTGAAGAGAGTCATGGAGTGCAGACGGGATGATAAGAAGGGACGCAGTGTGCTGGGAATAACATAGACGGGGCGTGACAATATAGATCCGGTGTCTTTCTTTTCCAACGCTTGAAGCTGGAGCTGGCCACGGCGAATGGCGGATAGACTGGGCCAGGGTAGAGGCTTGGCGTCGGTTAACTTACGGTCTATCGAGGACTGTGAGTCTATCGGCACTGTAAGGTAGCACTTCAAAGGGCCACCATTCAACCATTGAGGTTCACCACGTTAATACAGTCTCCTTTGTGACAGATATCTGTTCGACGCGCGAGATGCGCAGTCGCTTTTTTTTTCCAGTTTGCGTAAAGAGTAGGCCATACAATTCAACAACGCCGTCACCAAGCTATGTCCGCTGTTACTTACTGGAATGGATATCTGAATATACGAAGAACAGAGCAGCACATCATTGACGTACAAACGGTCCTCATCGAGTATAACAATTGGGCAGTACACGTACGTAGCTCTACAAATACTCATATAACTCACATACATCATATTACAACAAGACCTCCAGAGTCATCAAGCAACCGTGGTACTCTGTGGAGTTGAACCGTTCCTTCAGACACAAGCCAACAGCAATTTAAAGTCATCGAACACCTTCCAATCAACTGGGTTGATCTATATCGCGACCAACCAACATAACACAAATATCTACAATACACGCTACACACAAAATCCAACACCGATACAACTCCACGAATCTACAAGACCGCATCCAAGACCTCATCCAACGAAAGCACCACCGCATCCATACCACTTCAGACCCCAAACGCTACCCACAAGCAACGAACACCTACTTCCCCATCATGTGCGGCGCAACAGTTTTTCGGTATAAACTGTGTGGTCATATGGTCCGTGGGGAACGTGTGCATTGCAATCAGAACCCCAGGCCATCGAGCTGCAACATCAATCGTGAATTTCCGAGGTGGATGGAAGGCTGGTGCCCCACGTGTACGAAAAAGCCACAGAATCAGTGAATACTTCGGGCGCAGACCTAGCAACTATGGCAGACAGGCCTCGCTTCACTATCTTGTCTCTTCACATCCAGTATCACATCTAGAGCTGGGCTTTGATGTTCCATATGTCTATTACATTATAGGAAATATGAAGGTAGAATGAATACTATAGGTATGGACTTGCTATTGACTTTCGAAGTAACGTGAGGGGAGAAGGAGGCTAATGATAGTGGGGTGCTGAGCCAACTCTTTGGCGATCTTAGCCTTCGAGGCCAGGGACGTGTTTTCCAGTGTTCGAGGACATCCGCCATTGCATGGGATTCTCATGAGTAAGCTGATGATGATCATCGAGACCAGGTTGACAGCAAAGGATAGTAAAGCGACGATGGTAATCTCGGGACCAATCGCTACCGTGACGCTAACGTATCGCGCCCCACTTTCATCGGGCATCTCCGACACCACGTCTAGATCTCGTCTCAAGTTTTCGTCAATCGCCGTTCCTCTCGCTCTAAACATCACTTCTAAACCCACAAACATGGCCGAGAAAGCAAACGAGACGTATCTGATGTGGGTGGAGGGAAAAGAGGTGGAAGGGGGAGCGGAGCAGTCAGTCAGCGAGGCCCCTCGTCGTGTTGGTGACGCATTGCAATTGCTAAGCGCTTCGCAGACTCGCCGTTGAAGATCCAGCAACAGGGGAGATTTTCGCACATTGCCACGCAGCCTCGCCCGCCGACGTCGAGCACGCAGTGCAGACGGCGCACAAAGCGTTCAAGTCAGGTGTCTGGTCAAAGGCCCCGCGCCACGTTCGCGCCGACATTCTGGACCGTATCGCCGAACTCCTGGTCCAGAATCTGCCTCGACTCATCGAGCTGGAAGTACGGCAGACGGGGCGCGCGATTCGCGAGATGAAGGCCCAAGTTCCCACCCTGACAAAGTGGTTCAAGTACTATGCCGCCCTCATTCGGACCGAGGAACGCTCCGTCTTGCCAACTGTTGGGAAGCTGCACAACTGGGTTGACAGAAAGCCGCTCGGCGTTGTTGTGCAGATTACTCCATTCAACCATCCTATGCTGATCGCGGTCAAGAAGATTGCTCCTGCCTTAGCGGCTGGTAACTCGATTGTGCTCAAGCCGAGTGAGTTGACGCCGCTAACGAGCATTGAGCTAGGCAAGCTCATGAAAGAGGCGGGTCTGCCAGATGGTATTTTTAACGTACTACCCGGCGACGGTATAACTACGGGTAAAGCTCTAGTCGAGCATCCACTCGTAAAGAAAGTTGATGTTACCGGAGGTACACCAGCTGGACGCGCCATTGGCGCCATTGCAGGACGTAATCTTGCACACTACACCGCTGAGCTCGGCGGCAAAGCGCCGCTCGTCGTATTCAAGCAGGCGCATATTGACCTCGCCGTCAATGGTATCGTATTCGCCAGCTTCATTGCTAGTGGCCAAACATGTGTCGCAGCCACACGCATCATCGTAGAGAACAGCATCCTCGATGAAGTCGTAGACAAGCTGAAAGCCAAAGTGCAAAGCATAGAGAAGCGCATGGGCTCTCCCAAGAATGTAGAATCAATGATGGGCCCACTCATCTCCACAAAGCAACTAAAAAACGTCGAAACACTCGTCAACGACGCAAAAGAAGCTGGCGTAACCGTCATAACCGGCGGCCAGCGAATGACAGCCATATCCTCCCTCGACGCCACCGACTTCTCAAAAGGCTACTTCTACCCGCCCACAATCCTCACCTCCAGCCCCACGGCTAAAATAACACAAACCCGCATCTGGAAAGAAGAAGCCTTCGGTCCCGTCATCGTAGTTGTCGGTTATGACACCGAAGCCGAAGCCCTCCATCTCGCAAACGATAGCGAATTCGGTCTTGGCGCTGCCATCTGGACGCAGGACCTATCGCAGGCGTTCCGGGTGTCAGAGGCAATTGAGAGTGGGATTTGCTGGGTGAATACGCATCATCGGAATGATCCGAGTTCGCCGTGGGGTGGGATTGGCAGTTCGGGTGTGGGCAGTGAGAATGGGGTTGATGCGTATAATGCGTATACGACGGCGAAGAGTACGATTATTAATTTTGCGAGTGTAGAGGAGGGATTGGTGGGGGATGATTGGTTTAGAGAGGGGGCTGGGGAGGTGAGGTATGGGTGAGTGGGGATGGGGTGTAGATGTTGGTATACTGCATATGGATATCTTGGACTAGCGTTTCGAGAGAAATATGAGATGTTAGCACTCTCCTTGCACGTGTTCATTTGTTTAATCTCTTGACTTGCGCCGCACACCCTGGGTCATATGACATCATGTACTCAAAAACTCCACCCTACTCACCCTACCCATCCTCATGAAGCCGCCGAACATAGCTAGCTTTCGCTCTTCATTTTGCTCCTGCTCCGTAGAGACTGCGAGACCCGCGGCGGAGATCGAGGCGGAGGATGGCTTAACCCTCATCCCCTACCTCTCTCTCTTCTTCTTCTTCTCCTCCTCCTTACAATCCCCTCATCCAACGCCCCCCCCCCCCCCCAATTCTCTTGGCCCCGGATACCCTGGCGCCAAAAGCCTCTCAAACGGTAACCTCGCCCTCGACAGCACCCTCTACTCCCCCACCAATAACACATCTGTTACAGGCCATAGCATGAGCGGAATGCAATGCTTATACTGATACAAATACCTTTCCGCGCCATGCCCCATCTAATGTGTCTTATCGGGAAATCGGTTTGGACACCTTGGCGGAAGAGTATGACGCACAGTTGTCAACAATCAATTCAATCCGAAGCTCAAACCCAGCCACTAACCCTACAAGGTAAGAGTTAAACCTATATAAGCAGTTGCTAGCCCTAAATAGGAAGTCAATCAATTCAATCTGAGATCACTAAGCCCCACTTAATTGATTGTTGACAAGTCTGGTATGACGGATTTTGTGGAGCCGATTTCGCACCTCTCGATACTCAGGTATTAGGTGAGAATGGCCTGGGCTTGCGTCCTGTGACGAAGCGTATGTCGCAAAATAGGGACTGCAGTTCTACATCAGAGAACGACATGTTGAGACTATCGTGGCTTTGGTTGTACGTGTGTCAGCTTTCTAGAATGCGGAGGTGGTAGACTGCGAAGCTTACTATGAGATGGAGAGCACTCAGAGGTCTTGCGGCGGTGCGGTATGCTTATTGGAATAACGAAGAGGCCAAGGGAAGTCATGTTGTCTTCGGGGGCTTGGTTGTGCCATGAGAGGTTAGAGCAGATGCCGAGGGCTTCGTCGAGCACTTCAGGGGTATTTGCGAGAGGGGTAGTGGTCTAGTGCCGGATTATGTCGTGGTCCCGACGGCCTTTAAGGAATGATTTGATGCGATCCATATTGTTAGCATATACGGCAGCATTGCAACTCATGGTGTTCTTTTGGAGTAGATAGAGGATTTGATGGTAGAGGTACAACTCTCCCAGAATTACAGAAAGATGTAGTTGTAAGTCAGCCGGTTGATAGTATTGGAATCATAGGATCAATGATGTAGTTTGTATAGTGTCATATCTGTCATAGCAAGCGTCGCATGACCAGCAGACTTGTCATTAAGCAAATCAAACAAACTTTGGACGCTGATTTGATTTGTTTGTACAAAACTTAAGATTGTATTTGAGTTGTTTAGTTTGATAGTGTTTTAGGAGGCCGTTTGTTTGAAAGTTTGATAGATTTGATACTGTTTAGGTGCTGATCTAATCGTATATCGTATATATTACTAAGCTTCGCTGTCCCACTTGCATATTTCGTATATTGCAGCTACCTCAGCGTCAGTTACATCGCCTGAGTTGTAATCAGATGGAGGCTTAAAGCCAGCGTCGCGCCAGCTTCGTATACACTGTATTGCTGCAAGCAGTTGTGACCCAATTTTGCGTCGCCTTGGCTCTAATAAATCACCGAGCTCGCTGAACAGCCGCTCGCACTCACAACTTGAGGCTGGTATTGTTAATATATCGATCGCCATACGCGCTAGGTTAGGATACTTTGGGCGTAGGCTTATCCAATAGCTAACAGGATTACTACCTTGTTCGAACTGCTCCTGCGTCCAGCGGAGTTCAAACCGTCGCCAACGCTCCAGCTCATCCATCTCTGTCACCTCAACAATGCCATAAGGCTCCGCATTAACGAGCGCGTTGATGGCGTCGTTGATACCACTTGAGAGCCGCACTGGTGGGCGACTTTGGCGCTGTATTTGCGGCTTATAGAACGCCCAAAGTTGTTTCAACCCAGCGTTGTTTGCCTCAAGCCAGCTCGGTTTGTCGCGCCAGCTGTTCTCACAGTAGTTCTTGTAGTATGGGTGGAGGCAGGTAGCGGCAAAGTATGCGGGTGATTCGTCGAGCTTAGTGTAATACGCGTTAAGCTTTGCCCAAGCTGCGCGTAGGTTGATAGGAAGGTGATCTTCTGGCGCGCTATTGGCATTATAGTCGACGCTTTCGTGGTTTTTAAGTAGCTGCTCGTACACGGCAAGTACAGCTTCGAAGACAGGTATAACCTCGTATATCGCGCCGAAACGGCCAGCTTTACCGCGAGCTTCAAGCCGTTTTGTCGCCTCCTTTAGCGGCTCCAACACTGATATATACTGGGTTATTACCGCCCAATCGTCAGCCGTAAGCCCATTAGATCTCATCCAAGCTGGTACTTTAGTGAGCTTATTGTTACGGCTACGCGCGTACGCGTCGGCGCCCATCGTCCTTTCGATGTGGCTTTGGGCGTACTCATCAACGGCGTTATGGAGTTTTGCGGCGCGTACAAAGGTGTCGTGAAAGCTGTTCCAGCGCGTGACGACTGGCTTTACCGGCTCGAGTATTTCCTGCTTTTGGTCGGGAGCCTTAGCGTTAACACGGCGCTGGCAATCGGCAAAAAGATCGTGTTGTTGCGGTGTTTGGATGTAGTTGATGATATCGATTAGTACACCAAGCGGACCTTGCTGCCGCCATTCTTGTAGGTAGGCTGCCTCTGTTTTGTGCTCGTCCTGATCATTATCGTACGCGTCCTTATCAAAGCCGAAGATAATCATCTGTCCGACTAAGTTAAGTGTGTGAGGGCCGCAGCGGAGGCGGTGATGGCTTGCTGTAAATTCAAAGCGTTGGGCGAGTTTGGTGACGGCGGTGTCATTAGCGTACGCGTTGTCGAGCACAAAGTACCCAAGCTGGCTACGTGTTATACCGAAGACATCGATTATATTGCCAACAACTTCAGCTATCCTCTCGCCCGTGTGGGCGCCCGTAAGCTGAGGCAGCGCGATAGGTAGGTCCCTGATAGTGCCGTCGGCGTCAGCAAAATGAGCAACAACTCCAAAGAAGCCGCGCTTGCCGCCTTTTGTCGTCCAGCCATCGAAGCTTATATAGATTTTACTAATAGCCGACGAGAGCATCTGAACAACCTGCGGCTCCATATAGCGATACAGCCTCATCACGAAGCTAGCTACACTGTTGTGACTTACCCACAGCGCGTCAGCTGCCTCCGGGTTGGCAAACTCTATCATCTGCCTAAACGCAGGCGTTTCGAACTCGCGGAGAGGGTGGTTATTGTCGACAAGCCACGTAACAGCGGCGTATCGAAAGCGCTGTACGTCGAAGTTTCCGAGCTCGTTAGCGACGCCTTGAGGTACATCGACACCGCCCTCGGTCATCATCTTAAGCGTCGTTTGGCCTCGCGGTAGTGTAATCGAATCCAGTTTGCCCTTGCGATCGTAGCCGTGGCCAAGTAGCTTCTGCGCGAGGTGGTTGATAGCGTTACTGGTCGACTTTGTAACCTCTGGATAGGCGCAAAAGATCTTACGATGATGGCAGTATTTGCAAACAAAGAACGTACGATGAGGCTCACGGAGAGAGGCAACGCGGTAACCGTACTGATATACCCAACTTTTGTTGCGCTTCAACGTACGCAGCGGCTTCGTAAAACGCGGTAAACGCTTCCAATCAATGCCGTCAAAGTTGTCCGTAAACTCGTCATCAAAGCCAGTATCATCCCCGCCTTCGATAGCCTCACTTGTAGCCTCCGTAGCAGCCCTACTACCCTCGGCCGGCGGTTGTATAGTAGCTTCTGGTATAGCGTCGCGCAACTGCGACTCGAACGGCGCGTCTTCGGTGGCCTGGCTTGCTGCAGCAGCTAGGGCTTTACGTGGCGAGGTGCGGATAGACAGCTCAGGCTGCGAATCGTCCATCAGGATAGGCTGCGATGCACTGCCTTTAGCTGTTTTGGCGCGCTTGTGGGGGCCGTGGGGGCCGGGGGTGCCCTCGGCGGCGCGTTTTAGGTTACGAAGCGGCATTTTCGGCGTGTTGGGCAACGAGAAACACTAAAACGTGCTGTAGAGACGGTAGTGTAGCTGCAAAAGATGGCTAACAGCGATATAGAAGATGGGAGATGGGATATAAGATAGCGGTCATCGACGGCTAGCGACGCTCGTGTAGTTATATGATGACTAAGCTAGATGCAACACAAGAAAACTATCGCGAAATTGCTACCTCCGCTATCTCAAAAACATCATTAAAGTCGATCTTAAAGCACCTTAGGACATCATCTATAGAACAGCTCGCTATGTAATATTAGTCAAACAGTCAAACAAACTAAACAAATTTCGATCGTACGTTTGATTTGTTTGTATATTTCTATAGGCAGCGTTTGGTTTGTTTAATTTGCTTATAGTCAAGCAAATCAAACAAACTATTCAAACGCGTTTGCTTAATGACAAGTCTGATGACCAGAAAAGCTTGATCTCGAGATCAGGAGTCTACGAGGAGTGTATGGGATTTGGAATATATAAAGTCACATTCTAGATTCAAAGCTTAAGAAATACTTGTACATTCTTGAGTATCAGTGCGAGTTGTAAGCGATCACGAGTTGATTTTCGGTCCAGCAGCTGGTGGGCAGGAGCCCGGCTGCCATACTAACCGTATTAGGCATTGGCCGCAACCATGGACGCTGGACACCTACACAAGAATATCAACCATGTATCGAGGTGCCAAGAGTGAATCTGGCAGGATATAAACTTACTATGCTGATTTCAAGAGTATTGCGATTACCTCCAGCTGTTTTGAGTTCAATATTGTAATTTTAAGATTGGTGTCCCTTTCACTCTTAGATGGTGCCTCACCTTCACCTTCACCTCGCATCCCTGCTGCGGCAAAGGGAGACACAATAGCACTTCTTGGCAGCGTGCAGCTATTCTTTTCACAACAGCACAATATCAGCGATTGCCCACTTGCACACTATATAAGCCACTGTCTTCCTAGTCCTCTTTCTTAAAACTCCTAATACTCATACCACTACTCCCTTTCAAATCTCTCCATAACATCCCAAATCATCGACATGATCTCCTACGAGCGACTCATAGCGCGCCTACCCACTCTCAGGACTATTGCCGACCAGGAATTCCCTGGTGACGAGAATGAAGAGCGCCGACGCCTCGTCTACTTGGCTACCAAGTCCGTCATGATCTCCTCATAAGGCGGCATTGCCGGCGACGAAAGGGTACTGTCGCCCGGTCCGCTCGAACAATGGCTCCATGTCAAGATCAAGGACATCCACGAGTCCTTCGACGGCCCTGTTCAAGAGGAGCAGGCGCCTGCGCCAAAGAAGCGCAAACTGGCGCCCACAGCAGAAGCCGCACCAGAAAGGTGACAGAAAATACGAACCACAGAGGAGCAAGATGTCGCGATGGCTCTTCTCGCTCTCGCTCACCCCCCGGTTGTTGTTTTTACGCAAGACGTCATGGCCACCAGGGACATTGTTCGCGGTCGCAAGACCTACACAGACTTTTCTGAAGTAAACCGCTTCCAAGACTCCAAGGATGCTTTCTTCGCTGGCGTGCAGTATGCATTTGATAACCTTGCCCCTGCCGAGGCTGGTGTTCCAGCACTCACCTGCGTCGAGTTCCACGACTATGTCGACGCGGAACTGGGTACCAAGACAGTGTCGGAGAAGGAGGTTGAGCAGAATCACGCTGAGCTAGGCGCCGACGGGAGCGCGGAGGCTATAACGACTGCTGGCCAGATCGTGGAGATGGCGAATACGGGGCATATTGGAATGGTGGGAGATGTTGGACGATCGGCTGCCCAAGTTGTCGGCAGAAGCTTCTGGAAGGTCATTTGAGGACCGGATAGAGGATTATGGGGGGTTACATGGTCTAATTACTTGGGTTTGAGCTTGGATTGCGAGATTGTATACGGCATGGCGGGGCTATAATTGGTGGTGTAGAGCATGGATACTCATTGGCGTTGAATAACCGGGAAGAAGGATTTTAGTGTTTTCCAGTGGCTACTGTACATAACAATGTGAAAAGCCTATGCGATATCAAGCTTTCATGACTCTTTGGGATGATCGTATGCATGCCAGTTTTCAATACAGAGCGCAGTCCTTCGATGTCGCTTAGACTACTCATTCCAGAGAACCCTTCCAATTCTAGCATCGTCGTCCCAATCGGGCACACATTCGCGGTTATCCGCGGCCCAAAACATCAATCACTATCCCATAATCGTCAATCATATCTTACTACAAACCTATTATTTTCCATCACGCGGTGACACTGACGGTGATAAACACCAGCCCCACTTTCCTTCCCCCAATCATCTGTACGCCGTATCAGCATCCTTATCTGTCACCTTATCTGTCGGCGCAAACCCGCCGCACCACGTCGCACATATTCTCCTCAGACCACCGAATATCACATAATTCGATTGCTCGCTCGTAACCGAAAGAGTATATATATCTGGCGACGCAGTTCGAACCGCGTGCGCATCTAGAGGACTGTTTCATTGCGCGCGCGAAGCTACCTATCATGGATCACCACTACCATCAACCAATTTGGCCATTGCTTGAGGGCGCGTATGACTATACAATGAATGTTATCGGCGAGGCTTGGTCGATGATGTGGAAGACGGTGGAGCAGCCGAGGGTGCAGCCGGTGAGGGAAAGGGCGGCGCAGAGCTTGCAGCAAGAGCAGACGATTAAAGCGACGTTTGATCATGGCATACCGACGGTGGATTGCATGGTTAGAGATGCGAAGGATGCCTGATGGGCGCTTCGCAGAACCACAGAAAAAGAGAAGGAACGACACTTACGCGTGGGTACTGCAAGATGGCTATGGGCGATGAGCCGATGCTGACGTAATAATAGGAGCGCGGGGACTGCGGAAGGCACGTTCTCTCAGCGATTACCGCAAACTACAGCTTGAAGAGCTGGCTTTACACTATCTGTGAGTGCTTAGAAGATCGTTTGCAAAGGATGACCCATGTATTGACTCGTTCCATAGGAGACTGACGACGATCTTGGCTATGAGGCTCTTATTCTGGAGCGTGAGGCGGCAACCACCAACGAAGCTGTAATGCGGGAAGTTACCTAGTCATTATATGGTATTTACATTCCATGGTAACGTGTGTATACATGCCGGCTCCGATATATACTCATGGAACACATTGAGGATAGAGCCTCTGTATCTTTCCACGCCCCAATAGATAAATTTGGAACCCGTGCTATGGTGCATGTAAGCCAGGCCAATTGCTGTGTAGATCCGAAGAGATGAGCATATATCAGCTGCAGAAGACAGCTTTATGCTGCTCATATCGCTGTGTCACATACGGTAACCCCAAAGATCATGTGTTATCTCGGCTTCACGCCTTGAGGGTCTGCGTAAGCGATGCTAGCACGTGACCCCCTTCCAAGTGAAGGTAAAGGCAAGGGCAACAGGGCGGTGCCCTGATGTTGATGTTGATTATGGTTTAACGCCCTATCTGTAACCTCCCATAGGGTATTCGGGCGGGTCCCGCCGTGGTCTTATAGTGCTGTCGCACTTGCCTCGTGGAACCTATTCCTAGGTGTTTTGTATCTAAGGGGAGTGATGTCCTGCCTATATACATGTTCGTGAAAAGGACTCCCGCCATTTGAAGCCGTTTTCCTACAATATTCTAGTATTTCGTGGCTTGCGCCTTTGATCGATGCAGTACAGTAACTGCTTTTTAGAGAGAGAAACGAAAAAGTAACAAGAGGCAATTTGAGATATAATAAAAGGTTTGAGAGAGAGCGTGTGGGTTGTGGCATCTATGCGGCGTTTTGCCGCGAATCCTACACTGAATAATGCCAAGGAATTCAGCGGGTCTTTGTGAAATTCAAAAATAGAAATCACTCGTCATAGAAGGAGTTCGTTACCTTCACGAAGGTCTCGAACTCTTGTGGCTGGTCTATTAATTGCGCGAGGTACGCTAGGCCTTCCTGTCTTGTGCGAGGGGGCACGATGGGGCGTAGAGGCCACTTCTTGAAGTGTGTTGTGGCTCTCTTGCAGAACACTAGGTGTTCTGGCGTCTTGGGCCTGCCGCATAGGCATTTCGAGGTATCCTCGTGGTTGAATTTTCGGTGGTACCATTCAAAGTCGCCATGCGTTGAGCGTATCATAAGGACTTTCGCGAGTATCCTTCGGGGTAGCCATAGCGCTGCGGGCGTGCGCCTAGTATCGTATGGCAGCTGCCATTGCGTGTACCATGCTGATAGCCTACTGCTCTTATCCTTCCACCAAGTGTCCCTTGTATGTTCGAGGAGGCGGCGGCCTACTGTTCGTATACCGGATCTTGTGGGGGAGGCGGCCATGCCGTATGGCTGGTGCGGGTCTTTGGCCTCGTTGTCAGCCAGCTGGTCGGCGAGTTCGTTTCCAACAATCTTCATGTGTCCCGGCGCCCACCGCGTTTTCACGCTGTAGGCCTCCATAGCTCCATGAATTTGGAGGAACGCCCATTGGGAGGAGGCAGGGGCGGCTCCGCGTATGCCCCATATTACCGAAGTGCTGTCTATGCAGAGTACGATCTCCCTCTGGCTAGGCAGTGAGAGTTGTAGTGCGTGTTTGAGTCCTCTGCACGCGCCTATAGCCTCCGCATCGAAGACGTGGCTAAGGGCATTTAGTGAGCCTTGTCCAGTCGCCACGGCGGCCTGGCCCTGGTATATAGCGTACCCGTAAGTGACCACCCTTGTACCGTTGATTTGTTGTTCAGACCCGTCTGAGAAGACAGTGATTGTCTCTTGTCCAAGAGACTCCCACCAGATGGTGAAATTCTGGGCAGCAATGTCCTTTCCTTGCCCTTGCGTTGGGTCCTGCCTCGACCCGTATGAAAAGTGAGGGCTGGCTAGGACGTTTCGGGGTGTGGCGGGTAGCAGTTGTGCTACGCGCTGAACCTTCGATCTTGGTATCCGTCGGTTGCCCGCTGCGCGTCCTCGTATGACTAGTGGCAGTGTAGTTCTATTAGTAAGTGGGTGCTTGTCGTCTATCGTGCGTAGGTGAACTGCAAAGCGGAGCTTAGCCTCCTCCAGCGCCACCTGTGCCGACGGCATCGCAGCTTCTCTTAGCAGTACTGCGTTTGGTGTTGTCCTCCACGCAGGGAGGATTGCCTTCGTGGCTGCTATTAGTGCCTGATCTATCGTGGTTAGGTGCCAGCCTACCCTAGTGCTGACCGTGGGTTTACGGGAAACCCTTGCAATTCGTGGGTTCTTCGTCCTGCCCTCGTACCATGTTTCGGCTCCGTATAGTAGTATGGGCAGGATACATGTTATGGCTGCCTTGCGTAGCGATCCTGCTGGAGGGCCGTGGGCTGTGTTGGCGAGGCTCCGGAGATGGTTCGCTACTTTCCTAGCTTGCGCCGCCCTTTCTGCGACGTGCTTCTTGAAAGTTAGTCCCCTATCAAACCACACCCCAAGCCAGCGCAGCGCAGTCTGGCTTCCCCCCTGCGCAGGGGCTATAGGGTGAATTGTTTGATCTTCCAATTGGATTGGCGGCGCATGTAGTCCTTTCTGGCGCGTGAGGTGGATCAGCTCCCGTTTCTCTGGTGCAAACGTGATCTTGTTCGCAGCTCCCCATTCATTGATAGATTTGAGGTCCTCTGCTAGCAGTGCGACGTTCTCGTCTAAAGAGTGGGAGACCCGGTATAGGTTGATGTCGTCGGCATACCCGAACCGGAGTTTTCGGTCCTGGTTGAGTAGTTCAGCTAGGTATAGGGTGTATAGGACCGGTGATAGCGGCGATCCCTGCGGGGTGCCGCAGGCCACTCGATGTACAGGTGTAGTGACATTGCCTAGGCGTACTCGCACCCTCCTTTCCGACAGGAAGTTCTGGATAAATTTCCGGAGTAGGGGTGGCCACCCTTGTTGCCGCATTCGGTGTAGTAGCCTGTTTTTCAGTAGCGCGTCAAACGCCCCTTGGACGTCTAACGTGAGCATAGAGACATGCTCGTGTCTTGACCAAGCCATCTCCACGTCGTGTGTGAATGCGGTCGCCAGGTCCATCGCAGAGCGTTTTGGCAGCGCTCCACCGTGCTGTGGGCTTAGGATGTCAAAAGCCATAGCTGTGTGTGCTATGCGCCTTGCTATGATACGCTCGAGTCCCTTCCCTAGACAGGACGATAGGGCAATTGGTCTCATTGATCTGGGTGAGGACTTATCCTTCTTCCCGACTTTGGGTATCATGGCCACTTCTACCGTCTTCCAGGCGGCTGGGTAGTGGCCTTGTTCCATGCACGCCCGGTAGATGCCTAGCACTAGGTGTCTAATGTGTTCCCAGCATGCCTTTAGGAGTCGGACGGTCACCTGATCGGGTCCTGGGGAGGTGCTAGATACTCCAATCACGTAGCGTTCAGTCTCCTCCATCGATATGTATGTGTCCCATGGTAGTGGCGTGGTTTGCGGGTCGTTGTCAAGAGGCGGTGGTTCTAGGAGGTCGTCCTCCGCCGAAAAACGGTCGAGGATTGCCTCTCTAAGTGCCTCAGCTTTCTCGAGTGGTGCTGTGATTGTCCTACCTTCGATTACAAGTGGGGTGTCCCGTTGGTCGAATGATAGTTTATGCCAGCCTACTAGCTTGTATAGATCTTTGTCGTTATTACAGCCGTCTATGCGCTGCTGCCAGTACGTTCTCTTGGCTTTTCGTACCGTAGCTAGGAACGCACGGGTGGCTTCTGAGGGGGATTGGCCATAGTCCGACTTTTCCTGGATATGCCGCTTATACGCCACTCTACAGTCCTCTGTCCACCATGGGGCGGAGTGGCCTTTTTCTCTATTTGGTGTTCCCGCCGCGTGCATTGCATCTCCTATAGCTTGGGTGATTCTAGCTATGCTTGCGTCGATTACGTCCGCTGGGGCGCTATTGCTAATTGGCTGTACGCCTACTGTGTAGAGTTGAACTAGCCCGGCAAACCTATCTATGTTTCTCTCGTGGACCCGGTAGTGATGCTGTTCTAGCACCGCTCTCCCTCGGCTTGGAAGGACAGTCACTAGGGTGAAATGGTCTGACCCTGTATACATATCTTCGCGGACTGTCGTTCTAGCGAAGGGTATATTTGAGAAGGATACGTCTAGCACGTGTCCCGCCCGATGTGTTGGGTTACCTGCCTCGCCGATGTAGGGTATGTCGTTCTGAGTGGCCCAGCGGGCGATCTCTGCCCCCCTATTGGCCGACGTGGAGCCGGGCTCAAAAAGTTCATGGCGGGCGTTTAAGTCACCCCCTACAAGGCAGTTACGGGGTGGCGTTAAAGCTGTGAGGTATTGAAATGTCGAGTCATTCTGTGGCTGCCTATAAACATTCAATATGCGGTAGCCGTTGGCCTCGATCCATAGCACATCCCGGCTGATGCGTGGGTGTATAAGAGTAGCCCTTATATTTGGGCTCTTACGGGTATAGGTGAGCACCCGTGGTCGGTCAGTTCCCCACGTTGTGGGGTTGTTCCAGCTTATCACTGGCGATATCATATGGAATCCTGGGTGTGTAGAGGTCCGGGTTCCAGTGAGAGTAAAGGGTTCTTGGATGCATACTATGTCTATGTCTGCTTCCCATGCACGTTCTAAGGCTGTAATGTGGCAAGGCGAGCTTCTGGCCACATTCACCCAGCATACCTGCATTTGTCTGTGTCGGTGTGGCGTGGTTTCGCCGGGTGAATTTGCGGGTTGTGCCCTCATTACGCACTAGATCCGAGGCTCATTTCAGTGTCAGCGTGCTCAGACGATGACGTATTAGGGTCTTGGTCAGCGGTGCTAGGCTGCACGCTTCTAGCAGACATTCGCGCTAGGTTGAGGTCTTGCGTAGTTGCAGCTGTTCTCTTAGACCTCCTAGTCCCTAGGGTGGTTGCGGGCTCTCTAACAGTGGCTGTGTTTAGGTTGTTTACGTCTTGTCGGCTTCTTTTACTTGCGTCCGTAGGTGTTCCCACAGGCTCAGTAGTATTAGCTATGTCGCCGTCCGTGATTTCAATGGAGGTTTCGACCGTGCTGCCTGTCTGTCTTCCTCTAGCTGGCTGCATTGCCTCAGAAGCACGGTCACCCGCCTCCCTAATGACTTTTAGTTCCCCCTTTGTGGGTTGGATGAGTCGGCCGTTCGCCCTCGTTGGGGCTGCTGGGCACTTGTCGTGGGTTGCTGGAAATGGGCCGTGGCAGTTGGCGCACTTTGGTGTGTCTTTGCATTGTTCTCCGTGTGGTCCCTGGTGAGTTGCCGTTGTTTTGCTGCATGTCGTGCAGCGGGCTGGCCTTGTGCAGCGGCTGGTTTTGCAGTACCCTAGGCAGCCTGGGTCGTGCAGCATTGCAGGTGAGTTCTTCTTTATCTCGTGCGCGTAGTCGCCCGTCCCAAATAGGCGAAACGATCGTACGGGTCTGGTGAAAGATATAATCCAGGTTGTCCTTCCCTCCGTGGGTCCATGTCTGGAGGGCCGGCAGCTCGCCGGTTCGATCCCTGTCTGGGACAGAGCTTCGCTGACTATATCGTCTATTGTGGTGGGTATACTTTCCCCTGTGATAGTGCGGTATGAGCTTTCTACGCCCTGGACTGCATAGTTCACCCATCGTTCAGGTAGTCTTGCGCTCTCGCCCTCTACCGCTCGGATCATGAGTTCGCGATTCTCCTGCCCCATAAGCAGGGCCTTGATTTTGTCGTTGCGGGGCGTAATCGCCCAGCCAGTCTTGATATGTTTTGCCGTAGGTATGTCGGAGGGGGTAATTTCCTTAATCGCCTTTACAATAGCCATGCGGGCCGCAAATGGTGATGCCCGTTGGAGCCGAGCCTCCGCTCCAACCGCTATAAGGATACGGTTGTCAGTGTTTAGAGGTCGCCTAGGAGTTTGAGCTAGCTGCTTTGGGGCAGCCGTGGCCGCTTTCGTCGTAGCGGCCCCCCTTGCTGGGGGGGTTGGATTTTTCAGGGTCCTAGCTACGTCCGCCCAGGAGCGGTGCGTAGTGTCAGAGTCGCTCCCTGAGTTTGGGGGCGTGATTAGGGGCGTGATTAGGGAGGTGTTAATAGCCCTTAGCACCTTCTGTTGAAGGTCCTTAGCCACACGGGCTCCGTCTGGGTCGGTGTACTTCCCAAGGCATCTGTCGACAGCTGTCGCTAGATCCGTTATGATGGAGTGGTGGAGGTTTGTAGCTTTTTGGGCTGCCTGAATCCGCTGGCGGACCGCTTCAGAGACAGCTTGATTGTAGGAGGTGGGCGCAGTGCTACCGATAGAAGGTTCAGCACGAGTATGTGCTCGCTGCCTCCTCTTGTTGCCGCGCAGGTCAGTATTAATAGGGCTCTCAGGCTCCTCTGATCGTGTATGGGGGGGTTGGGCACTCCGTGGCGCCCTCTCTGGAGTTTCTACATTAGCCATTCTAACCACCTCCGCGAGAGCAGAAAGCGGTTATTTAGCTGAGGTAGTTACAGGCCGCCGTGCCGTTAAAATGATGTAAAAATCGTATAATTTTATAAGGGTCCCAAATTCCTTAAAAGTTGGTGTTCGGTGTGGGGCGGTGCCCTGATGTTGATTATGGTTTAACGCCCTATCTGTAACCTCCCATAGGGTATTCGGGCGGGGGCGGTGCCCTGAGAAGGTGCTGGAGGCTACAAAACGCTTTAGTGAGTCCCGCTGTAAACATCATCTTTCTGACTCTTCCATCCATATCTACAATTATTACCATGGCTAACCACACTCCTACCGCTGCGGCGATCGAACGTCGGCTCTCTCAAATCCAGCAAGCTCTCGAAGATGTTAAGACTCAATTCGAAACCTTCGTTACTAAAATCGACAAGGTCCAAAGTGACTTGCACCTACACCGAGCTCAGACTAAGAAGCAAATGACCAGCATTAGGGCATTCACCCGCAACTACAACATGCGCTTAGTCAACTCGCAAGTGAGCGACGGAGATGCACAACTGGGACATCTATACGACCACAATACCAACAGACCGATATCCAATCTTCCGCTTACTGCCAACGATTATCGTCAACTAGATCGTAAGTGCTCACACATATGACCGTTTCGTTTCATCGTATGCGACATAACGAACGGCAACTCCGACTATCAACGTACTCATAGAGTATTGAAGATAGACACAAGTTGTAACGTTGCCACACAGTATCTTCATGTGATCGCATCGCTCTCTCTTTGGGTTATATTCTGGCGCCATTCCCTTCATTAAGGACCCGGCAAAACTTTCTCCTCTTGCAATCTGGATTCGGTGGAACAGTACAATGAGATAACATACAAGAGCTCAATTATGTTTGCAGCGTCTGGTAAGATGGAGGATTGCGAAGGAGTACCAGAGGCAGGATGGATGAGTGAAACCATATGAGGGGTACCGTAGCAGCGCATTGATAGCAGGGATACCGTAATCGCGTAATGATAGCAGACGTATTGTAGCAGAATCAATGGTAATGGTCAAATGTGTGCGCAACGAAAGCTAGCCTCTCGTGAATGGTAACATGTAGTCGCCGAAGACGCCGAAGAGCCCGATTAACAGATTGAGGAGCGTCTTGCGACCTATTCCATCCTTTTGGACGTCAATGAAATTTTCATCGCCGAATAATACCGACAAGTTATTTCCGGTACTCGTATGCAGCCTTCTGTTTGCGCGACACGCCTTAGTAGAGGGGGTGGCATCTGGTGATGCATGTTGGATGTATGGCAATGAGATATCGCTCACCCCCAAGGTCATGCATGCTATTAGACATAATGAAGAAGATTAAGAATGTGTTGACAGAAAAAGCACAACAATGACGAAGATGATGAGGACATGGGTGATCATGAAAGACCCAATAACGATAATGACGATTATCTACCAGGATACAGACAGCGATCTTATGCAGGGGATATCTAATGCTATGCGGGCTCCAAAGACGATACGGACTAGACTAGAAATTGACCACATGCCTGCATAGGTTCCGGTCAGGGCGCGGCGCTAGGGGCAAGAGTACACACGTGCGAAGCCATCTGCGCCTGAAACATCAGCACCAGTAGAAGCCACCATGCTCCTCGTATGCATAGTGAAGTGGCTAGTGACGGTACAGATGGCCGGATGGCTAGACGGTGTGTCCGGCGTAGTCGCTTCTCCCCGCAACCCGCACGACCTCTTGCCCGATGCGGGTCTTCTAAACCCCGGCGCAAAGCTTGGCGTGCAGATCCCGACCGGCCTCTTTGCGAACCGCCTCGTCTTTCTATCACTACTGCTGTAGCTTCGTCACCTGCATGCCAGGCTTCAGCTATTACCCAATTGCAAACCCCGCACAATGGATTCGTTGTTGCCAAGCGTTGTCACGAAACTTTCGGATGTCGCTAGCCGTTGTGAACTATATTGACTTTCAGCGCGACTGAGGCTGTGCAGTCTGCCATGAGATGATAGTTATTCAATTTTCATCTAGCTCATCTTGTACAGACATAATACACATATTACAGGTCAGCTCACTATTAGCTAAGAATATCGTATAGCAAGCGCGTTATGATATCAAGGATGCGGCGGTGAGTGCTACCTTATCGGGGAGTTTCCTCGCCAAGACCTCTCGCCCGAAATCCGCGGCTCGTCGATCAAATGCTCCAAGCACAGCGCATGACAAGTCCGCCAGAGTCAATGTTAGGAAGGGCCCACTGTAAAGAACCCGTTGGTTCCTTTAAAACAAATCGTGGTGGCGCCCTCAGGGTTCTCACAAATATTTCTCGTCGTCATTGCTTTGCGTCCCAAACGTAACCGGTTTGCTACGACACTGACGGACCTTTCTCAACCACGACACTGTTTGTTGTTACACTACTTGCTAAGTGCTTTGCATGATATTGTGAGATACGTAGGCGTGTTGACCTTCGACGCCAGCTGGAGCTAGGACCCAATCCGACGACTTATAATGAAGTTCCTGCCTACTTTCGCGGAGAACAGCGACGCACGGGCGGCGTCCCTTGCGAACATAGCCCATGATACAATCGGAGAAACATACATCGAAGAAGACCCATCAGTGTTAGAATGGTTTCGCGATCTCGTACCGACATCACAAGGCGTAGCCGACTATGCCCGTGGACTATTTCCCAGCGCCCGTTGGATAAGAAGATACAACGTTCACTGGCTAGCTGGTGACGCCATTGCTGGTAGGTGCCGCTGATAAGAGACGAGGCTGTTTCTTCATACTGACATGAGTAAGGTATCACCGTCGGGCTTGTTGTCGTTCCCCAGGGCATGGCATATGCATCGCTGGCTCAATTGACTCCTGCCTTCGGCTTATACACATCCTTCACTGGCGCATGTCTGTATTGGATCTTTGGAACATCGCGAGATATCGTGATAGGTGTAAGTATAACCTCCTTCTGTAACAATCTCAAGCTAATCCACACTAGACTACCGCCGTGGGGTCACTTCTAATCGGTAGCGCTGTCAGCAACATCCAAGCGACACATCCCGGAGTCTACCAGGCGGAAGAAATTGCACGTGCGCTTAGTTTCCTCGCCGGCGCTATCATCTTCGGCTTTGGTATACTACGCCTAGGGTTCATTATCGAGTTCATCCCATACATCCCAATTTCCGCTTTCGTCACATCAGCCAGCATCACCATCATATCAACACAACTGCCGACCGTCTTCGGCATCACAGGCATCAACACGCGCGAGCCACCGTACAAAGTATATGTCAACTTCCTAAGAGGTTTACCTAGGGCGAAACTCGATGCAGCTATCGGCATCACATCCATCGTGCTCTTGTATGCGATCAAGACATTTTGCGCCAAGATGGAAGTACGACAACCACAGAAGAAGAAGATGTGGTCTCTAATCTCCTCGCTGCGCCTCACCTTTACCATCTTGCTCTATACCCTTGTCAGCTTCCTAGTACATCGTACGACTGAGAACGGTCACGAGAAGTTCAGAATTGTCGGACGCATTGAGAAAGGTTTCAGCCACGCTGGCGTGCCACCAATGGATCTCAAGTTGTTCGGCCTTGTAGCCACCGAGCTTCCTGCCATCATCATCATTCTCATTGTAGAGCACATGGCCATTGCCAAGAACTTCGGTCGAAAAAACAATTACACTGTTGTTCCTTCACAAGAGATGATTGCGCAAGGCGCTGCCAATATACTCAGTCCTTTTGTGGGTGGTTATGTTTGTACAGGATCTTTTGGTGCTTCAGCTGTTCTTTCCAAAGCAGCCGTACGTACTCCGCTCTCGGGTGCATTCAGTGCTGTAGTACTCGTACTAGCGTTGTATGCTCTTACAAAGGTCTTCTACTTCATCCCCAAGGCGGCATTGGCAGGTCTCATCATACACTCTACCATCGATCTCATCAAGGGACCAACAGATTTGTATAAATACTACCAGCTATCCCCGTTTGAGCTTTTCATCTGGGTATGTGGTGTCATCATCGCCTTCTTCACCAACCTGGAGAAGGCCATCTACATCACAGTGGGCCTGTCATTTGGAATGCTTCTTTTCCGAATGGCGAAGAGCTCAGGTAGGTTCGGTGGCGCTGTTGGGGTAACTCGCATCGTAAGAGAGAATTACTCTTCGAACGTATCGGTTTCGTCTTCAACCACAAGACTGCCGACGGGAACCGGAGATGCTCAGACTAAGAGTTACGAACAATTACCAGACACACGGCAGGTTTACCTTCCTTACAGCGCAACGGACAACCATAACCCAAGCATCGACGTCGAACCCGCATATCCTGGCGTCTTCATCTACCGGTTCAGCGAAAACTTCAATTACATCAACCAAGCCTTTCATGTCGACTACCTGACATCATACATAACGACACATACACGCCGGACCCAAGCTGACGATGGTATCCGTGCAAGCGACCGCCTGTGGTGCGATGCGCCGCCAACTGCAAAGTCGATCGAAGAGTCGTCATCCTTGCCTGTTCTCCGCGCTGTTGTTCTGGACTTCTCGACAGTCAACGTCCTCGACATAACAAGCATAGACGGTCTGAAAGGTCTACGCGACACACTAGATCGACACGCAGCGCCCGGAGTAGTGGAATGGCACTTTGCAGGCGTACACAACCGATGGACACGCAAGGCCCTCGCCTTCGCTGGATTCGGCTTTCCCGCCCTCTCAGATGCAAACGAAACAGGAAACTGGTGTCCCGCCTACACCGTCACCACAAGCCTCGCCGGCGCAACCGAGGACGAGCGAAAAGACAAGGACGCCGCGCAGCTGCAACTGCAGAAACAAGATTTGGAGTCTGGCAAGCCACAGACAGAAGTGAATATCTCACGATTCCAGTCCTCGCCACAGTCAAACGAAAAGAGGCGATTCAATCCGGTGTTTGGAATTGATCGACCGTTCTTTCACCTTGATCTACACGATGCTGTGGATACGGCTGTTCGAGATGCGAAACATGCGGATTGGTGTGAGACAAGAACGGCGTGTTCGTCGGCTAGCTTGTCCTCTGAGGAAACTGGAGAGGCGTAGTAACGTTGTGTTGTTATTTCATTACGAGTTTAAAACTAATGTATGCATACCAGGCGTTTGGGCACATTAGGCATTCGCGGATGGCGTCGCATTAGGCATCAGTGTTGTTGTGCTGATACCTAAAAACTTTGTATTATAGAATGCATTCCTTTACCCCAGATTATTAGTTGAACAATGGATACGCTCCTACAAATCTTGCCACGTACGTGTGTGAAATCTGTCTTCAAATGTTGTATTCACTCCACGTGTATGTCACATGATGAGGTGACAGTGCTTAAGCACGGGCCTTGTGTATATAGGTACTCCGCCGGGTATTGCTAATTTCGGTAGACTTACACAATACGTTAACTTTCCACCCAAGCATGTTGCAGTGTGCAATCCAGCTGTTCGTACCCAACGCATCAGGCTGCTAAGTCCCTCTTTCTACATTCTATTAAAGCTGTGTGCTCATCCTTTTCTCACTCAGTCACCCCATTCAGATAACACAACCACTTCAGCTCCACACTATGCCGCCTGCTCCCCCATCCGAAATCAGCAGCCCCGGTTACAACGCGGTGCGGATCAGAAAGATATTGGACTTGATGTCTGTTTCCGACCAGATTCGAGACAGTGGTGGAGAGGATGAAGGTAAACAGCAATCGCAGGCAGATAAAAGCGCCAGGCTAAATGAGGTGGAAGACAAGATCAAAAGTCTAATCGACGAGATGAACAATGACCAGGTTGTCGAATATCTAGTAGAGCTGGCAAATGATGCAGATAAGCGGATTCTCCAGAAGAAAGAGTGAGTTCAAGGAAAACGGCAGCGGAACTTAGTTCTGAAGATACTGATTCCCAACCAGTAAGAAGAAGCACCCATTCTGCGCCTCGATCATCACGCTTTTGCGTCTGGGAAGACTTTCTAATCTTATTTTCCCTTGTAAAACGCATGCTATAGGTCATCTTCGACATCCCCATAAATAGTATATACTCCTCCATGTCCTCTTCCGCTTCCTCCATCATACCCTTACGCTTCCAAGTTTCCATCGAGCAGGTGAATTCATGATGTACGCTCGCCTCCACACACCTCGCCATCTTCACAACATCTCCCCTCACTTTATACTCGAACTCGCCTATATACAGCGCCCGTAACATCACAACCGCGCCATCCTGGAAAGATTTGCACGCAGGCTGCTTCTGCAACCGAAGAATCGACGCCCAGGATTCGCAAGCGCGGGATTTTCAGGACTAGGGTTTGTACGTAGAAGTGGGAGAGCGCAGGCCCGTTGTAGCCGAGTTTTGGTTTCCGCGAGATGGAGAGTAGGTATTCGCGGACGTATTGTACACCGAGGGCGAAGGCAGCTCTGGGGGTTATGCAGTTGTTGAATGGGGGCCAGAGCGGGGTTGTCATGTCTAGCCCGTTGAAAAGGGCGCGAGGACTATTAGACATGTTGGGTGATAGGTGGACGGTTGATTGATAGGGATTTGAGGAGGTGATCTGAGGAGAGTAATAAGAGGCCTGTTTGTCCGCTGTGGATCAGTGTTGGGTTGTAGAGAGGCGCGGGGAATGATCAGGTGGTGCGTACGGGGAGACATTGTGTATGTAGCTAGTGGTCTGACATTATGACATCCTGTCAAATTGCAAGAGTAAACAGTCTACCGAATCTATCGTCATGGCGCAGTTGCTGTCGGATCAGATCAATGTCATTGTCAAAGGCACGTATGGCCGCGAGGAAAACGGAATAGAAAGTGACTACATGATAACATGCCATGCCACCTCCAGGACCAGATATCGTCACTATTGATCTGGCTTTGGCGAGGCGGTGGAAGTGCGGATATACACCTAGAGGGCGCAAGTTGCCCCACTTAAAGGTACTCACATTCACGCTCACTTCCCCGCCTTAGCGCAAATTTGGCTCACTGTGCGGCCGCTTTTGCCCTCGCCACTTTCAGTCGTTCAGCCAGTAAAAGCAGGGCATTTGCCAGCTAGGCAGCATATATAAAGGCTCGATTGCAGCTTCCTGCTCTCTCTTTCTTTCCTCAACTCCTTCGCCCACGGCACGCTGGCCGACCCTGGAGTGTGTCACATTGAGCTTGCTAATTCGGAACCAGCGAGCTAACAGCATGCAAGATGCCCAAGCATCTCTTGTCAGAGCGCCCTGCCTGCGACGAATGCAAGCAGCGGCGAAGGCGCTGCATGCACAGAGCGGCGCCCGTTGACAAGAGATCAGGCAAACGGTCCGTTGCCTGCGACGACTGCAAGAAGCGACACAACCGATGTGAGCATGTGGAGGAGCTCATCGACACATCGGCGTCGTGCGACGGACCGTTTGCTAGTTCACCACCGGCCAGTCAGGTGGCATCAGGCTCGCCCGAAAAGGTATGCGCATCTGATACCTCGACACACACCTCGAGATACGTCACTGACAAACAACAGACACAAGGCATGGAGTTTGGTGCACCCATGTACCACTACTACACTCGCCGCAGCACAAAGGCCAAGGAGCCCATCCAATACCAACCCCAATCCATCGCAGTCACAGTTGCAAAAGCCAAGGAGCCCACTAAATACCGACCCCAACCTGCCGCGGTCACAGTCGCAAAGGCCACCCCCACCAAGGCCACAAGATCTTCCCCTCTCAGCTCCCCTCCCAGCTCACCGTCCACCCATCTCTATTCCACGCCGCCGGCTCAACTCCCCTCATCATCATCAGCCGGCCACGCCTTCCCGCCCTTCCCCTCTGAGTCCGCACGCTCACTCCCGCACTTCTACACTGGCACCACCATAGCCTTGGAGAACATCATGGGCGATCACAAAGACGACCCTGAACTCAGCTTGCTTCAGTTAATCAAAGAACTGGACGATAATGCCCCCACTGTCAAAGATGGGGTTCATCAAGTCATTCTGAGGGGGAACAAGTGGGTCTATCGGGTACTCCGGGAGTTGGTGGCTGAGAATGAGGACGAGGAAGAAGATCAAAACGATGAGTGGATTGATGAAGACAGCGATGAGCAGATGGATGAAGACAGCAATGAGGGTGCTGACGTCGAGATGTGTGTTACATATTTGTCATGGTGGGTTGAGTCAGAGAGGGTAAGGTTGTGTCTTTGATATCAGGAATGATGGGCATGGGGATCGAGATATAGGTTGAAATGGACATTGATGATATGGAGGGGCAGATTTGGATGTACGATATACTTGGCTGCGAGGCAAAGACTGACGATGATATCATTATTTGCCTACAGAAGGATCATACAGATCCCTTACTACTATACTTAGCTTGCTTCACGATACCCATAATGGAAGCTTTTCCTTGCTGAACATGTACCCTTGTCATTGCTTAGTGAGCTGGTTGTTGTCATTCACCCTCTGCTTTGAACATGCGCTGATTTTGGCAAGAGCTCTACCGAACTTTCTCACTCTTACCTCTTACCTTACTGAGGCGGATTTTGTCATCTACCATCCACCATCGCCCATAAAAACAAACGCCCAATATCACCGCGCCGGCACCTCTATCGAACCCATTCATCAACGAACCAAGATCCCCCCCGATCCTCATGCGGGCAAAGTCCGACCCAGGCCAAATTCAGCGTCAAAACCACGAATACGGCCGCACATTCGGTAGTTTAGCGGCGCATGGCCATCAACAGGTCTCACTAAAACTGCTGGCTGGGCGTCAAGATGGCGACGATGGTGAGCACCTGCATGGCGTTCGAGCACTCCGCGCTCGAGGTCGAAGATCTTCATGTAGATGGTGGCGGAGACGACGACGGAGACGGCCGCAGGGACTACCTGCTTGTGGTCGCGGTTCCTGGTGATCGGGCTGCGCTGGAGAGATAGTATAATGGATGCGTGTGCCTGTCCTTCACTGGTGTCGCTACTCAGCTCTTCTTGAACGCTCTAGAGTAAGTAATTGTAGTAAGCATCGAGAGAGAGAGGGAGGGCGCTGAGTCGTCGTTGTATAGATCATGTGTCTGCCTTTACAAGACCAGAGACATGTGTAAGGTGGCCATATTCTTCCTCTTTGGAGGTAAAGGTCATATGGCAGTTGAAATATTAGTATTTAAACGTACATATACACGTACATGCATAATCGAATACGCGTGTAGTTACAAGATCCACCCAGCGATAGCAACTGCCCCTCCTTTCTTCTCATCTCCCGTTTCCGCCATCAACACCAACACCATGCTTCCATTCATTTGGTAGGATTTCGTTCATGATATCACTACATTGTCATTCATTACACTCATCCCATCACCCGTTCGTCCAATCACACCAGCACCAGCATATCCCCTTTAAACTGCCATCTTACTTAGGGTATAAAACAAAACACCTCCCAGCACCCAACCCACCCACTCCCCTTACATATGTATGCCCAGCGTTTTTGCTTTTTTCGTTTCAGCTTTGCAGCTGCCGCTGAGTCGTGGTAAGTGGACGCGACGCGACCGTTTATTTTCATCTCGCGTCTACATTGGCATCGCAAGAAAAGCCACGCGCATTGAGGCGATATGCTGACCCACTCAATTTGCGTTCCAGGTCGATCTGGGCGTTGTGTCTAGAACGAAAAGAACAAGATGAAGAAGGGTGTGAGACTTTTTTCGGCAGGCAGGGGGGTTGAGGCTGCTTTTTCCCATCGTCGTCGAATTGCCGGCCGAGGGGAGGCAAAAGATTGTGGTTCTAAGCCCGATAATGGCAATGATGTTGCGGCTCTCGCTTTCGCTCGAGATCGGCGTCAATCCCGTGTCATCGGGGATGTGTGAAAAATGCCAAGTCCGGGGATCATCGCTTTTTCGTTGATCATTGAAACTAAGGGTGCGCCAGAACTTTCAGGCAGTCATGCTGCCCGGGGGAAAACGGGATGATCACATTAATCGCATTCGGTTCCGTAATCGTGTACTTCGTGAGTATGTGAATTGCTCATCAACTCATCAATTCGTATGTAAAATATCTTCGGCAAGAGTTTGATACTGGCATTTTTCTTCAGTATGTCTGTAATTGGGGCGGCGGGAAGAGCTGGTGACTCTGTTCGATCATCATCTCAATGTTCTTTGCTTCCTTCATCTCAAAGTCGTGCATTAGCTCCATTTGCTGCTGCTGGTTCAGTCCAGACCCTCTCGCATCTTGGCTCCAGGCCGGATTGAGGTAGTCTGCCATTTCGTAGCCTTGGTTCGCCGCGTATGATTCGTTGTAGTAGGGCGATGCCATCGGCATTTGATTGTAGTTGTCCTGAGGAGGCATCGTGAATGTAGGATTCCATTGAGGTAGCTCGGCAAAGGTGGTTGGAAGTGACGTGAACTGCGTTGTTGGTGGATAGTTGTACATGGGGATGTGATTCTCCATGGTTGTCTTGGGGCTCATATCATTGTATGCCATCGGTGATGGTTGTTGAGGCGAAGTTTGCAGATCTGCCTGCTGTGTAGGTTGGGCACTAGAGAAGGGGTTTGTGGCGTTTACATGGCCGTTAGTGAAGTTGAATAATTGTTGATTTTGGTTCGGGAGGTAGCCGAATGGTGCTGCTACCTTCTCCGAAGGCGTGCGCACTGATGCAGTGGATGCGGTGGCGGGGCTGGTGGTTCGCGAGCGATTGACACCATCTACCATGCCGGTCCCAACAGAAGCCGTGTCCGATGGAGAGCTGGCCGAGATGGGAACATCGCCATCCTTGTCGAAGATACGCATGCAAGCAGCAATGAGGTTGTAGTACAGACCAATGGCTGATGCAACACCAGGCCATCGCTCCGAGGCCTGTCTGATTGACTCCATGGCGACGTTGAGATGGCCTTCTACCTCGTCCCGAGTGTGACGGTTCCGCACCTCGGAGTATGACAGGGTCCAGAGCATGGTGTTGATGCACATGAAGATGGCTTGGGTGAAGATCCAGGTGACGTCGACACTTTTGGTTTCAATCTGTTTCATGGTCATGTAGATGTTGTACTGGCACGCATCGAAGCAGCGAATTGCTGCTTGGACCGAAGGTCGAGGAACCTGTGGAGAAGGACGGTACATGAAGACAACCATGGTATTGTATCGCCCGATGAACCTGGATAGTCAGTATGGTACTTTTAACCGTGGTGTCAATCTTACCAGACTTTGTTCAGCCCTGATCCGCCATCCATCTCGGGGCTTGTGTCCCGCCAAGCCTCAATCTTTGCCTGCATTTGGGCAAACCAGGGGTGCTTGTCGTCTTTTGGTTCCGGCTTTTTCTTTTGGTACAGCATCTTGCGTATCTCCAGCTGCAGCAAACGCATCTTGTAAAAGTGTATGCCGATCCATTTCTTGAGGGAGGCTTGGGGCGCAGGGCGTATGGCTTCTCTAGTAATGTAGACATCGTCGACCAGCTCTCCAAACTTGACGTCGATGTGTTCTCGCCGTGTCGCAAAGTGAGCAGGTCTACCCAGGCTGTGCGATAAGCCGTAGTCCATGGTAAGCATGCTCCAGAACATGCGGCGACGCATGTCGACTTCGAGAGGGTCCGCACAACGGCCACCCGGTCCCATACTAATGGTCTTTTCTTCATGCAGGCCCAGAGCTTGGCATAGTCGCACACCGAGCCCGACCACGTAATAGACTGCCGTTCTCGTCGGGGTGAGGAGGGAGTAGCCTGCAACTAGACAGAAACACTGGAGGGTCTTGAGGTTCATTGGCTTTATGGCAGCTTCAAAGTACTTGAGAGCTGCGAGATAGTAGCTGTCGGCAAGACCTGCATACTGAGTGTCCATCTTCTGCAGACTAATAGCAATCACCATACGCAAGCAGTAGTTTTGGTAGGGGTCAGTAGAGCCGTTGTACACATCATCGACGTCTTTGGTAAAGGTGGGTTCGTGGAAGATTGGGTACATGGGATGCACTAGGTGGAGTCAGCACACCTGGCAGACACTGGGGGTAGGTTACGCACCTTTGCAGTAGAATAGCTCAACGAGCAGGTTGGTGAGGTCTCGATTTGGGAGCTCCTCCGCAGCGACATCGCTCACCATGGGGTATATCTTGGACGTGGGCCGCTGGTCTTCCTGGGTAAATGTTTCCCTGATATCCTTTGCTTGTGCGTGAGGAACGATCTCGGAGATGCTCTTGGACTCGGTAAACTGCTTGGCCAGTTGCATCACCAGACGAGTTATGGTGATGCCGCTTGAGGGCCCTAGGAACTTTGACTCGTCTGAATCCTGTACGCGCACCGTGGCAGCTCCGCGCATGACATCTTCTGGGTCCGGCTCGACGTCATCCTTTTCGAGATCAGCCAGCTGCTTCTCGAGCTGGCGCACCTTTTGTTGCAGGTGTACGACATAGTTGCGGGGTATCTTCCTGCCCTTGGTGGGGTCGTAGTATTCGCAATGTGAGTTTGAGCGCTCGCAGGGCCCGCATCGAGGGAGCCCAGGGTCACATCTCGTCTTGCGCTGGTCAAGTCAGCAGATGCATTGCTGGCCAGTGTCTGGTGGAGCTCACCGTCCTGCAGCGACAGCAGGCAGTCAAGGTATGGGCGATGCGACTCTGGCCGGGAGTGGCTTCCTCAGTCGGGTGCGGAGCCCCTTCCGTCTTTGGCTGGGTCGCGGTCGCGACTTCCATGTCTCGTCTCTCAGTGGAGAGAAGACGATGTCGCTGGCTTAGGAGGGTCGGACTGGGATGTGTGGGAGATCGACGCGTGCATCCATGCCCAGAGTCTCAGTCGCAACGGCGAGGCTGAATAGGTCGTAGGATGTGGGATGGTGGATATTTGAAGGACAGTTCAGTGCCGGGTAGAAAAGACGACGTCGAAATGCAGAAGGTCGAGGTATGGGGCAGCTAACTGGGTGTGGCACGGCCCAGCGACGTGCTATACCGTCTCAAGGTCGCCGGTCGGGTGTTTCCCAAGGCTCCAGATTTACGCCTCGCGCATTGCCGAGCATCCCCAATCAGGTACGACGATGAGAAAGACAAAGCATGACACCGGCGTCCGAGGCGGCGGCATAGGCTCGGGCAAAGCTGCGAGACCTGCTGCACGGCCTAATTTGTGGGATACCGGACGACGTGCAGCATGGTCAACCGCGGCGACAGGGCCCTGATAGGCTGCGCCGCCAGATTGGGCCTCGAACATGCGGCCAAGGAGATGTCTATCCTCATCCCATCTACTCGCAACAACGTCGCACTGAGCCCCTTGACCACCGCAAAACTCGCTGCATCACATCACTCAGCGGGGCAAAAGTCTGTCGTCCGGTGCGCCCAATTTGGCCATATAGCCGCGGCACATCGCAGCTGAGCAAGGCGCCACCCGTCCAACCGCTCAACACCACGCCAAACCACGATATCATCGCTTACGCTTCCCGTAGCCCGCCAAGTCTTCCACACAACTGTCTCTCTGTGCTCCACTCCTTCCACCCCCAACACTGAACTATCCCTTTTATCTCGTAGTAGCACAATGGTGCTGGAAACCCCACTACTGCGTGTAAGCCGGCCCGTCGCCGCCTGCTCGCGATGCCGGGCGGCCAAAGTCAAGTGCGATGGAAAGTTGCCCGCCTGCACCGCATGTGAAAAGTCGAATCGGGCCTCGGAATGCTCAAGTACAAACGATCAGTTTGCTAGAGGCAAGGAAAGGAGTTATGTCGCTACCTTGGAGTCACGGGTTGAACGGTTGGAGAAGAAGATCCAGGAGGCAAGAGCGAGGCGCAAGTCGTCCGGTGTCAACATGTTAGACATGTCGGAGAACTCAACCCCACGTAGAGCGTCGGTGGACACGCTTAAGCCAAGCAGACCCATTAGCAAGCGAGCTGCACGTCGGAAGGAAGCCTCGGAGATTGACGATCTGGTATCCGACTTTGGCCTATTGTGAGTGCCACTGTCCGCCTTGCCATCTCTTGCTGACTTTCCAGGGCCGTCAATGCAACGGCCAGAGACTTTTATGGCTTCACCACAGAGATGTCGTACGCCCGACTGATCAGGTCGGCGAGTACAAAGGAGCCACTACCCACAGGCTTGGTCAAGGCTTTGCCCCCAAAATATGCTGCCACGCCACTGATCCAGCATTACCTGAATAACATCTTTACCCTCTGGCCTGTTTTTGAGGAGGCAACCCTCTACTCCTCGGTGGATGCCATTTACCAACAAGGTGACACTGCAACCCCCTGGGATCGCTGGAGCGTACGCATGGTGTTGGCTATTGCATGTCTCTCACAGTCCGATTCGAGGGGAGACACACATTACTCGGATGCTGTCGGCCACATGAATGCTGCATTGGAAAATGCTGAACATGTACTCCATCCAGGATACGTCTCTAGTATCCAAGCTCTCATACTGTGGGCCATCTACGCTACCATGGACCCTCATCACTTTGATAGCTGGACACTTGTTGGTGCAGCTTCAAGGGCGATGGTTGACCTGGGTATCCACCAAGATCCTTCCAAGAATGTGGCTGTTCCGCGTGCCAAGCTGGAAATCAGGCGGAGAGTATATTGGTGTTTATACTCACTAGACAGGTAAAGCCAAGTCCAGCCAAACTTTGACCGTTTATTGACATGATGCAGGTCAACATCCCTCGTCCAGACTCGTGCGTTTTCCTTCTCAGACGAGGCAGCAAACGTTGCTTTCCCATTCAACAGCGGGCCCGTCACTTCTCCAAACTATTCTTCACCCCAGCAGGTTTTCCAACAATCTTTTGATACCGCAGTTGACCTATTCAAAATCCGCGAGATCCAATCTGAATGGTACATGGATCTGTTCCAGTCCGGACGTGAACCCTGGCAAGAGCCGTACCAATACATCTGGAAGCAGTACGCAAGGATGTCCGAATGGTTCCAAGACATGCCACAAAGCACACTCCCGTCTGTCAGAGCCTTTTTCGAGCTCGAGTTGTTATACAGCTATGTGTACATTCTATCACCAAGCCCACGAATACCCCACATTCACGAATACGCGCAACGTCTCATCTTCGAACACTGCATCGCATATGCCGCCAACTTGCTGGAAATCTTGGAGAAGCCCTCCAACACGGTCAAACCACCAGTAACCTTCTACGACGCAATGCGCGCATACATGACCGGCCGCCAATTCGTCGACGTCCTATCCCGCAACATGGACCTCATCCTCGACCCCCGACCTCCCATACCACCCACTCCTCTAACCGCCGCGGTAGAATCCGAAGATCCCCTCGCTCCTCCCACACAAATCAGCCCACCCCCCTTCCCCTCCCCACCCATCGAAGACGGCCAAATGCTGCCTCTAGACCCCACCAGGCGCGCCATCAACGCGCTAAACGACTACACAACCGTCCTCTCAAAATTCGGCCTCCGCTTCGGCTTCACACACTGGCGCGACCGTTTCCAACGCGAATCCTCATCCCTCTCCGCTCAACTACACCAGCGCTGCCAAATATCCCCTCACACCTCGCCACCCCCACAACAAGGTCCCAATTCAACATACTCCTCCCCCCAATGGGTCCTTCAAATGCCTCCTCCAGCCATCTCCCCACAAGCTCCTCATCTAATGTACCAACCCACCACTCCACCCTCGTTATTCCAACCTCAATCTAGCCCCTTTGCGGCATCCATGTCGTACGATACTAGCCCTGGTCGGCAAACCACTAATTGGGCGACACCCAGTCCACAGCCGCAGCCATTGCCAGAGTTACCGCAGCCGAGTGGTGGACAGACGAGACGCGCGTTGGTGTATGGACCGGGTTTGCCGTCGGCGAGGGGGCATAGTCCTGCGGGTTCGATGGTGGATGGAGGGGGCTGGGGGGACCAGCAACAGCAACAAGGGCAGAGTCAGGGTCAGGATGCGAATGGAAATGGAAACGGGTATTTTCAGATGCCGAGTTTACAGCACCAGCATAGTGATGGTGGAGGGTGGGGAAATCAGGGCGGTGGCGGGACAGGGCAGAATGGTTGGGGTTGAGTGGTGTGATGGGAGATGTGAGGGAGAGGGATAGAAAGATACCACGGATTGATGCATGGAATGAGATGAAATGAATGTATAACGACCGAATCACGGCTTGTCATCTCGCTCACCCTTTGGATGAGGCAGTGTATATCAAATGACCAAACACAGAGAAACGAAACCGAGCAATGTGATATGATTAATATTTCCAGAGTGATATAAATCCCCTTTCTCTGTTATTATATTAAGATACGCGAATGCAGCCCATCCCGTATCTCCACTCACAAAAGAACAACGCCGTTCCATATCCTTATCCATACCGATAACCCACGGAGACCCAACTCTCTTCTTCACAACTATCCCACTGCTTCTCTCCCTTTTTGGTCTATCTATCCTTCATACCTGTATCAAGGATTCGCAAGCGCCAAACACGCATCAACCGCCAAGCCAACCCTATCACACAATCATCGTCAGCAATGTTCACTTCCCATCCAACTCACACGCATCTCCAACGCACAGATAAAAAGGAAACGGACTCAACATACCTCCCCTCCTTCTCCCTAACAACATCATCAATAACATCCCTATCCAACTGAGGAAACATGCCCGTAAGCGTCTCCACCACAACTCTATGTTCCTTGCGCTGAATCCGTCTTGCCTCCTCTGCTTCGACAGATGCTTGGCGGGCGGCTGCATCTGAGGCGTCTTCGTGGCTGCGTCTGTTCTTTTCTTTTTCGCTGGGTTGGCCGGGGAACATGTCTGACGAGGGTGACAGCGCCGACGCGGAAGTTGGTTTAGGCGTGGAGGAGGATGTGGTGGGTGCGGACGCGGGATGAGTATCGGTGTCGGAAAAGATACGACCGATTGTGCTGAGGGGCCGTTGGATGGTACGTAGGAGACCTGCTACGGCTGCGTTTTCTTCCTCTGGCTGCTGCTGTCGTTGTTCTTGGTTGTCGTCGTCTGTCCTGTTCTTTTCTTTGAGACTAGTGGAGCGGCGGGGGCCTGCTGTTTCCGCTTCCATGGAGTTTCTTTGTGTAAGTTCGGGACGCAGCGGGGTGGTTTTCTCAGAGAGATGGTGGTAGTGGGGTGAGGGGACGCGCTTGTGGGTTGGGTTTGTGGGGTTGAGCAGGGTGGAGTTTGAAGATTCTGCTTCTTCTGCTTCTTCTGCTGCGTGACGTTCTGCAATGGCGGACACGGCTGCTTCGACGTTCCTTTCGAATTCTTCATCCGTGACGGTTAGAGAAGTTTTGTCTAGTCCTTCAATGAATTGCACGGCGCCCATAAGGGAAGAGATGTAGTAGCCTGCTTCGCCGCCGAGCTTATCTTGGTTCCGGAATCGCAGTATGTACTGAACATTGGAGACGAGGTGGTCCGGGTTTGCTTGAAGGACGGTGTAAATGAGCAGAGGGACAAAGGCATCGGCGGACTGGTCAGAACTTGACGTTCGTAGGAAGCCAAAGATGACTTTACAGCAGTTTAAGATGCAGATGATCTTGTCTCTTGGGGCGCGGTAGCTCTTGATCTTCAATAGCTCTTGTTGCGCCAGATGCAGGAATTTCTTTCCTTTCTCACCCACCGGCTTGATGTCTAGATGCTCTTCACTCACCCATTTGTATATGCGAACCTTTTGCGCTAAGACCTCGTCTCGCTCCACATCTTCTTGGTGCTGACCTCTCCGACCTGGTCCCACTGGGTCTTGTCTTCGTCGGCCCTTGCGTGGCGACAATGGCTCTGGCGGTGGAATGGCAGGCGAAAAGGTCTGGTTGTACAGTCGGTTCATGACAAGCTTCTCCATACCTTCTCGTGCGTTATCAAATTCTGCATCCGACACGGTCCGCCACACTTCACATTGGGCCATCTTTTTGCTGATAAACTCCAGAAAGTCGCCTATGATCTTGACTTGCTCGTGAACCATCCATTGCTTCTTTCCGAATTCAAGCAGGAACGACCGCAAAAACTTGGCGACCGGATCTGCCGTTCGATGACGTAGCTGCTCCAGAAATCGATGAAAGTCAAAGGGTAGATCCGGCTCGGGCTCCGGTACTGGCTGGGCTGGCTTGTATTTAGAGGCGTGGGCGCTTGGCGACGTCGGTTCTGCGAAGGAGGTGTCGGTGCCGACCCGGCGTAAGGACGAAGTACGAGGTGGTGGTGATTGAAGTGGGCTTTTCGGAGCTGTATCGTCGGTTGGGGTAGGAAGAGGTTTGTCGACCGGTACCAGACTCGACCGTCGCGGGGGATAGGGCGTTGTTGGGGAATCGAGCATGGGGCTCGCGAGTTCTAACCGGGGAGACATGATCTCTTCCTCGCCTGGCCCCTCGTTATCCTGGAACTGGTCTATGATGTTCTGTATCTCCGACTGCGAGTTATCTACAGCATCTCCAGTGCCGTCATTGTTGTTGGCAGTATATTCCTCGGCCGCACCGTCTTCTGAATTCCTCCCACTCGATCGCCCCTGTGACATGGGGGATGTGGCACGACTCGGCACATTGCTGGCTGTGAGGTACTTGTCGTCTTTGGGGGGCGGCGGTGGGGGCGATGGTGATTGCATGGGCGCCTTGCCTGCCGCTTTCTCGCTGGGCTCAGGCGGGGGTGTAGATCGACCCAAGGCGAGGTTCTCTGTTGCCGTGGTAAGCTGCTCTACAAGTTCCGCAGACGGCAGCTTCGCGACTTCTTCACGTTCCGTACTGTTTGCAGTCGCGTCTAGCTGCTGGGCCGAGTCGTGCGCCTCCTCTGTCGCGGCCTTCATATCGTGGGGCACTGCCCTCTCCTCATTTACCTCGTGTTCGACATCACGTACCCCAGCTTGGGCCTCGAGGGGCCGCCCCTCTTCTGCCGTGGTATTCGCATCATCTGCGTCTGCTTTGGGTTCCACGTCTGGCGCCGCTATAGGCTCCTTCTCTGCGGTGATGTCTACATGCTTCTTCTCGGCTACATGGTCTAGCTGCTTTTCCCGAGTGACGTCGTCGGCTGCATTGTGTTGCGGAGTTGCGTTCGGGGGAGACATAGACCGACTGGCACTGGACAATATGAGAGGCTGTGCGATGATCGATCAAGCGTCCATGGGTATTTGCTCAAACTCAAAAACAGTTCTAGGGAGTGTGAATAGCAGTCAAGCGTCTTAAACGTCCGTGTCTGCTGCGCCTGACTTTGGGAGTTGTCCCATGGTTCCCCCGGCTTCCAGGAGCCGAGTCTCCGACCAGCCAGCCCCGCTTAGCGCCCCTTCCTGACCGGCAAGCTTGCAGGCCGTGGTCGCTGAACACAAAAACTCTATCGCGACTGCATCACCTGCATCATGTGCGGCATCTTCTTCGCCCTGAGTCGGGCAGCACATGTGACCCCCGACACTAGCACGCGGGTATTGCTCCAGAACAGAGGACCGGACAGCACAGGCCAGCATCAAATTCTCATCCAGTCCAAAGGGGCTCCCGTCTACGCGACCTTCTTGTCGACTGTGCTTGCTTTACGTGGCAGTCAAGTCATTGAGCAGCCTCTGAAAGATGAAGCAACCGGGTCTGTTCTTTGCTGGAACGGAGAAGCCTGGTCCATAGCTGGCGACATAGTCAAAGGCAATGACTCCCAGCTCGTGTTTAGTAAGCTGCAAGAAGCATGCGTCGATGCAAGCGCGTCATCTGTGCGGAACGTGGTCGAGCTGCTATCCTCAATTCGAGGTCCCTATGCTCTAGTCTTCTATGACGCGCTCAACCAACGTATCTACTATGGCCGCGACTGCTTAGGGAGGCGATCGCTGCTTCGCAAGGCTACTACAGACGGCACGGTAGTCTTGTCCAGTGTCTGCGACAATGCTTCTGGTGAGGCATGGGATGAGATTGAGGCTGATGGCATATATTTCATGGACCTCAAGAATGTAGACACGACATTACCGTCTTTCCCTTACACGCACATACCACACCGTCGTTTGGATCAGGACGAAGGCCCTGGCCTTTCTTTCGTAGGTAAGTCATTGGCCCCAAGAGTTTTGCTAACCGCTATAGACTCTGCCTTTCCCTGCCATGAACCGTAGTATCTCCACTCAAGCCTCGCTGGACCTCTCTATAGTAGAGCGATTGAGAGCTTCACTAGAAAGGTCGTTGCAACTTCGTACACAGCATGTGCGAGAGGCGGTACCCAACAGCGAGGCCCGGGTGGCCATTCTCTTTTCAGGTGGTCTTGATTGCACCATTCTTGCACGCATGTGCGACGACTTGCTGCCGCCAAGTGAACCCGTCGATCTTCTCAATGTTGCCTTTGAGAACCCTCGTATCCACTCCAATCTTGAGCCCGGCACGAGTCCTTACGAACTCTGCCCGGATCGTATTACCGGGCGTTCATCGCATGTGGAATTGATTCAAGTATGCCCGGGTCGTGATTGGCGATTTGTGGAGGTCAACGTGCCCTATGTCGAAACTCAAGCACAGCGAAAGACCGTGCTCGCATTGATGCACCCTCACAACACTGAGATGGATCTTTCCATATCTTACGCACTCTATTTCGCTTCACGCGGAGTGGGTCTTGCACGCACGTCGCATGACACTACGGCGCAACCATACACTACCACGGCACATGTGCTTTTGTCCGGGCTTGGTGCTGATGAGCTATTCGGTGGGTATCAGCGACACGCTTTAGCGTTTGCTCGACGCGAATATGCCGGTCTGATGGAAGAACTGGAGCTTGATTTCAGCCGGCTAGGAAAGCGAAACCTTGGTCGGGATGATCGGGTCATCAGCGACAGCGGTAGGGAAGTACGCTTTCCGTATCTTGACGAAGACTTCATCGCACTGGTACTCTGTCTTCCAGTAACGGCCAAGTGTGACTTTGGCCTAGCGCAAGTCACCGACAGCCAAGACCCGGTTCAGCTTCTTGAGCCTGGAAAGCGAGCCTTGAGGTTACTGGTCTGGCAACTGGGAATGAAGCGTGTCGCCGCGGAAAAGAAGCGCGCGATACAATTTGGTGCACGTACTGCCAAGATGGAGACGGGCAAAACGAAGGGCACGCATGTGCTGAGTTGAGGTAAGTCGCCCTGCTTCTTTCTTCTCTTCCCTATGGCAATGATTACAAAACGAGCAAGCGATGGAGACACCAGTGCGTTCCTCGGGCTTGCGTTGTTCTAGTAATAGACAGTGTGAGCCTACAAGCACGTGGAGTCGTTGACATTGTTATTGAAAGGCAAGTCTGAGCCTTACAGACATTATAGAATTACTTGTTTCGTTACTTAATGCATCTGCTGACACTTCCCAAGTAGAATAACGTTGTACAGATAAAAAGAAGTCGACATTGACCGCCACTTCAATTTTAACATGCTTGATATGAACCCACTATACCCTACTAATCTCACCTGCTCACACATCATCGTTTCGGATCATCACATGCGACGTGACGATATGTCTGACTTTCAACGTACTTATTTACAATTCTATTGACCCTTGAAGTTCTAAGAATCGCTGTGAGCTTATAATATCGTGGTCTAAAGTAAGTGGTTTAGTTCAACCATGGTACACCAGTACATGCTCACGGGAACTAAACTGCTGCCTGGCGATAGGTAGCTCACCTGCTCTTCAATCACGCCGCTTTATCATACCCAAGTGTCGAGGACACCTACAAACCCACAAGGATACCATACGTCCACTTAACCCCCCATCCGGAATATCTTAGGAACCTACTCGCACCCCGACCACGCCCAAGTCCCAACCCATGGCCTCCATGTCCTGCACTTCCAGCACCTGCACTACCTTTCTTCTCAGACAGCTTGATATCGACGTTCGTTGCTGGAGCGGCTGCGTTTGCAGTACTGGTCATGAAAGAGCCCGACAACAGGGTTGTATGGAAAATACTGCGTATGCTGTGTTTCGTGGTATCGCTCGTATGGTGAGTGTTCTTTTCCGTCTCTTCGCAATTGGATCTCAACGCCAGAATAGACCAACGATTGAACCAATAATGAGGGTCCTTATGTTTGGTTGGGTCACTCCTCTGCGTTCTTGTGTTCGGCCACGAAGCGGCGTGCTTTGGCCCGGCCGTAGAATACGAAGATTCACTCGTTGTAGGAAGTTCGGTTGGGGCGAGCGATGTACGCGTTGTGGTGGTTATGGACCATGGCGTGCTTGCTGAGGCAGGCAGTGTAGGCGTGGAGTTTGTGGGTACGGCGAGGGGCGTGCAAGTGCAGAGGAAGAGGAGGGATAGGGATATGGAGAGGAATGTTATTGTATGCATTACTTCTAATTTCTTTTTGTTTTCCTGTGGGAGGTAGGTGAGGAGACGGATTCTTTTGTGTGTGTGCGAAGTCGGATATCTCCTCAATAGTACCACGGTACCTATCCTTGGCGTACCAACTACTACTACTACTGAGTCTGTTTCCAGCCCGAACTGATTTCAAAATGGGCATGCAGGCTATCCATTTGGGACTGTGTTGAGGTAATGAGAAACTCAGGTTGCAGTGGAGCAGTACCAGGCTGCCTCGCTCGCTACCATGAAGCTCCGTACCAAACTGAAGAACCATTGATTACATGGTTTTGACCAGAGCTCTTCTGATGTCTTGCGCTTGAATGGCAGTAAGAAAGCCATTCTACTCGATAGATGCTGTCGTGGTGATGAAGGTTTGCTGTTATATACAAGCTTGATATGTGAAGCCATGACTACCTAGGTATGCATTCCAGACATAATGGTAGTAATATCCTTACCCTTCATGCCCCGCAACTACCATCCCCCCTCTCATTCCGCTCCTAAAATCACAAGCTGTGTAAACTAACAACACTCTTCTCCACCCCTTCACATGCCAAAGACCCCCCTTCCGCCCTCCACCCCATTGAGCCAATCTTGTAATTGGGGAAGTTGGCGGCTGCCGAGGCAAGTGGCGAATCAGCATCCGCCACAGAACATTCCAGCCACATTTGCACCGCCACAACGCCACAATGACGCACGCACGCTTCCAGGTTATATAGGCCTTTGCTGCTGCTGCCATCATCTATCTCCTATCATCTAACACGAGTGCGGTTCTACAAATACCAAAGATCAAAGTCAAACAACCACTCCACCTTTCAAAGCATATCCACAATCCATCAAACCAACCCATCCATCGACGGACTTTTATCCACCAAACCAAAACAACACCAACTCAACATCACTATGCCCGTACCCATGCCTTCAAACTCTTCCTCGGAGAAATCCGAATCCACTACTCAACAGCAATCGTCAGCTGCAGCCCAGGCAATTCAGGATGTAGGGCGTGCGGCGAATGAGGCGTTGGCGCAGGCTGGAATCGCTGGTAATGGGCAGCCGGGACAGCAGGGACAGGGGGAGAAGAGTGAGGCGGAGAAGGAGGCGGAGAGGAGGTATGAGGAGGCTATTGAGGAGGAGTATGCTAAGAGGGAGGGTGGTGCTTAGATGGATGGAGATGGAAAGGAGACAAGGGGATCGAGGAGGACGGAGGGAGGAGAGGAAGGGTAAGGAGGGATGGGGGATGGTAAATATGGGATGATATGGGCGACCAGAAATGAGATAGTAATTTTACTAGTTTTACATAGAGATATGACTATCTGGTGTATATCATCCTCAAGCAATCCTTAGGCTAAAATTGTCCTCAATGACATCGAGAATAAAGGACCAAGCATGTTGCCAATTCAACGAACACCGCCCTCTACCCTCATCCAAATACCCCCTCTTCACAAACCCTCAAGCGCCTTTGCCATCAACTCCCTCCCTCTCTCGTCCATTCTCACCTCCCCCGCCAACCTCCTCCCCTCCTCACTCATCTTCCCCCACGTCTTCCGCAAAATCCCCACAATCTTCTCCTCATCATGCTCCTTCTCAAACGCCTCAAACTGATCATCTAGAAAAACCAAACAAGCCACATCCTCCAACACCATCGTCTCCTCATTCACCTTCAACCCCTCCTTCCGTATCAACGCCCCCACCGTCGCCGCGTCTTCGGAGCTGAAGCCGGATTCCAGACATATGGCTTCGACGAGCGAGGCTTGTCGCGTCTTGAGGAACGAGCGCCAGGCGTGATAGCCCGGACGTGTCATTGGGTAGGAGGATCGGGGTACTTCCCAGCGGCGGAAGTGTTGGGCCCGGATTGCAAGGCGCAAGGGCTCCGAGGCGGTGGGGCAGCGTTTGGTGAGGTACGAGGTGCATTTTTGGGCGTAGTGGAGTTCGTAAGGGATTTCAGCGCCGTCTATCGTGACTTTATTGGGGTCGAAGGCGTGGGCTGCGTCGATGGCGGCCAGGGCTTTGGTGTAGGGTGTGCTCATTGTCGCAATTTTTGCAAAAATAATTGTTTGGTATGTGGTAGTCGTGACAGCGTCTGGGCTATGGCGGCTGTAGATTTTCCAGGCGCTTGTTTTGCGCTTGCAGGGAGTCGTGGTAAGACATGTCGGAGCGTGTGATTTGTTGATGGGGTGTTGCGCTGATAGCGCGGCTAAGTACCGTAGATGCCCCGCGGTTGGAGTGGGGTAGTTGCCCGCTTTGGAGGTGTGGCTGTTATGTGCCTGCAAAAACATATTTTAAACAGTTAATAACGATGGACGCGTTAACATTTCTACTAACTCCCGCAACACAATGGTAGTGAAGAGTTTTCTTAGGATTGGAGACCTGATTACTAAACTTATTCGACTTCAGGAGCTACATCGAGATATTCCATCGCTGTCTATTCTCCTCCCTTCGCACTTACGTGAGCTGTCGCTGTTCAGCTTAGTGCAACGTCACATTCGTCCCTCGAACACTCTTGTAAGTGGCAGCATCTAGCCTGCTCAGGTGATTTTACAAAGCGAGCATGAGGAAAGCCTTGTGCCTGCTCGCTGGAACCAATCACTTTTTCACCTCCTCCTTGAACGGTCACACCATCTTTCGTTTGACTTTTTCGACCCTCTCAACAGTTTGATTCGGAACAATTGCCTGAATTTTATCGAGCAAAGCCTGCAATTGCGCAATTGACTCTTCGTTCGGGGCTGCATTCAAGGCGTGAAGCGTGACAGATTACTTTCCATCCGAAATGAGGTTAAACTTCGTCTGGTCTTTGTATGCCTACTCTATCTCGTATATTGCAACCAACATTACCTCAATAAATCTTCGTATAAAGCAACTGTTCATGTACCATGAAGAGAGCTGTACTCTTTAGTGATCTCCTCTAGCATATTTCTATATTCTACTCCCGGGCTCTATTCTCACCGAAATAAAAGTCATCTCAATTGACGTGTTTTCGGCATGCAATTCTGGAAACTCTTTATCTATAATATGTACTTCCCGGAGGTACTCGTGGATCTTTGCAGGCCCGGGAAGCGCAGTTACCGACGCAACGATGCCGATGGCTCCAGTCATGGCCGGCATTCTGCAACGTGTTTTAGAGTGGTGGAGAGTGTGTCGCTCAATACATTGTGTTGTTATCCTTGACTATTCCGTTGTCAGCTGACCTTTAGCTGTGACTAACATATCCGTGGAAGACAATTCAATATGCATAGAGCTTTTGATACGTGGCTAAACATGTGAAAACTGTTAAAGCCGAGATCTTGTATATGCTAGTTCTTTCATTAATTAATTAAGACGCCTGACATATGCAAAGAAAATTCAGAACTGCGAGTAGCCAAGTTGCTACGAAGGATTATATTAATGTTTTTGATTATGCATGTTCCTGAATCGTGCCGTCGTGTGAACTTGCTTTTGTGTAGAGGCTAAACGCTCAACCGGTAGCAACCTCCGTTGCTAAGCCTCATGTGAGCCCTGACAGGTGGAAGTACTTAGCCCTGTGATTAAAAGGAACTCCTTTGATAACATGGTTGAAGGCTGTGGATCACAGATTTCTCTTGGCAGGAACGGCCTAGACGTGGGAGAAACCTTTTCGCCATGTGCTTGTGGGTCGCCTCTAAATCTGTGTGCTACTTCCATATAATTACATGAAAAATTCACAAGAGCCTTTCACGACTCGCTCAAATAGCAGCAAACAGCAATACTTCAGGATGATCGTTTGGTTTTACCCGCGAAGAGCTGTGTGGCCATGTCAAACAGTTGCGCAACCACGGGTGGCTGACGGCTGTACGGACCAAGGGCCCACCTTATAGGAATGAAACAGGAAACAGCAGTCCCCATTCGGATAGTGGGTCCTTGTAATAACTACGCATTCCGTACAGGGCGTCGTGGGGCCGTGTCAATCTTCTTTCACAAAACAGCGATATTAGCATCCATGCCACTTCAGCCTTGAGCTGACTAGTGCCTGGTTTCAGTGTTTAAGTCGCAATGCTCGGCACGCCGCCACGCAGGGCACTGTCTGTGCGCGCAATGCGTCAGCAACGCATAATCGCGCCACCTACCGGTAGCTTGGAACCCACGATGCGGGTTTGCCGGGTATCTGCTACGCTAGACCCCCCCCTTCCCCCGCACGTCATCGGTTGATGGGCCGGGAATGGTTGAAGAAACCTGATTTTTGCGTAGGCCTATCCTGGCTAGGTGTCCTTAGGTCGAGCACATTATAAAAAGAAGGCCCGAATTTAAGACGTAAAGGTAAATGTGATCCGTGTTATCTTCACTCCCTGCCTATCGCGTGTCGAATGAAGCCTTGGCTCAACTGGATCTCAACCTTGGTTCTCAACTCCACGATTCAATCAACCCTGCCATTCAACGATGCTGGACGCAAGCTTTTCGTTTTTCCCTGAAAGCCGAAACACCTTCCCGGCAATCTTCCAGCGAAAAACTGCTGTAGTACAACGCACGCTCAATCTCCAAACCTGCCCCCAAAGTCGTCGTCTCAGCTAATTTCTATTAGTTGGGCAAATTCGAATAGAGGGGGTCTGGAGAGTGCTCACCTGCTAGAATAGCTTGCTTAGCTAGCCCAATTGCTGGTGCAGAAAAGGAAGCAATAGTCCGTGCCGTTCTTGTTGCCACCTCTAACACATCTTCTTCGCTCGACACGACTCGATTCACAACGCCGAGACGTTCCATCTCAGCTGCCGAGGTGGTTGCACCAGTTAATATAAGTTCCATTGCCTAGTCAGTCAGTACAGAGAAAACTCCACCAAACTAAAAATACACAGAACAAGGCTGCTTCATATCTGGATCGGGCACACACCTTCTGCTTCCCCACTGTTTTGGTGAGCCTAGACGAGATCAGTGCCTATACTAAGAAGACGAAACACATTCTCTTACCTCTGTGTCCCTCCGGCTCCGGGTATCGTACCCAAAGTAATCTCTGGAAAGCCAAACTGGGCGTCCGCCGATGCGAAGATCATGTCACACTGCACGGATAACATTAGCTCCCGTCTAAAAAATGCAATTTCTTGGAAGGTGGCGGCTATAAACGCCAAGCCCGCGGGAGATTGGCTGGACCTGTGGACTCATCTTACCATAAGTGCGAGCTCAAAACCACCACCAAGCTAGGATGGGATGTCAACAGGTTGCTATGTAGCGAATTGCATAGCAATCTTACTGCAAACCCTCTTACTGCAGCCAGGACGGGCTTTCGAAAGCTTGAAAATGCGTCGTTCAGATCCTTGAGCCAGCCTAACCGGGTCCTAACCGATGGAGTAAGTAACGCGTCTTCGGCCCTGAACTGAGCTTAGATGTGCTTACGCCTCAGCTGTTGTAAGAGTGGCAAGCTCATTCAAGTCTGCCCCAGCTGATTGGTCTGTCAACACTTGTAGCTCTCCCAGCGATCGATGTTCACATACCACTAAACGGTCCAGAGCTGGTCAAGATCACGGCGAATACTATTGGATCATGGTCGAATTGGCGCAGAGCTGTTACGAGTTCATCTATCAAAGCTTGTGATAGTGCATTCCTCTTCCTTGGCCTGTTCAGTTCCAGAATGGCGATTCCCTCGTTTTTGATGGAGATGCCCACGCTCGGCAGTTCGACAGTCTGTAGGCTCATGGTTCCTAGCTCGTCGAGTCGCTGATACAGGTTGTCAGTCCAAGTTTGGCATAAACGTGCGCATGTCCTAATATATACCTAGGTAGTTGAAAATCTTGTTATAGGCTATGTGCGTTATTTTTCTGCTTTCAACTTGTCTACTTGTGACTCTATAAGCGCACTAAGCATCTTTCGAGCGGTCAAGATGACTGGCGTTGAGTGCACGGACAGAGTGGTCGGTAACCTCGGTATCGCCTTGCATAGCGCCCCGTAGCCGCCCCGTAGCGCCCATCGCCTAAATACCAATTCCCCACCTGCCTGGGGTTACGTTGTTTCGTAACACATCGGGCATATTGTCGCAACTAGAAGGTACCTAAGTATATGCAGCTCCGGAATTGGTTCTATGACTTGAATCTGTCCCGGTAACAGCTACGGGTGCACCCTTAAATTGCCGGACCGTGACCTGTTAGCTTATCATCCTTCCTACCTGGGTAATCATAAGCGGGATTTGCAGCGCCACAACGGTGAGGCATGCGGACATAGACCTCCCATCTGTGCAGGTGTTTGGTTCATGAGCCCCGCTCCGACTTTGCTGCATGCTCAATGTCGCCCTTGCAACGGTTCATACCTAGGTACCTAGGTATGTTTGATCTAGGACCACTAACTTCTTCCTCACATTATGCCGACGCATGGTACAGGCCCGCCTGGCCGCAAAGGCCAATGTCCGCAGTTGTTCAATTCCAAGGTTTATACAAACCCTCCAAGACATTCTAATATTATGTGCCGCCGAGGCACTCCGGAGACCTGGGTACCATCTCACTTTGCAAGTTGGGATAAGTCTCCTCGCAACATGTCATCATCCTACCTATGTGGAAGCTTTGTCGATGGCGATCCGAAAGTCCGGCCTATAGCTACTACAAAAGTACACCCCCGGCAGCTCTGTGTAGAGGTTGTTAGTCTGTGAACTTTTAACTCTATCTCTGCATATTATTAGCTCTCAAGATGAAGACAAGCAGCTTCTTTCACGCAACTTCATGCCTCCCTGAGGAGGATCGCACACTGATTTCACGCCTCGGTCAAGGACCCACTGTCCCAGCTCCTTATTCTTTAATACACGAGGCCTTCGAGAACATCGCTGAAGCTCATCCCGCCACTATTGCTGCCACGGTCGTTGGTAATTCAATTACGTACCACCAGCTAGATGAAGCAGCGAACCAGCTCGCCAATTTCCTTATACACGCCGGGCTTAAGCCGAGAGAACGCGTATGTCTCGTTGTACAACGATCGCTCGAGATGCTCGTCGGGATTTTTGCAATCTTGAAAGCTGGATGCCAATACGTGCCAGTTGATGGAGGGGTGGCATCGGACGAGGCTTTGACGCATATCTTCACCGACTCTGATGCAAGCTTCATTCTCTGTCTCCCCAAATTTTTGGAAAGAGCCGAGCGATTTGCTCGAAAAGATGCCACTGTCATCGCCCTGAGCAAGGACGTTGGCGCATCCTTCCCTTCGACACGCCCATCAGTCCAAGTTTCACGGCAGGATGGGGCATACGCCATATATACATCAGGTAAGTTCGTTCTGCAGATATCTGTCTGAATAAATGCTTACGAATTATACTTAGGCAGCACTGGGAAGCCCAAGGGTGTCGATGTCTCGCACGCAAATGTCACAAACGCGCTGTTGCTGGAACCCGCGCGACTTGGTATCACAGTGGGCTCCAGAGTTGCTCAAGTACTCAACATTGCATTTGATATGGGAGCATGGGAGATACTTGGATGTCTTATGAACGGCGGCACCTTATATATACGGGGTTCTGATTGGAAAGCCACACTCAGTGAGGTAAGATTTTTGCAAAAATTGGTTATCGCTATTCAATCGACTAATATTGTGGCAGATCGACACACTCATAGGCACACCGTCTATTCTATGCAAGTATCAACGGCGGGCATTCCCAGGCATCAAACATATAGCAACTGGCGGCGAACTTTGTTCCCAGGCGTAAGTGTTAACTCCAAAAAGCTAGCAGCAACCAAGACTAACCCTTTTTTAGTCTTGCTGATGAGTGGGCGGAAGATGCATGCTTCTACAACATTTGCGGACCCACGGAAGTCACTATACTTAACTCAGCACACCGACATACCCCAGGTCAGCCATTGTCAATTGGTAAACCCTTGCCCAATACGACATGCTACATTCTTGATGAGAATGAGCAACCTGTTCCGAGTGGACAAAAGGGTACCATGTGGGTGGGCGGAACTGGTGTAACTCGTGGTTATATCAACTTGCCTGAACTGACATCTCATCGCTACAAACCGGACAAGTTCCTTGAAAATGGGTAAGCATCATAGTACCCTGCTTGCTCAATATCTTGCTCACGTGACGCAGGTCCATGATGTTCAACACTGGCGATATTGCACGATGGAGGGAGGATGGCGAGCTTGATATGCTTGGTCGTAAAGATGATCAAGTCAAGATCAAGGTAGAATCTCTCCGTCAGACTCTCTGGCACAAACTGACATATACAGGGCTTTCGTGTCGAACTTGACGGAATCACTACCGTGATTGAGGTAAATCAACTCATCTCATGCATGTTACAAAGTCGCTGACACAACTAGTCATTTCCAAACGTAAGGCGAGGTACAGCAATGCTTGTAGAAAGCGTACTTTGCGCTTTCTACGCACCACATGGCTCAGTGGACGAAGGGGCCCTGGATGCATTCGTGCGGAAGCATCTGCCTTACTACTCTGTTCCTGACAAATGGATCCAGGTCGACTCGATACCGCTCACCAACAATGGAAAAGTCGACCGAAGAAAGCTGAGCTCAATGGCTCTACGCCAGTCCAGCCCCAATTCTGCCGTAGTCGAGCCTACAGTAAAGCCCGGAGACCTTTCGCATGGCGTTGTACTGGAGATAGGCACTCCTGAAATGTCCTCCACTGTTTCTTTGGAAGATCCAGAGAAGGCCAATGTCATCATCACCAGCAACTCATCAGATAAGAGCGAACTTTCCATCAAAGAATCCACCGAGAAAGTGCCGGAGTCATTGCCACCGAAGCACAGCTATCACGGTCTGCGATGGCTTCGACATCGCGCATTCATACTGTATCGACGCTTCTTTTCCATCGTGGTACTAGCCAACATGGCAGTGGCAGCCTTCCTCTTGAACCGCAAGATTGCAGAAAACAGGGATATTCTCTCGAATTTGGCCTTGGCCTTCGCCGTCAACCTTGTCGTAGCCGTCCTGATGCGTTCTGAGCCCGTCGTCAATCTCCTATTTACTGTTTTCTGCTCGGTCCCGGTACGTAACGATCGTTTGAGACGCACTGATGGACTGATTACTGACTGCGCTCTTCAACCTGCAGACCTTTTTCCCTCTAGCTATACGCCGTCACTGCGCGAGGATCTTCCACATTGGCGGTATACACAGCGGATGTGCGCTAGCAGCTATGATGTGGCACTTCATCTTCACCGTGGACAGCAGCCTAGACCTTGGAAAGCCTGCACATCTGCGTCGAATCTCGGTGGCTCCAGTCGTGCTATCGTATCTCGTGCTCCTCATTTTTCTAGCCATCGGTGCGACTTCTCACCCGAATTTCCGCGCCAAGTACCACAACATTTGGGAGATGACGCATCGCTTCGGTGGTTGGACCTGTCTTGCGCTGTTATGGTTCGTAACGTTTCTCGCGACCAAAGACCTCAATCCCTCGGCGGCCCCATCAACTGCCTTTTTGCGTGCCCCAACCGTCTGGCTTATTGCAATTGCGACAGCAGCTATCATTTTTCCATGGTTGCATCTACGCAAAGTCGCCGTCCGCTCCGAGGTTCTCTCCAACCACGCCGTCCGACTTTGGTTTGACTACACGACACCCGTGGTAGGCACTGCTGTAAGACTTGCAGAGCGTCCCTTGGTCGACTGGTAAGTTAGATTTAATTTTTCCCTTGCAGGATAGAACTGGAAACAGCTCCTAACCACATTCCCAACATCCAGGCACGGCTTCGCCACAATCACAAACCCCGACGGCAAAGGCTTTTCTCTCATCGTGAGCCGCGCAGGCGACTTCACCGGCCGCACAATCGAGCGCGCACCGACCCACATCTACGTGCGTGGCATCCCCACCTGCGGCGTCCTGCGAATAGCCACGCTATTCAAGTCCGTTGTCCTGGTTGCCACCGGCTCAGGCATTGGACCCTGTCTGGCTGTCATTCTCGCGCAAAAAGTGCCGTGTCGCATCCTGTGGACGGCACCCAATCCTGAAGAAACTTTTGGCCAGGAGATTGTGGATAGCGTGCGGACGACGGATGCACAGGCGGTAATTTGGAATACTAGGACACAGGGGAAGCCGAATATGTCCTTGTTGGCGTATCAGTTGTGGAAGGAGAGTGGGGCGGAAGCTGTGTGTGTGATTAGTAACAAGCGGTTTACTACGAAGATTGTGTATGATATGGAGGCTAGGGGTATCCCAGCGTATGGGGCGATTTTTGATTCGTAAATTGATTCCCAAAGAACAGTCAACCTCTTGTATATATGTATTTCATACCTGTATATAAATATACTTCACTGAGGTTCTAGAGAAGCGTTTGATATGCTGTTTTCGTCTCATTGGGTCGGTAGTGACATCCTTGCTTCGCCTCTCTCCTCGAACATCAAGCCGCTCGCCTTGTACATCAGCCGCGTCTTATATTTTCTGTCTTCTCGATGTTTTCCATCATATTCTTCACTCTACTTTTATTTTAAAACCGACCACACGCACCTTTGTCGTGATCAGGGTCACTTCGTCTCGACTTTATCTATCTTCGTCGGCTCCCTCTACGCACTGGTCTACCATGGACTCTGCCTGGGCATTCGATCAATTGATGGAAACCGACAATTCCGATGGCTTCAACTTAGATCACGCTCCCTCTGCGCACTGGCCCATTATGGAATCTGATTGGATAATCGATCAATTCAAGGAGATTGACAATTTCGATGGCTTCGACTTGGATTCTGCTGATTTTGGCACGTCTGGATCTTTCAATGCCGATGACAACAATTTCTTTGAAACATCAGGTATCCCAGACGATGGATCGACATCTCACACTTCTTGGCGGCCATCGACACTTACGGAGCAAACTGCGGCTAATGTCGCCAATCCTGCGCAAGCCAGCGAGTCCCAATACAATGGCGAAGAGGTTCACCTTGATCCTCCACTATTTTTGCTCAATGGTAAAGAGCAACATAATGGTGACCAACCAGTTACTCCTAACTACCAGCCGGAACTATCTGGTCTGACAGCTTCTGGTTTCCATAGTTACCAGCGAGAAACTCAGATGATATCAATGGGTTCGGGTGACGCTGAGTTGGGTGTCACCGAAGCCTCTGACCCTATTACGCATCTTCCTCCATTAGAATCGATGTCTGACGTGTCACAACATAGGGCCAAGCGAAGACGTACGTCCAAAAGCTCATCGAGAAACGGGAAAAAGAAACGGCAGACACGCATCATTATTTCTCCAGCTGCACAAAAGGTTCTAGAGCAGCATTTTTATAGCAGCCCATACCCCGACGAAACGGAAGTGGCAATATTAGCGGATGAAACAGGTCTCCCCATACGGTCTGTCAGGAATTGGTTCTCTAACAGCAGGACGCGGAAAACCGAGGCCAATGGTAAATTCCCTGAGACCGATAACACCAGCATGATCTCTTTCGCATTTGCCATGGACATGCGGCTAACCAACGAAAACAGACGTTCATACTTGTCCACTGGAAAAGACCAGTACGGTTGACCATCGGGCAGAAGACACGGAGGAAAATCTATCAACTTCATTGGCGATGCCTCGTGTTACAGCCACCAGCCTCAAGTACTAGAGTCACATTCTCCGCCTTCTGGCAATGACTCCATCGAAAGATATATCACAACTCCCCCTAGCGATGACCCTGTCAGTCCTGCCTCAATCAAGGCGACACTCGAATTTTGCGATTCATCCTCCACTCAATACGACCCCCTGGCGGGTGATCAATCGAAAGGCTCGGCCATTGTTCCGGGAAACCTACTACCTTCAATCTCACCTTCAATCTCAGAGGGTACTCCGATGAGACGAGCACCATCACGCACACGCAGCGTTGCAAGTTCGGACAGTTCAGCCGGCAGTTGTGGAAGTATGAAGTCTTTAGACTCCAGAGGATCGCGTTGTGGACGCAAAGGCTGGACGTGTTCTAGACCACAACGTTCATTTAAAGAACTTGTTGGACAATCTTTACAATCTTAGAGGACATCTCCGCTTTCGTATCACTGTACGTGGCCTAGCTGCAGTAGCGCATTTCGATATCGAAGTGGGTGGTCCAGGCACGAGGAAGCCCTCCACTACATTCCATATCATTGGGTTTGCTGCCTGAAGACTTCTAGGGATATTGTGCTACCCGATTGCTTCATTTGTGGCGCGGACGACGTTAAGTTGACCCATTTTGCTAATTGCCATTTTCAAGACTGCACCATCAAGACACAAGCAGAGCGCACATTTTAACGAGAAGACCAATTATCTCAGCACATCAAAAAGACACATCTTGAAGAGAAGGATCACGATGAAATTACACCGGATTTACTGTCACTTTGGCGAATACACAATCCTGAAATGCCCGAAAGCTCTCTAAAGTGCGGATTTTGCGGCCACTTATTCGAAACTTGGAAAGAACGAAAAGAACACGTCTCCTCTCACCTTCGTGAACGTACATGTAAATTGGCTTGGTAGCCGGAGAGACTACCTACTCTATCTCTTTCTAAGAGGTTAGTTGAACAACTCTGCCTCTAGAAGTTGTGCTTTTACTGTGAGCTAACATCATGTAGCGCTAATAGTAGTCCATCCTGTCCATCATGCGCTGAACCACTATCGATTCCATGCTCAAACAATCACTCAACATGCACATTCTAGTCATGCCGTCAGTTACATGATAATCATTCAATCTTCGTCTCTAGAGTGAGCGGCGGCATCCTTCATTCAGTCTGCACACTCTGCGGCTTGATCGAGTACGGACACGAGACTCATGCGCGATACCATGAAACCTTGTTGAATCACGCTGACACACACCGCACACGATCTTGCGCGCAGATCTTTCTCACCGCCCGCGACTTTGCTCAACACCTGGAAACTGAGCACGATGCGATTCAGCCACGCTTCCGCGATTTCGCGCTGACACCATGGAGGGCCTCACATGGAGCAAGTGGACTGCTGTTACCTTCTGGATCGAGTTCTGTGACGCAAAGCGGCGATATATGCCGTTACATGACTGCGAATGTAGGCTATTCGGATGCTAGTTTGTAGCCACTGGACGTACCCGGCTGAAAAGCTATCACTCGAGACGTTGGCGTTCAACATCTCCTGCAATGTTCATCAGAATCTGATTACTGCGACAGTAGTAATATACCAATACTCAATCTATCACAGAAAACACTCTGACTGGGAAATGAACGTGTAAGTTGCATTTGTGTTCTCGTTCAAAGCCGTATACCCAGCGACCATGCCTCTCGAACAAACTGGGAAATATATCTTCCTAGATCCGCGTTATGCCTCGCGTTCCGTTTGAAAAGATGAAGAAAATAACTCCATCGTAAGCAGTCCCTCAGATTCCCTCTCTACCATGACGAGGTCCCACTGTCCCTCCTAAGACACAACTGCCTGAACTCCTTCTCTAAGCCTGGCATATTCAAGCGACTAACATCCCACGCACACGCCTTACTCTCGCAATGCAACACCAACGAACTGAGATGGTTAAACACCTTGCCACAGCCTGGATAGCGACAGACAAATGGATGCAACACACCCTGGTTCATCCACTGCTGCACCTCGATGATATTAACGCGGCCAGTGCGGATTTGGGCGTGCATGTCGAGATCCATGTAGAGGGGCGAGTACCACCATTTACCCAGACAGCGCATGAGAAGGGCAGGCTCGTTGAGTTTGGGGCAGCGGCCGGATTCCAGGTGGTTGATCAGGCTGGAGTAGGTGCGCATGGGCGCAGTGCAGCCCCAACAGGCGATGTTGGCGGGGATGTGTTTGGTCAAGTGCTGTGTGTTCTGTTAATTATTGTTGAGAGGGGAGGAGGGGCAAAGCTTGGGGGGCTTACAATGTGGAAGTTACCCTCGTGGTGGGTGTGGAAACCGCATTCTTCGCAGTAGTAGCAGTGTTCTAGGTGGAGCGCTAGCTGAGCTTGTCCAGCGCAGTGGTCGCCGCATTGAGGACAGGGGATAGCGAGAGAACACTTTTCGTAGTGCTGATTCAGCTTGGTTTGGCTGGGTAGTATGCGCTTACAGCCTTCGCATTGAAAGTGGTCGTGCTTCAGGTGGTGGGTTAAGGTTGCTTGGTCTGGGGCGTCGAAGACACAGCCTGGTTGTAGACAGTGCTTGTGCCCTTTTTTTGATGTTAGAAAATATTCGAGATAGAAGATGAATTTGAAGCTGTAGATGAGTGTAATACACTTACTATTCGTCGTCCGCCAATGCGCATCACGCTCATCTTGAGTGCGAAACCGCCGCTGACAAGTCGCACACCACGTATGCATCTCCGCCGTCTGCAAATGCCGGTCCATCTCAGCCCTCGTACGGAAACCCCGCAAACAAATCAGACACACAAACTCATGGTTAACAGTGTAGTTGTTCTCGAAATGGTTCTTGAGTCCCCACTCGTCCTTGAACGCCGAAAGACACAAGTTACAGTGCACGTCGTGGTCATTCGAGTTGTCAACATGGTTCTTCAGCCCATTGCGGTCCTTGAACACACGCTTGCACAGGTTGCAGTAATGGTGATGTTCTGGTGTTTGCTTGACGTGCGTGATGATCGCGTTCTTAGTCGGGAACTTGATGAAGCAGACGCCGCACCAGTTTTCGTGCGGGTCGTAGACTTTCTCAGCGCTCTCGCTTGTGGAAAAGGAGATGCATCGGATCCTATCTTCTTTGCTAAATGGGCCTGCGACGGTGGTTTTGGTCCGTTCCTTTGCTGGGCGCAGCGTATGATAAGTTGCCTGTTCTGACTGTGGCTGCGACTGCACCACCGGTCCGCGCTTTTTGACCTCTTGCCAAGGGATCGAGTTGTCGGCTACCTGGTTCACGAACGGGTTCTTGGAGGGGTCGGTGACTGGTTCACTGGCGGGCTGCGCATTTTCGTCGTTGTCGGTGAACAGCGCATAGCGATTGGCGCCGTTCTTGGCCATGTTTGGGGGTTAGATTGACAAGTCAGTGGGGAAGAAGAGTGTGTAGTAATGAGCTTGACGTGGAGTCATGAGGTGGATTGATCTTGTCTCGGGCATGAGCACAGACGGATGGGCCAATGACAAACAATCGGCACATCAGGCAACAAGCGTGGTGTCACGTGACAGCCAGCGGGTAGACACATTGTCTTGCATGATAGCGCGCATGAAACAGGAGCGCGGGGAAACTGGCACAGCTCCGATAGTTATGCGCACGTGTCGTGTGTGGCGTGATCATGCGAGTAGCGGGGTAGAAAAGCGAGAGAGGAATTGGCAGTGACGTAAGCTGGTGACGATGAAGGAATGAAGGAGCGACGAGAAGGACTGGTAACCTCGGATGAATGACGAGGACATACATTTTCTATGGATGTGTTCGCCATGCGCTGTTTCCCTGAAGCTTCGTGATTCCTTACTGTCCAATTTCGCAATCCGCGTGTGCGGCTGGGTAGCTTGCAGATGGAGCAAGTACGATGAGACCTCTCCAATTCCAACACGCCGCGTCAATCATGTACCTCCTTGATGCAATAGCTAGAGTCTGACCGTCAAGATTGTAGGTTAGCTTCTAGCATCAAAAGCATTTGGGGGGCGATACGTTGCGACTGCCGCGTAAGGCATGCAGGTTGCGTATTTTTGCAAAATTGCGTCCTGCTAAAAACGTAGGCACTTATAGCCATGTCGACGACGCATTACAGAGCTTCGGTGGATTTTTCAGCTGCAAAAGCTTCAAGTATACAATCAGTGACATTAGTATGTATCATGAATGAGCTGACTATTTCCTCAAGGTAAACTACGTGACTTCTTGAAGCAGGTGTATGAATAACGAGAGCGGTGAACTTTATCACGCTTCCGTTTTAGTCTATTCTCTGAGTATACTACGATCATCAGACCCTTTGTGTTTAGACTCGCGATGAGTCTACTGCGTGCTGGTCATGTCCATTCGTGTTGAAGCAAGTATCGTCGAAGGAGCCGGAGCTATTCACCTATTCAAAAGCTAAAATACTTAGATACGGAAGGTTCTGTTCTGCATCATATACTTCCTTTTCGCTACCAACCGCGACTATAATCCTCTCTAATACAACTACATCGACGCCTGGTCCCCGCGCGAGTAACTGAGTTTATGCTGCTCGCCAAAGCACTTCCACTACTACTATAAACTCTCCCCAGAATTTTACGATTGCAGATATTCCCTTGAGATTATCCAGGCTGCCGATTCGACTCGTCTTCTGTCTTTCATGTTGGGTCATGCTTTCTTTGTACATCGAACATGCGATTATTTGCGCGTTATGCTGGGCGATGTCGTATTACTTTCATCGATTACTGGAATTTAAGCAGAAATGACCGTTATATCTTCCACCTAGATCGATGCTAGCGGGCTACAGCTTTGCAGCAGCATCCTTCACCCATTACCCTAAGCATGTACCAGATTTTAATATATCAGTTCTCTGTGAGCGCCTTGACTTTCCCTACTCTATACTCACGCTTTCAAATCCCTTTAAAGACTAGCGGCAGTCAATATGAGCGACCTAACCAATTTATGCTTGAATGATTGGGTCGCGCGGTAGTGGCATTTTCTCTCTCACGCCACCAAGGACAAAACGCCTCCTATCCTCAGGCATTAATTTTGTCGGCCATAGGGCTTATCCCTTGGCTCCTCTTTGGGCAACCAGGCAGCCACCTATTTACCCGCTAGTACCTTTACGGCCTAGCTCCTTCTCTCCTCCCACTGCGTATATAGACCTCTTCCCGATAGCTCTAATACGACATGATGATTCTCCCCAACCTTGACGCTTGACAGGTTATGAGCCCTCACCCGCTCCCGTAGTCGCTCACGATAATTCTATTAGATATTTTGACGACCCGCGCGCCTCATCACGATCATCACCCTCCCCGCAAAACAGCTCGGTGACGTCGCAATCGCGCGCCACTTTAGCAATCGTGACCCCGCAACTTGCAGCTCATCGATCGCTTGGACGACGACGAGCTCCTCGCTGCTCACCGCCAAAAATCGCTAGCCGAACGGTCTTCGACGTCCGCCGCGATGGCAACTTACACCTCCTCCACAGCTGTCACAGCGCGCCTTGCAGCCGACGGCAAAAACTGGAAGGACTGGATTAAACAACTCATCAATTACGCAGCCGCCGATGGCGCTGTAGCCGTCCTAGATGGCGCTCCGCGCCCAGAATTTGACGCTACAGACGACAAATATCGCATTACCGCCATGCAGCGCCCGATCACTCATCCATTAGGCACCTCAACAGACGTTATCCAAGCCGAGCTTGACCGTGTCGGCAAACTCAACAAGACTATAGGACCGTTCAACAATGAGGCTCGACAGCTACTTAAAGAGGACAAGCTTGCGCTTGACTCATGGGTCGCCCGAGATGCCCGACTCCAAAACACCATACTCTCATCCATTGACAAGCCTCTCGTAGCTCAGGTGCGCACTTGCCCCACCGCCCACGATATGTACAAGGCTCTCAAGGACCTAAACAGCAACGGTGACTACGCCAATGCTGCTCTCGCGTGGACTGCCTTCATCGACCTCCGCGCTGAGACCCAACCCACAGTCCGCAGCTATATTGGAAAGTTTCGCGAGACAATTAATGACATCACGGTACAAGGCATCACACTTGGATGGAAGAAGCCTTCAGCAGTACCTGGTACATCCGCCGACCGCGACATCGAAGACCTGCTCATCATCCACTTCCTTCACGGCTTAGCTCGTGTACTCCCACAGTGGGTAGAAGCTCGCAATAACGACCTCCGCCAAGGCCATACATGGTCTATCGACACGCTCGTCGCGTCACTCGAGGATCACCTACGCCATGCCCCAGATGAGCCCGTGAAGACTTTCCTCTCCGTCTCTAAACAAGCGGAGGAGAAGCGCGTTCTCACACGCCTAAATGGCCGCGGCAATGGCAACAACAGCAACCAGAACTCTACTCCTACTCCTTCGTCTCTGCCGACGCGCAATAACAACCAACAGAAGCGTACTCCTCAGCCTGTTGGAATGTGCGATCACTGCAAGCGAGAGCACCCAGGACCTAATGAGCTTTGCTGGAAACTTCACCCTTCTCTCACCCCAGATAATGTTAAGAAGCGCACCGCAGACAATGCCGCTAAGAAGGCCGCAGCTGCAGCAGCTCGTACAAACGTTACAGTGGCCAAGAACAGCAACGACGACGATGCTGATCAGTACGATGCTCACTCATACGTGACAGTCGCCACCTTCGTCTCTCCGACTCTCCTCAAGAAGGCAGTCTCCAATCACGACTATCAACAGCGGTACTGCTACGACACTGCCGCTAACCGGCACGTCTTCAATAACCGCTCGAAATTTTACGAATACGCTCCAATCGACAATGACGTACACGGCTCTACCGGATCAACCACCGCCGCCGGCGTTGGCACTGTACGCCTTGAAGTCGTCAAAGCCGACGGAACAACAGAGAAGATCTCACTCCAAAACGTCCTCTACTGCCCCGATTTCGCCACCAACGTCATCTCCCAAGCTCCATTCAAGCGCGCGGGAGTGTGGTATCACTCGGGCAAGGACAAATTGTACACTGCCTCAGATGAGGAGCTAGCTTACTTACCAGAGATCGACGGTATACCCAACTTTCTCGTAGTTACAGAATCCTCCAAGGCGCCGGCCGCTCTCTCATACGCCTCTCTTGTTTGCTATCGAAGCTCTGCCGATGAGCCCTCATCCTCACGGCCAGCCACCGACTGGCATCATATCATGGGACACGCTGGAATAGACGCTATTAAGGACACTGCAAAAGTTGTACATGGGATGAAGCTCACTACTTCTACCGTCACCAACTGCGAGCCCTGCGGCCTCTCCAAATCAAAGCGAAATATCTCTCGAATTCAACAAACTCCACCCAATACAGCGCTTGGCAAGGTCCATGTCGATGTCGTCGGCCCCATCACTATACCTGGAAAAGATGGAGAGCGTTACTTCATGCCTATCACGGATGGCAAGTCACGCCGACAGTGGCTATTCACATCAGACAGCCGCGCTGTACTAGGCCAACAGCTTATTAATTGGTGCAAAGCTATGAAGGCCAAAGGCTTTACCATCACTATCCATACCGACAACGCTCGCGAGTTTATTAACGCCAGCAACAAGCAGTACTTCGATAGCGTGGGCATCGAGGTAGTTACGTCACCACCTTATGATGCCACTCGCAATGGTATTGCAGAGCGCGCCAACGGTATCACAGAGGATCGAACTCGCGGAGCTCTTATTGCAGCCAAGCTTCCTATAAAGCTGTGGCCCTACGCAGCCAAATATATGGCCCGCATTCACAACCTCGTCTCCAACAGCAACCTCCCAGGAAAGATCACTCCTTTAGAGGCCTGGAATCGCTCTATAGGCTACCCAAACCCAGTCCCAAACGTCGCCAAGATGCACGCTTTCGGCCATGTTGGATACGCCCATATACCCGCCCAGAAGCGCGTTAAAGGTGACAAATTTGCACCTCGTGCTCACAAGGGCCACCTCGTCGGTATGATCGGCGAGAACATCTACCAGATGTGGATCCCAGAGACTGATGAGATCGTTACCACCGCCTCCGTGCGGTTTGATAGCTACGACTCACCCTCCACTCCTCCATTGTCTCCCATCATCGGCCCTTCACCATCACCGAAGGTGCTCCCATTTAAACCTCTCATCAACCGCCTCGCCGACGCCGCTACAACTCCACCCGCTCCTCCGCAAGATGGTGATGGCGGCGATTTGGACAATCATCAGCTACCTCGTGCTGATGGCGGAGATGGCTTTGATGGTTTCGAGGATGATGATGAAGCTCCACCAGCTCCTCCAACCCGTGGTAACAACAAGGCAGCGCGTCGACATGAGATTAACGCGGACCTCAACCCAGCTCATATCATACACGGCCCTCGCAATCGCCGGGCACGTGCTTTCTTCACTTCATCTACTTTTGATCGCTGCTTCGCCATGGCTCTCGTCAAGCCCACTCTCGGCTCAAAGCTTTCAGAACTTCCACCGGAGCCTCGCAACTATCGTCAGTTTCTCAAACATCCTCGCCGCGATGATCTACAACTCGCAATGGACGATGAGTACAACGCTCTTATCGCCAACGGTACTTGGCGCCCTGCTACGGCAGAGGAGATTGCCAAGTATGAGATCATCCCAGGTCAATGGGTGTGGACGTATAAAGGCAACGCTCAAGGCTATCACGTGAAAGACAAGGCTCGCATGGTGGCTTGCGGCAACAAGCAACAAGAATCAATTTGGTACCGCGAGGTTTACTCCTACGTCGTCCGAACTTCTACGCTCCGCATCCTCCTCGCCCTTGTGGCTTACTTCGATCTAGAGTGTGAGCAGATCGACATGATTACTGCTTACCTCAACGCTCACCTCGACGACGATGACGTTGTCCTCCTTCGCCTGCCCGCAGGCTGTACTGGCTTTGGGAATATTGTTCGCCTTCGCCGCGGCATGTACGGCCTCCGTCAGTCAGCCCTATTGTGGTACAACGACCTCAAGGACTCTCTCAAAGATCTCGGCTTCGAGCCCATCGAAGCAGATCCCTGCGTCTTCGTCAACCCAACAACAAAGGCCATCATAGTCGTGTACGTTGACGACCTTATCCTTATTACACGTGACGTGACCTCTATGAAGGCACTTAAGTCACAACTCCTCAATCGATACAAGGCTCGTGACCTTGGCCCAATTGGTTTCTACTTGGGAATTCGAATCCTCCGCGATCGTCCCAACCGCTCTCTCTCTATGACGATGGATAGCTACGTTGATCGCATTGTCGATGAGTATCACCTCGCCAACGCTCCAAAGGCAGACAACCCCCTCCCAAAGTCGGCCCTCACCCTCATCAAGCGTGATGACATCGCCGACAACAACCTTATACAGCAGTACCAATCGCTCGTCGCGAAGCTACTCTATCCTACCTCCATTATTCGCTGTGACCTAGCTTGGCACGTGAACTTCATGGCACGCTTTGCAAACAACCCTACGTCAGAGCAACTGTCACTGCTAAAGCACATGCTCCGCTACTACAACGGCACGGCAACTCTCGGCATCAAGTACCAAGGTGACCTTAAAGACGCTAATATGGACGACCCAGATCACATGATAGGCCTTAAGGCCTACAGTGACTCCGCCCATGGCGACAACAACGAGCGCAAGTCGTCCTCCGGCTACGTCATCAAGATGGCTGGAGGCGTCGTCTCATACAAATCGTACCGCCAGCGCCTCGTTACTCTCTCCTCCACAGAATCAGAATATATTGCCATGACGTATGCTGCCAAAGAGATCAATTGGCTTCAACGCCTACTCTCTCAGGTTGGATACGTCGGTAACGACCTCAAGCCCTTCAAGCTGTACACCGATAATCAGCCAGCGCTTAATATGATCCGCAAGGACGGCCATCACGAGCGTACAAAGCACATCGACGCGTACTTCAAGTATACAAAGCAGCAGTACAAAGACGGCAACCTCAAGCTCGACTATCTCCCCGGCGTAGAGATGCCCGCCGACGGCCTTACGAAGCCTCTCGACAAACAAGAGCACGCTAAGTTCATTGGCCTCATCGATATGGTGAACGTTCCCCGCATGTAGTCTCTCAAGGCACCTCCAGCGAACGTCTCTTTACGATTTCCTATACATTTCATTCACTCAGATGGCTTGCCACCTGGTTCCGGGGGGTGTGTCGGCCATAGGGCTTATCCCTTGGCTCCTCTTTGGGCAACCAGGCAGCCACCTATTTACCCGCTAGTACCTTTACGGCCTAGCTCCTTCTCTCCTCCCACTGCGTATATAGACCTCTTCCCGATAGCTCTAATACGACATGATGATTCTCCCCAACCTTGACGCTTGACAAATTTCAATACTCAACCACCCGGAAACCCCACTTTTCACCACTGCTTTCCCTTCTGTTCAAGAACTCCCGCGCATCACACGGAGCATTTTCGAACATGATCGATCGACACCGCACACAAAAAGCAACCCGGACCACTTATTACTTCCTTCACAACAAGGAAGTCATACATCTCGAAGAACACCCAGATTGGTTATCCACCTCTTCATCTCTACCATGGCACCAACTCTATTTCCTATGACCAAACTGTTGTCTCGGAAGATGGTCCCAATACCACGACACCATGGCAAGAACCAATCGAAAAACATCACAAAGGCTGCCAATATGGGGAGGGTTAAGACGTCTCTCACGCAAACGACAAGCCCAGATCAGGAACTCAGTCAGAGAGAGCTCAAACGCCCCCTAGTCCATACCAACGTTCTCCACAACTACCAACATCCGGACGAGGAGCTCATTGCATCGATGCGCAAGAAGGCTGGTCTAAAGCCCCTAAAGCCGTCATCGCTGGTCCCTTCTTGTCAACCAGCTACCGGAGAAGCTGTACCATCTGATAGTAGAGCTCAGGTAGCCGTGTCCACGACTACGCCCCGAAAATCCCTTGAAGACACTATTCCAGGGGCTTCAAATGTCCCAAAGACGTACGCTTGGGAAGAAAAGGCCCAGGGCATCATCATGCGAGATAGACTTACACTTGACAAGGATTGGTCCAAGATCACTTGGAAGCAAAAGTCTAGCAACATTACTCGACTCAAGTTGCTAAAAGATGACGGCTATAATATCACTCCCCTAGAGGGGAAGGTGTCTGCAGATCAGATCATCGATGCTCTCCTGGCTCACATTGAAGCCAGGAAGCAACGCACGGCACCAAGCCTGAAATCTGGAGCTACGGCGTCTATCGATGAGTTAGAAAACGAATTCGAGCAACCCAGAGATGAGGGATTGCCCACTAGCGTTGCTGAAGACGGTGATGACGGTTTCGTGGCTATTTCTGCGACTAAAGTCGTCAACAACTATATCCTTGCTAGCAAAAATAGCCATTTGCAAAACTTCCGTCCACAAAAGCCAGTTCGTTTAGAGCCTCAACTTTGCCCAAAGGACGAGTTTTACCAAACCCAAGAGATTATTGGAACAAAGCGCAAGCACACGCACGAGGACGACAACCAGCCCAACTGGCATGAGAAGAGGCCCCAGCTGCACTTGCATGAGATCTACGCTCAGCGAGATACATATTCTGCTGAGATGCACGACGCGTCATCATGCACATGCGGTTTTTCACCGAGCAAGTTGATGCGGATCGCCACTCCTGAACAGGTAGAGAAGGTAGTCAAAGTGCAAGCGTTTGAACTCGTGAAGTGGCGAACTTCTCGCGGCATCTTCTCGGCATCACGAGAAGAGCATAGAGCCTTTCGATCCCGCGTAATCCATTCTGATGAGCGATGGTCCTCTGCACCGGAACTCTGTGTCGACCCTAGGAAGCCGATTAAGCCATGCCGAATCGTGTTCACTGAACACTACGCACCTGCCACTCAGCCTACTGGATCAGATGTGTATATAGGCTCTGTAGGCTTCAACTATATCAAGGACGAGATCAAGTACCTCTCTTGTGATCGGGGGAAAGACAGGAGCTACCAAATTCGCGACCATGAGCAGCGCGAGGATGAAGAAGGCGACACCGTGATGGAATGTTTCGATTGGCGTGAGGAGCCATTCAGACATGAAATCCGCCTTTCTTCAAATGATGAACACGTTGCATTCATCGATGGCGAACCACTTGCGCTTGTTGGCCTGCTGAATTACCTAACTACGGGTGAAATGATGCACCTTGGGCGCTGGAAATACGGAGATATCAAGGAAAATGCCGACAACAACTTGGACCCCGAGATGAAGGTGATTCATAATGGCTCTGTACCTTTGAATCTTAGCAAAGCTACAGATTTGGCTTTGAAGAAGATTGAGGGGATGTTGAAGGCAGTCCAGGATGCGGGTGGAGTGGAGATCAGTGTTGGTGTGATACACCAGAACAAGTAGTGCACTGTGTGTTGAGACTTGAGTCGATGTAAGTAGTCGCCTTTTGGCTCATCTTGAAGCCCATGTAGAAGTTGGTGCCTTGGGGTCAACAATAACATTTACGTCATAACATGCTTTTCTCCCCAGAATGCACACGACTTTCCCCACCGTGACAACTCAACAGCGCAATCTGCCAAGCTTCTATAGCTTCTACTTTATTGAATTAACACAAGAGAGCAATTGTAATTTCACTCACAGTGCCGGCCTGCGACCACGTGATCCTGGATGAGCATGTTATTCACTCTGTGCTCTGATAACTACTGGATTTTCCACCACACCATCCCCTATATAAGCCCGACCAAAACCTCCATTCTCAAGCCCTCTTTCTCATCACCAGAAATCGCGATATCGTCACCAACTAGACGAAAGAGCAGACTCGACTAGCCTTTCATTCAAGATACACACACAAGAACAAGCTGAAATGGCACCACGCAACCGTCTCGGCGTCAATGACAAAGACTACAGCGCCCGAAGGCTTCCTGAAGACGACTCCTGCCGCTACCGGGTCTCCGCCGATGCCTTCAGCCCACGCAACGCAAACCCAGACGTCGCTGCCAACCAAGTCGACCACGGCTTCAACCACCTCAATATCGCAGTCACACCAATGCCAGCTGACCTTGAGCCACTCAAGCCCCCCGCATTTGACTCTTTCACCCCCGAAGAAGAAATCGCCCACCTTTCCCTCCTCGCCACAAAGCTTAGACTTGCAAAAGCATACATCCTGAAAGAGCGCGAGCTCGGTCTCTCCCCTAGCCGCCCCGATATGAATAAAGAAGCTACCTCTATGAATCTCGCTGAACCGCCTATAATTCTAGACATGCGCGCCCAGCATTTGCTGCGTCTGGTGTTGGATACAGAGGCTGAGCTCAGGCGTCTGCATGCGGAGGCGCAGGGCGAGGAGCTGGGTGATCTGATGACTGAACCTGGTGGCAATTATCTGCTGTACTGGGAAGGTTTGAAGCCGATTTTGGAGTGGCAGGTTCCGGGGCGTAGTGTGGAGGAGAAGGCCGAGAGGGCCGAGAACATTATGAATGATGCTTTGGAGAAGATTGTGGAGCCTTGATTGGTGATCTGGGAGGGTGGAGAAGTGGGCAATTGTGCATGGTTTTGCATGGATAGGGATAGTGCGCCACGTTAGATTGAAGGTGTAACGTGTCCGTGCACCTTGTGCCCGGATTCATCTCATGCCCCGCGAACACCATCTTAGCGATCTCAAATTTGAAGCTGTACAACACCACACAATAGCTTAATATTAATAAAAACATAGCATTGCAGTAATTAGATACTTGCGATTAACTTGTACTATCTGAATTTTTGTGGGAGGTTGACGTTGCGGCCACGTGATGTGGTCTTTGGTGGTGGAGGCGATGGAGGAGATGCAACTCTATCGCGAGCTCTATCCTCCATCGCTCGTTTTTGACGCTTGTTCTTAGAAGAGGGCGCTCTTGAGGCTTTACGCTTGCGTTGTTGAGCTTGTTGGGTGGCTTTTTTCTGGTGTTGAGCTTCAACTTTGCGCGCGCGTTCAGCTGCTTTCTCAGCTCGCTCAAGCTCCCTTATCTCCTTGAGCCTCTGCCTCTCTACACGCTTCTCCTCGAGCTTAACTTGACGCTGCAGTTGAACCTCCTCACGCTGCTTCTTGGCCTGTGCTTTTTGGAGTTTCTCCTCTATCTTATCTCGCTCCCGTACTACTTCCAGAGTTGCTATCAGTCAGTTCAGTCAGTCCGGAGCTCTCTGGACTGACTGAACTGACGTCCTGAGGTCACTGAACTGGACTGGACTGACTGCCAAGACTTTTCAATTAAACTAAAACTGACTGACTGAACTGACGTCGCCGCGGCCTGCGGACTGACTGGACTGACTGAACTGAGTTACCTGACATCGAACTGAGATAAATGCTCCTGTACTTTTGAGATTTCTTCCTCTGATAGTGTGCGCGCTAGCCCAGAAGCTGAGGTAGTTGTTGGCTGTATACCAAGCCTCTTCCAGCTCTTCAAGCTCTGCAAAGCTGAAATAAGCTCTGGCTTCATATGGAGTCTCCGGGTGCCTAACATGTCGCCAAGCTCGCTGAAAGTCCGCTCACAGTCTGCCGCTGCTGCTGGTATTGTTAGGACGTCAATAGCGAACTTTGAGAGTATAGGGAACTGCCCAGCAACTGACTCCCAGTATAGAAGCGGATTAAGAGACAGCCAATCCTCCTCAGCTAACGCTGGTTGCCGCTTCCATATCTCATACTCATCCTCAGCAAGGCTTGCCTCTAACTGCCGTGTGCTTTGCTCAATTGACGACTGTAGAAAAGCTGATCGCGACGTTGAAATCCCTAGCCGGGGCTTCTTACGCGGCGGCGTTACAGTGTGAGCTGACGAGGTCTAACTTGACTTGCTTGATTACCTATTGTAG